ATGATAGTTGAAGTGCTCCATTGCATAGCCTGACTTGTCCATGAAAGCCAAAATCTTTCTAAGATGGTCAGAGACCTGCAGGTAGGGTCCGAGTCATTAGCCTGAATCTTGACGAGTACAAGTATCACTCACCTCTTCAAATTCGGGCAGCTGACATATTTGCTTGGAGCACAGTGATAGTAAATGACATGCATCCTGGAGGTTTAAGATATAAGGCTGCTTTGCCGACAAATCTCTGCGGCAGTTTTTCGTGTTTCCAGTGTCATCTGACGATGAGCCGGAGAAGTTATAGGGCCCGATATCGGCAATGACCTATCGCAACATTAAGGTGAGCTTTACATTTGTGCACCGAGCGGGGTACAAATTGGACTTACACCCTCCAACAACTCTCCAATATATTTGGCTGTATGACTGAGCATCGAGGCGTCGTCGAGCTCAAGCAGAAGGGTTCGCCTGTCAGCAGTGGTGACATGAACAGTGTAGAATGATTTGGGCTTCCGGATTTTTCCACCATCAAACGTAATGGTGAGATCACGTTGTGTTTTCAGATAGTTGAAAATCATTTTTGTTATTCTTGCAGATTCGTTTGGAATTAGTGTATCGGCAAGAGTCGTTGCAGAGGCAGGCTTGTAGTTGGCATTCAGAATGCTACAAAAAGCCTTGAATTCATCTGAATCAATGATGTGTGGTGGGATTCCCGTACACGTCACAAGTAGCATGAGTGCTTGGTCACCTTTCTCCTTTAGTGCTTTATGACCTTCGGTAACATACTTCTTGTTGAATGACGCAACCTGTTTTGAACTTGAAACGACCTGCAGCTCCATCCTTGGTTTCTTCATCGGCCGGTCTTCCACCTCCAATAGCATGACGTCATTCGAATCCGAGTCCGACTTTGACCCTGCTTCTAGGACCACACCTTTTCCCTTCCCTCGTACAGCTTTGGAAGCCATGTAATCCCTAGCTTCTTTGCGCCACTCCCTCGCCATACTCGGACACTCATTGGCAGCATGCTTCATGATTCGTTGCCGAGCTCTTGGCCATGACCAGGTGATGTTACAGCCACGGCTGGCAATGCACCGAACAAGTTTTTCCCCAGTGGGATCACTTGCTAAATGGCAAGGCTTCGAAACCATGCGAAGCAGTGGATGCATCTTTGCTCCACCTTTTCGACTGTCCTCGTCTTCGCCAGCACTGATATACCAGTCATCATCGAAGGTTGCCAATATATGGCTATCGAGCTTCTGAACCTTGGGCTTTCGTTTCCCGGGTATCTGAGTATGATCAGCCGTAGTTGTAGTATTAGACCTATGTATTATGGCAACTACCATTTTTACCATAGACACTTTTGATGGCAATTACCAGCAGCACAACTTGACCTAATCCATGGCATTTGCTGGTTGTAGTATTAGACCTAGTATTATGGCAACTACCATTTTTACCATAGACACTTTTGATGGCAATTACCAGCAGCACAACTTGACCTAATCCATGGCATTTGCCTGGCCCTATTTTGCTGGGTGTTTTGGCTTTCACAGCCGCATTTTTTGGATTTTTGAAACTCAGCTATGTTTTCAGTCACAAATGTGTTTTCCACATTTGTCAGATGTTTTGGTATGTTTTATTCCGCAATTTTGGCCTCCAAAAGCGGAAATTCATAAAACACATCCTGTTTTGGTCACCTCCTCATGTCAGGCCTCCCCACATTATTCCCACACTCCGCATTTTCGCATTTTTAGTCACCTACTGTGGGAATTACCCCACAACACCCAAAACATCATCCCAATATGGTATACCACATAATTATAATTATTCCCACACCCTCCCCACCTCACTGCAGCTTCACCACTACACCACAATAGGTCCTCCCTTGTATCTAAGTAGTAGTTTGGTATATACATGTATAATATTATCTAATAAACCGCTTTTTTTGTCAATTTGTGTGCCTGCTCATCCTCCAGGGCCTTTTTCAAACAGGGTAGGGTACAGAACATTTTCGCATTTTTGCCCCTTTGATAGGGGGGTGTTCCAGGACATTCAGAACACATTTATGAGCATATATGAGTAGATTCCCATCTTTATTTCACCCCCTGAAGTGTCCTACATCAATAGATATAGCACATATGCAAGAAAACACAGAATATGTTCTCATTTGATTATTTCTAGGTGAACAGCCTTGTAAAAATGATTCCCAGCATCTATTTAACAATAGGAACAATGTATCAGGAGCCCAGGACCATAGGATAATTCCCTGTTGCATGGTGTGCCCCCCCTCTCCTGGTGGTTTACCCCCTGTGAAAAATTTTCCTGTAGGACCGGACCTCAATTGAGGCAGGGGGTCTATTCCTATGTATATTTGAGGTAAGTCTATCATATAGCTGGCCCAGGACATACATAGGATCCTGCTACAGGAACAAAAACATAGAAAATCGCATTTTTGACACTTTTGATGTTTTGTAGCCCCTTACACTTGCACAAATGACCAGACCTGCTCATATATGATCAGTAGTACATTCACAAATATGTTTTGTGCCAAGGATCAGCCCTACATAGGGTGCAAATGTGATATATGATGTACAGGGGCTTTTCTACTGATAAGAAGCCTACATAGTAATCAAGCCTGTGATAAGTAATCAAAGACCTGGGATATGTCCTATATATGCCCCTGATGATAGATCTGAAGATTTAGAAAGATCCATTAAGGACTGACTGAATGACAAGTAAAACCACATATGTGTGAAAAGTGACAATTGACATCTTTTCACACAAAGTTACATTTATATATGATACAGGTCAAATATTTTATTAACAATATGTAGGATACATTGTAGACTACTAAAGGAACATATACTACATACTGCCCTGAGGTTGAAGGGTGGTGGAAGGGATGTGGTGTATATCTGAGTTGACCTAGCATCAAAATGCTACTATTGCTCAACTGACCATTTTCGATGTTTTGGGTCTTTGAACTTTCCCACACTCAATTTCTTATCTATTTCACTTCCTCAGCACTCAATTCTTGTAGGATTGTTCTGTACATTTAGGACTATGATACTGAGTATATTTGAAATCTACTCCAGGTGTCTGATTATTAAATTTTGATGTATTGAAAGTATGGGATCCTTATCAGTAGAAATAGCAAGTATTCACACTAACTCAAACCTCTGGCCTATTTTGAGCTGATCCTTGTCACAAAAAGCAAGTATATATACTATGATAATGATATATGAACAGGATGTATTATTTATGCAAGAGTAAGATACTGAAAACATCAAAAGTGTCAAAAATGCGATTTTCTATGTTTTTGTTCCTGTAGCAGGATCCTATGTGTGTCCTGGGCCAGCTATATGATAGACTTACCTCAAATATACATAGGAATAGACCCCCTACCTCAATTGAGGTCCGGTCTGTTGAGTTATACAAGCCAAAAACATAAGTTTGCGCCGAGAGCGTGAACGTGCGTGCTTACAAAGCACAAGTAGCGGACTTAAGTTTTAAGTTTCAAAGAGAAAACATATAATATAAAAGAGATGTACCTAGGAGATCCCCTAATATTAACATCTTGCGCTCACACGAAATCGTCTGATCCAAACAATTCTATTCATCTACGCCTCGTATCCAATACTCGTAATCTAATCAACAATAGGTTATGAGCCCTGGCGTGCGCAAATAAATATCTATCTATTATATCAGACGAGATCTAACTAAAAATCAAACCCCTAAAATGACAGACCAATCTACTGGTTCATCGTTGACATCGTTGTATCGGATCGAGCATTTGAACGACACCAATTGGCTCGGATGGAAGCGCCGAGTAAAGGCGATCATGTTTGAAAAAGGAATTGAAGGGTATGTCGAAGGTACCGTCCCCAAGCCTGCACGTGGCCCAGATCCAGTGTCGGCACAGAGGGAAGCGGACATAGCGAAATGGGAGATGCAAGACCGTAAGGCCCAGACTGTGATTGAGCTGTCAATAAGTGATAGCCAAATGATTCACTTAGCTGGAGCCAGAACGGCAAAAGACATGTGGGATCAATTGAAAATCGTGAAGGAATCACGAGGTAAACAAGCGATCACCACATGGCGGCGAAAGTTCTATAGAACGGTCGCCGATGAAGGCGATGACGTCCCCATGCATGTCAAAAATATGAGGGAAATACAAGAAACCTTACATATGATGGGAAGTCTGGTGACGGAGGAAGACTTCTGCACCGTGCTCATCTCATCGTTACCGGAATCTTGGGACACCTTCACCACGACGTACCAGATTAGGATGGGTGATACGAAGACGATCACGTCACATGAGTTAATCTCCCTTATCTTGGAGGAGAACTCGCGACGAAATGAAAAAGATGTGAAAGGAAAAGGAAAGGAGACTCGAGAGTGCGCTTACCTTGAAAGGAAAGAATTTAGGGAAAAGGAAGCGAGAAGATGTGAAGAAGTGCCGGATCTGTAAAAAGTCCGGCCATACCGAAGCTGAGTGTTGGTTCAAAGATAAGCAATGCTCTAACTGCGGAAAAGCGGGACATACTAGAGAGAATTGCTGGAGCAAAGGAGGAGGAAAGGCGGGGCAAGGCCCGTCTAAGTTTCCTCTCAAAAAGCGCATCAAAAATGACAACGCTCACGTCGTTGATGACGTAGAAGATGTTGCCAAAGAAGCGCAATATGAAGAGGAAGATGTTGCCTTTTTTGGCGAAGAGATGCAGGTCGAGCCGATCGAGGTCGAGAACCAGACAGTAGTCGAGGTCAATGATCAGGTCGAAGACGAAGACCATATTAATGTATCTAATAATAGTGATGAATACGAGAAGCTTAGCTATTATGATTGGCTGGCAGACTCAGGAACGACATCACATATTACTAAGATTCGATCCGCAATGACGGATTATGTTCCATTGACGGATCACAAAGTCAGCGGGATATCTAATGAATCCCTTAAGGCTGAGGGACGTGGAACAGTCGAACTAGTAAGTACGGTAAATAAGCAGCAGGTAACCTGCAAGCTTAAAAATGTATTATATGTACCGCGTGCCTCAAACAACCTTCTATCTATCACGCGCCTAGATAGAGAGGGAGGACATGCCATAATGGGTAACGGCGTAGTAACCTTAAAAGTGCGCGGAGGACGCACAATAGCCAAAGGGAAGCTTCAAAACGGGTTATATTTATTAAACTCTCAGGCTAAGTTACATCCAATAACTAAAATATATACTACTCGAGAGGAAAAACCTGTAGATTGGCTTACCTGGCACAAAAGGTATGGGCATATAGCCTTTAGCGGTCTAAAAAGACTGCACAAGGAAAAATTAGTTGAAGGTATGAATATTGATGAGAACTCACCTATGCCGCAGTGTGAAGCCTGTATTCAGGCAAAGCAAACGCGTGATTCATTTCCGCGTAAGGCTGATGATCGTTCTGGATCGATCGGAGAACTCACACACAGTGATGTGTGGGGTCCAGCCAGAGTACAGTCGATTGGTGGATCTAAATATTATATTTCATTTATCGACGACTGTTCCCGTAGGACCAGTGTCGAATTCATGAAAAATAAAAATGAAGCTTCCACAAAAGTAAAACAATATGCGACGTACCTTAAGAAGCGCTGGCAAGACCAACCGAAAAGGTTCTGAGTCGATAACGGAACAGAATATGTGAATAACGATCTACAAACCTGGTGTAAGAACGAAGGGATTGAGCTAGAGACAACTGCACCGTACTCACCTGAGCAAAACGGAGTCTCTGAAAGACTCAACCGAACGTTAATAGAATTAGCTAGGGCAATGTTGATCGAAAAAGACTTACCGGAGTCTTTATGGGCAGAAGCAGTATCTCATGCTGCTTATATCAGAAATCATGCACTGACGCGAGCGCTGCAAGGCGCAACGCCGGAAGAGCTTTGGAATGGTAAGAAGCCGAATATAACTCACCTACAAGAATTTGGGACACCGGTATACGTGCTACAAGAAGGCACAAATCAATCTAAGATGAGCCCAAAGTCAGTAAAGCAGATCTTTGTAGGATTTGCAGACGGACCTCGTGCCATCAAATATTATAATACCCGTACTCACCAAGTTCGAGTGTCAAGGAACTATAAGTTCCTAACACAAATCACGCCAAGCGCATCTGATGCACAGCGCGAGGGGGAGTTGGATAGGATGGACGCGCAGTCATCAGAAACTGACGCAGTATCACCTACAAAAGGAAAAGAAGACCATCAAAAACAAAATCAGCGTGATGATCTGATGGGAGAAGACGAGAACTCACCCTTAAAAAGGAAGCGTCCTCCCGAAGATGAAATGATGCCTAGAAAATCTAAAAGACAAACGGTAAGACACGACTACCAACAATTAAATGACCCAGAGCCAGAATGGGCTTACCTCGAGTATGAACGTCATGAGCTTGAGGAAGAACTCTATGAAGAGGATGTAGTTCTCGCGGCCTTTGTTGAAAACGGCAGCTTCGAACCACACGAGCCTAGATCATTGAAAGAAGCACAATCATCAGATGACTGGCCGAAGTGGGAAGAAGCAGTGCGAACAGAACTCACCCAATTAGAGCAAATGGGCACCTGGGAATTGGTAGATCCTCCGAAAGATCGCACCCTAGTAGGGAACAAATGGGTCCTCGTAAAGAAAACTAATAAAGAGGGAGAAGTGGTCAAATATAAGGCACGGTTAGTAGCCAAAGGGTACTCACAAATACCGGGCATGGATTATACAGATACCTTTGCCCCGGTAGTACGCCTTGAGACGATACGTTCAGTTATGTCCACAGCCGCATCCCTTGATTGGGAAATGCAACAAATGGATGTAAAAGGGGCGTACCTTAACGGCATATTAAAAGAAGAAGTATATATGGAGCAACCCGAGGGCTACAATGATGGGACCGGCCGAGTATGTAGACTACGAAAAACCCTCTATGGGCTAAAACAGTCGGGCCGAGAATGGAACCTAGAGCTAAATAGCCGTCTGACGAGTATCGGATTCAAACGATTGAAATCTGATCCGTGCACATACATCAGAAAGACCGCGGAAGGAACGGAAATAATTACCGTATGGGTCGATGACCTATTATTATTCGCGGATCACTCAAGTCTGATGGATGGATTAAAGGGGCAATTAAAAAATATCCTTGATGTCACTGACTTAGGAGAACCGAGAAAAATTGTTGGGATTGAGATCACACGAGATAGACCTACAAGGTCAATCCGACTCACACAGACCAAATATATTGAGTCTATCCTAGCAAAACACGGACTCCAGTCATGTAATTCAGTAGGAATGCCACTAGATCCAAAAATTACACTTGAGAAAGAAGCGACTGATGGAGAAGGCAACCGAAGTAACGGGTATGCATCTTTGATCGGGTCGTTGATGTATTTGGCGGTAGCCACGCGTCCGGATATAGCATATGCTATACAAAGACTTAGCTCGTTTACTGCTAACCCAGGATTAGCACATTGGGTAGCAGCAAAACGTGTTCTAAGATACTTAGCTGGAACGTGAGAACTAGGAATAAAATATCAAAATAACAAGGCACACGACCAAAGCCAAATTCGATTTGTCGGATGGTCGGATGCAGATTATGCTAACGACCCGAGAGATCGGATATCTATATCGGGATATGTTTTTAAACTAGGAGGCGGTGCGATCACATGGAGTTCAAAGAAGCAAAACGCAGTCACGCTTTCGTCAACGGAAGCAGAATATGCTGCGATGGCTCACGCTGCACGTGAAGCTGTATGGCTTCGGAATTTATTTGAGGAATTAAATTTACCTCAAAATGATCCAACCGTTCTTCATGGTGATAACATGTCCGCATTAGCGATTGCGCGAGATCCACAGTACCACGCGAGATCTAAACACTTTGATGTGAAAGATCACTACATCAGACAGAAAATTCAAGATCGGGTAATTCACGATCAATACTGTCGCACTGATGAGATGATAGCAGATATATTAACGAAGCCACTACATAAGCCGAAACATTGGAAATTTACTAATGATCTAGGCATGTTTTCGGCTTGAGGGGGAGTGTTGAGTTATACAAGCCAAAAACATAAGTTTGCGCCGAGAGCGTGAACGTGCGTGCTTACAAAGCACAAGTAGCGGACTTGAGTTTTAAGTTTCAAAGAGAAAACATATAATATAAAAGAGATGTACCTAGGAGATCCCCTAATATTAACATCTTGCGCTCACACGAAATCGTCTGATCCAAACAATTCTATTCATCTACGCCTCGTATCCAATACTCGTAATCTAATCAACAATACGGTCCTACAGGAAAATTTTTCACAGGGGGTAAACCACCAGGAGAGGGGGGGCACACCATGCAACAGGGAATTATCCTATGGTCCTGGGCTCCTGATACATTGTTCCTATTGTTAAATAGATGCTGGGAATCATTTTTACAAGGCTGTTCACCTAGAAATAATCAAATGAGAACATATTCTGTGTTTTCTTGCATATGTGCTATATCTATTGATGTAGGACACTTCAGGGGGTGAAATAAAGATGGGAATCTACTCATATATGCTCATAAATGTGTTCTGAATGTCCTGGAACACCCCCCTATCAAAGGGGCAAAAATGCGAAAATGTTCTGTACCCTACCCTGTTTGAAAAAGGCCCTGGAGGATGAGCAGGCACACAAATTGACAAAAAAAGCGGTTTATTAGATAATATTATACATGTATATACCAAACTACTACTTAGATACAAGGGAGGACCTATTGTGGTGTAGTGGTGAAGCTGCAGTGAGGTGGGGAGGGTGTGGGAATAATTATAATTATGTGGTATACCATATTGGGATGATGTTTTGGGTGTTGTGGGGTAATTCCCACAGTAGGTGACTAAAAATGCGAAAATGCGGAGTGTGGGAATAATGTGGGGAGGCCTGACATGAGGAGGTGACCAAAACAGGATGTGTTTTATGAATTTCCGCTTTTGGAGGCCAAAATTGCGGAATAAAACATACCAAAACATCTGACAAATGTGGAAAACACATTTGTGACTGAAAACATAGCTGAGTTTCAAAAATCCAAAAAATGCGGCTGTGAAAGCCAAAACACCCAGCAAAATAGGGCCAGGCAAATGCCATGGATTAGGTCAAGTTGTGCTGCTGGTAATTGCCATCAAAAGTGTCTATGGTAAAAATGGTAGTTGCCATAATACTAGGTCTAATACTACAACCAGGGGTGGTATGATTGACTTTGATTGGCTTTTGTTTTGTAGAACTCGAGTCCGAGACAAGGACTGGCAACTTTATAGTTTGCCATCAGTAAGTCTATTTTATTGGACGGAAAAATAAGATTTAACTCACAGCTTTTCCCGCGGCAAGAATGAGGCCTCGCGCAGCTTCGAGAGTGTCGTCAACCCATTTCTCCAGGATAACATCACCCGGAAATCTCTTTGTCCATGTTTCAAAAACGTGGACTATGGCCTCCATCTCTGGGCCTCGTTCAACAAGTTTCAGGCCATCAACTCGACTGCCCAACCTGACTTCTAGCTCTCGATTGACGGCAGCAGCCTCGCCAATGTCCACAGCCCATTCAGCATCTGGGCTGAAGTTCGAGAATTTATACTTTGACTCCTTGGGAATAGGTATGTCTGCTGGCAATGCTGCAAGACAGAGTCGTAGTTCAGCTAGTTGATCCTTGAGATGTTGTTGCATTTAGCTTTGTGATGGGGAGGACAATACTTTTACAATATTTCTGCGACTCGAACTTCACAATTCTTCGGATTCTCGGTGATTGTCTGAATCGGCAACCAAATCTACTTATATATTTTGACTATGACGAGCCAGGGTGTTCAGAAATTAAGCTTTTTACACTGTTCCAGCCGAAACCAGCCGAACTGAACCAGACCCAAATTCACCCAAATTGACACCCCGTTTTCGAGGGTCTGAAATTCACCCTGTCATTCACGGTAAATTAGCAAGGCAAATTAGCTGGGCAAATCAGCCCACCCCAAATTCCCCGAGCCCTACATTTGAGCCGCTGGATGTGCATTTAGCGTGTATGATAAATCAGAGGAGAAATTCACTTGCTTACAAATGTGCAGTTACGGTTCGAACTGTATGATCGTCATACGCTCTTCCACGTTACTGCTCGTCTGTTCATCAGGTAACTGACCCGAAAACGATAAATTCTTAGCTAGCTTTGTCTGATCTAAAATCTGCATAATACTTATCAGAATTATATGCCATATGAGAATGCTTTAAATACCCGGACTTAGTTGGGTGGAATCCGCCAAATGCACAATTGTGACAATCCAGTTGTGTTGACCTGTCAGCTTACCACCAAGATGGTGCGTATTGCAACACCCACCTGCCGTGGCAAAGAAATATTAAATTGTTGGGAGTGACCACTGTCACCTAGTCGAGGACCAATGGCAATGTACTGCAATGATGCCGTCCCTGGTCATGTTATGTAATCTCTGATTGTTTGTACTTTCTTCCAAATCACTGAACTGATGCTAGCGTCAGAAAAAGCTTTATATGGCCGGACTCCATTGGACCAACACTGCCTACAACCCAAGAGCGCCTAGCATCCATAGCGCAGTACCAAGTCGTGTAAGCGTGATTGTCCTTTGCAATCATAGGTTGCCATTGCACCGTCAACAAAATTTCCCAGGGCGTCTGTTGTTCGGTACGTGGTTGTGATGCTAGCCGGCAATGCTCGAATCTGCTAAGTGCATAATTTAGGCGACGAGCGACAGTGCATTAATATGCCGCCTAACCTCGATGATATATGCCAACTGCACACAAAGTTAGTTTTTTATTTTATGTTTCACATTCCCTCTCTAAGTGCCGGAGTCACCCAAGGCCAGATTGGGTTGGATGAGAGCTACATTTAGGCCCAAGGTGCGGACGCATGACGTGTGGTATCCTTCGTCAGTTTATTGATGAAGTATGGTCTTCGCATACAAGGTGAACGAGCCGTTCTGTTTTCCGCAAACTCTCCCTGAACGACTCCGCTGCACAGAATCTTCGAACGCTAGGCTGCATCGCGCCTCAGGCGTCAAGGAGCTGATACTGGTAGCGCGGTTCCTTCCATCCACACGCAGTCACAGTATAGTCATCACCTGCAATCTTAGCTTGTTATTTTCATTCAACCAAGTGCAGGCATAATGTTGGCTTCATATCTTATCGTGCAAGACATTCTTTCTTTGGCAATATATTGCATAGGGAGACAAATGTGGCGCGCTACGACGACCAACTACCATTTCACAGCAGTGTGACACGTCCGTTGTCCTGCGCTCACTTCAGAGGGCTAGTTGGGTTACAAAGGGTAAACAGGTTGTTATTAAATTACATTTCTATTATATACGGACAGACATATTTGAATGAAAACTACGCAGTGACAACATCCAGACGTGTGGCGTGTTTGAGGGCAAGGCGTTTTTGTCGGATCTTGGATAAGGCGCTGTTGGCACTGGTAGGTCTCTTGGCAGCAGAGGATGTGGGAAAGACTTGACTGAGTGAGCGGCGACATATCAGCCTTGACGGCGCGGTAAACGGTGATAAAACGTACCAATTCCACCAGGTGAGCAGTTCATCAACTTCTTGACATTCTTCTGGGTCTTCTAAAAGGTCGAGGAGGCTATGATAGAACGTCTCGGAGTCCGTGGTTGTGTCGGTCCGCGAGAATACGGAGGACGAGCTGAGAGAAAATCGCACCTTTAGTCGTACATCAAAACCATTCTGCGATAAAAGTGTGATGCCCGACGGACCTGAGTTGCGATGTAAGCCAGGGAAGCGATAGTAACGGAATTCATGCCGTGGAGGCGAGCGTTTCCTGATCGCGTGGCCTTCGGCTCCCTCTCAACCGAACTCGGGGACGTGAAAACATGCTTATAGGCCTGGTGGGTTACAATGTAGTGAATGGATAGTGTAAAAATATAAGTGCGCACTCACACACACTAGCAAGCGGCTCCTAAGCAAACCACACCACGGGTCTTCGGGGTCATAAATATAGTGGGCGTACAAAAAAACGGGCCATTGATCCCCACATACTAGCATTTCACCGCTTCGGAGGTGCTCCTTCGTCCTGTTCACAGAAAACAGCGCGAAAAGAATTTAAGGACCGTAGACATGCCAAAAAATTTAAACATACTGAGGGTGGTTCCAGTCCAACCCAGCAGGACAGAGGAGAGAACCCGTGAGTTCGTGATTGAAACCGCGGTCAATCTTGGAGTTTCTGTGTAAAGGAGGTTGTATAGGTTCTCCTTTCGGAGAAATCCAGTCAAGGACCGCAGACTTCAAGGTCTTTGTGTCGTCGCCTCTGGCGCCTGCGGCTCCTTTACCGATCTGTATATCATAAGCATGAGGTCTGGCCACGCGGAAAAAAGATGTACCAGCTCTCCAACGTGAAGGATTTCTTCTTCAGATCCACCTTTCAGTCGTTCCAGAAGGCCAGGATATGAGTCTAATAGTTGCTCAAAGACGCGGTGTTCTCGCCGCTCTCTGTCATGCACGTCAGCAAACATTTAAATACAGAGATGCACACATTTACTCAGCAGGGAATTCCTCCAAAGGGGTATCTTCCAGTAACTCCAGTCTCAAGACGCCGTTGGTGAGCAAAGAAGGGTAGTTGCACAACGCGAATACCGTTCGACCAAAGTGGCGTCCGTGAGAGACAAGCGGGTCGGATGAGGAGCTGGGAGACGGGGAGAGTCAACGAAAGCTGTAGTCGACAATAGAGACTGCTTACGCTTTTTTTCGAGGCCCCATTTGGAGGGCTGACGAGCCGCGTTTGCTCGGGATACCGGAGGTGGTGTCCTGGGTAGTCATGAAGGCAATGGAGGAAGGGAAGGGTAGCCTGGAATTTGCAGCTTTTATCCGCGGCGCGACGTTACATAACACTCCATGAAAACAGCTGGCCAGCTATGCCGCTATGGTACTGGCGGCCAATGTAGCTACAATGAATGGCGTCAAAAAAGTGGCCATGAATGATGGCCAAAACAGCGGCCATGGTGAATGGCGGCCAAAGGATGGCTATAGTGACTCCAGCCCGCTCATTGGCTAGCCTGCTGGAACGCATCAACCCTGAGCTAAGCTAGCGAGTTTGATATATGAAGGGTAGACAAGAGTGGCATATCACCATCAGCATAAAGCTCCATCCTCTCGTTGCAGCTCGCCACTCAATAACACACCAGCCTAGCGTAATATGCCACATACCATGTGTGGGAACTTCACAGTGGAAGGACGTAGTATCAGTTTGAACCTGCGGTAAACCTGACGCTCCAATCTGACGGTGGGACGTACTGATGCTTTTGTTAAGGATCGAGTTAGTGGGTGATGCTAAAGGAAGCAGTGAGGAACTCGCCGGTATAAGGTCTGTCAACGCCATCAACAATTCTCGAAGCTAATTGTAGACCAGTGAGCTGAACGTTGATGACAACGATTCCTCAGCACGTGACAATGGGGCTCCACTTCCGCTGGTTATCGTCCATGACAAAGGTGAGGTGGACTCCATGATTGAGCTCAAAGAGAGACTGCGTCTGGCAGAGATTAAGTGCTCGCAGCTGGAAGCGCTGTACCAAAAGTATAGGCTTCGTTGGTTGGAGGAAAATCATCGAGTGAAGGTGCTGAAAGGGTACGCACCATATGGAATCAGTACTTGCTCTCCCCATCAGATCCCATGGAGTGCCCCTTCTCCTACTCAAAGTATGTCGAACACACTCATTCTTAAAATCTACTGACTGGACTGGCCCAGGTGAATATGATCCCGAATTTGAGGTGCAAGAGTGAATACAGAAGGTGTATCGTAGCACCGTGCCATCCTGCAATTGCCGTGACATAGATGTGAAGCCCCGTGACTAGCCGAAGAAATAGCAGATTCATGTGATTCCAGTGTGTCAGTGGACGACACGCAAAAATGGGAAGGTGAAATTTGATGATCAGAGGTATTGGGCCTGGAGTCAAAACTGGTTTGACGTCAGAAGCTGTTTCCAGAGCACTACTATCATTGAATGGCGCTACAACTGCAGCGCCTAGCTTGGACTGAGGTGAAATCCCCAGTCGGCCCTGATGTCATCTATAAGGTCACCGACGGCGCCGAGCTTCAGCCTGGCCATATCCTGGGTAATATCCCAGTCGAAAGATGCGTCGACGCCTTCGTTGAGCGTTGGTTGGAACACGCTCAGACGGATAACTAGAGAAGTTTCGGTTTTTGACATGTCGCTAAGGTTCGTACGAACAGGCAATGCTGAAGGTTTCTGGATCGAAGTTGGACGGGGGATGGGATGAGGGAGATGGCGGTGAGTCTTGCGTGGATAAAATGTTCCAAGTCTTGAGAAATACGTAAGAAGCGGCTGTCTAGAGAGACACATAATACCCAAGCTGGAGTGTAGCGAGGGGGACGACGCGTGTTGACAAGAACCATCGTTTAGTATGTTCACGCGAAGGAACGCAGCCGCCATTTGGAGGACTGAAGTACTGACGTCAGAAGCCGAATTAAGCAAAAAGCTGCAAAGAAATTAACTGACCGGTTTTGCTGGATTAGGGTTAGGGTTAGAAATATGTATTTGCCAGGAGCTGCTTGAAGGCGCCCAAGGCCAAAAAAAAGCCTATAGTAAAATAAAATAAATCCTGAGTGTTCCCAGGGCGCCCTTTGGTGCTCAGGGAAAAGCCACGCAAGTTAACAGCGGATGTTCACGGATCAGCGCCTGAGCAACTGAAAGTGTCCGCATGATGCGGAGCCGTGCATAGTGCGTGTATCGGTGGCTAGTATGAGCGGGATCCCAGTGGTACTAACTGACAGAAAAAAGAAAGGTCGAACCTTGGAAATATGATCACGTGACTATTTAAAGCCCGCCGGCAAAAGCCGGGGACTAGGTGAAGCAATCTCATTCACTAGCACAGGTCGACCGCCACTTGTGCTGATAAAATGGATTTGTTCGCATTTGTCAATCAATGTAATAGTATATTAAAATCACACTGTTTTACACAGTCGATACAGCCGCTGGCAACAATCAATACAAAGGCAAGAATAATTAATGACAACTAGAGCTCCCACAGGATGCAATCGAACGCAAAAGACGATGCACTGGACTGGTATGATCCTGACTGGAGCTGAGATGGACGGTATTACCAAACTTCAAAGTCGTTGTGAGACTGATCCGTGTCATCGTCAGTGTCCACGTCACAGTAGCGTAGCTCATCAGATAATACAGGCCGCAGGATGGATTGACCCCAGGATGATGTTTGTGAACCTTAAAGGGCATCAGCTGCGGAGAAGAACTGGTAGATTTACGCTTACTGTGATCAGAGAAATCAAATGCATGGGTGTTCTCAAGGGCTAGGGTGTATAGGGTTATCTCAGTTTGTGCGCGGTGCATCTTGGCCTGCAAGATGAGCAGATCCAGCCCATGATTGCGTAGATTGGCGTTACTGTGTCGGGTGGCGGGTGACTTCGTCATCAGCTTCGACTGCATGTCCAGTTCCGTTTGGAATGCCTCATAAAAGGCTTCTTGGACGTCGGCGGTGACCCATGTGCTCAGCAGGGGTAATGAGGGGCCAATGCGCTGTAGATAGACAGTTGAGCACAGTCAAATCAAAATTTAGAGTACTGACATCTAAATTGCTGTATGCTGGTTCTTCCTGCGCAGAGGAGGGTTGACCAAGTGATGAAGGGGGCGAGGCCTCCAAAGGGGAAGAGTTCTCCAACGGGGGGGAGCTCTCCAACGGGGGATAAAATCCCGTACGGTTGAGGTATACGTCATTCCTCATTAACCAAGCTTCGCACTTCACTCGCGTAGAGATCGAGCAGGCCAGAGGTGCACAAGGTAAAGGTGAGCACTGTGAAGGCGTACCCACATGCCTCAAGGTTACGGAAGGAGTCTTGATCTCGTGCTTGGCTGGAGTTCCAATATGTGCTACAGAGTGAGAGAGTGAGGACCATGATTCCGCATCTCAAAGTCAAAGAAGCTCACGTATTCGGAATTGCTCCAAGATTTCGATAGCCTGTGAATACAAAGATACCTCCATCTGACATCGTTTCCTCCTCTCTTCCACAAGAAATCGCTCTACAGCCGCATGCCCATGCCTTCCCCCCATCTCCATTGATCTTGCAGATGCACTGGTGGCTACGCAAGGTTTCCTCCTGCATCGCCTCTATACTGCGCTCCCCGACTAACTCCCAAAGATCACCAGGGTACACTCGATCTTTGAGTAAGTATGACAGTATGTATGATTCAGTCTGAAGCTGTAATAAATAAGATCAATTAAAATATACCAAGACACAAAATTATCGACTGACTTTCTGACTCGCTATGAGTCCGACGTATGCATCCATGAATTTAGAGCCTAATAAGGTGGAGAGGTTAAAAGTGTCCATACGAGCAGTTGAGTAATCAAATAGCTGCAGCGAAAGGCAAGTTGACATCTTTGAATGAACTTCTATCGTGAGGTAGGGTTGGGGGGGTTAGTACCTGGTATACTACAGTAGTTAGTAGCCGTGAGTGTGCTTTGAAGGTCTATTTTGTAGTGGGGAGCTTTTGAAGGGCAAGTGGAGGGTGGGAATCCTCGAGAAGCTTGAGAGCTCCGCGGCGGTCACTGAGTCCTGGCCATCAAAAGAACGAGCTAGCCATCAAAAAATGAGGTAGCCATCAAAAGAATGAGCTAATATTAATACAAGTGTGTGAAATTCGTCGACTTACGCCATTATTGCTGCAGCAGGCATCCTTGACTCTTAGAGCTCAATTGGAGCTTGTTGATATGTCGGTCCCCGTGCGTTTGAAAGTTGTTGTTCGTTTTTTCTATGTTGAATGAACTTTCCACTGGAATGGCCCCGGCCCCCGGGGGCGCTTGAGCTTGAAGTTGTTATTTCATTAAGATGTGGGTCATGTGATTGTATTTCTTACACGATACGTTGAGTGGAAGTTCGAACACAATCGATCGATCGATCAACAATCGACATACAAATTTATCAACGAGACACCATGCATCATACGGGCGTTACGATGATCAAGCTACTGCATCAAGCGATTACGACGGTGCTTTTGCACTCCCCCCGAACAGATATGGTGGTTGATCACTGGCCTGACTCCTACTCTCTTGCATTTTTTGCAGCGTTTGAAGAGAATACGGAATTTCCTCTCTGGAATCCCATCGCCGTCCGAAGAGTCAAGCTTGTTCAGCAATTCTGTTTGTTCTCTGTAGTTCCACACAAATTCAATAGGCAAGACCGGGTGTTCTTCATCATCCATCAATGAAGCTGTGGTGCTGCAGCAAAGCAAAATCATACCTCTTTGAGGGTACTGGAAGGTGGCCAAAGACGACATCTGGAAGTATATGTCTATTTTCACTGTGTGATGGTGAGTTTGGGATTCTTCTTTAGCATGAAGAGCGCTAACCTCGGTATCCGCATATATCTAATGTGCATCTCGCAATCCAGTCGGTATTCTTGTCAATCTTATTCCACCAAGAGTACACTGCCGCCTCTACATACGCCTTTCTTCCACCGCCATCCGCGCATAGGCAGCAAGGGTACCTAAATTCGTGTCCATCACGGTACCTTTCTAGATCGGGTGGCAGAATTCTCTTTCCATCACCGTCTGCAGGCCTGTGTTGTATGGCGTCATGGCCTAGACTTCGCACAGGAATCAAATGGCATCTCACCAATACCATTCAATCATGGACTTCGAGGTGCTGTCGTAGTGTAGGAGGGCGAAGCGGCAGGTTATAGCCTCCGCAATTAGTTTGCCTAACCTCCGAGAGGTGTCATGGTAGTCAGGTGGGGCAGTGATGGTAGAGGAGGGCGAGGATGGAGGTTCCATTGGGTGGTCCAGTGCGACAACAATGTATGGTCTATTATGCTTATATATTAGGCAGCGACTTTTAACCCTGCATCCTTTCTTGCCGTCATTAGGTGCGCCAGCCCCCCACTTTGTCGCCAGTGGTTCCAGCCTTACTTGCAATTTTCAAATGCACTAGCCCCACCTTCAGCCGCCCGAGGCTTTGGTCAGCGGGAATTTGGTCATGTGAGTGATGGCGATCACGCTGGCAGTCTAAGGCTTGGCTGTTTTTGTTATGACATGTCACTGACGTGCTAGTAAGTACTTTTATATCCCGCCTTGTATCATCGGGCTCAATTCCACACTCGTTTTTCAGCCCCTCCTCGAGCTCATAGACCTGGCGGGTTCACTGTCGACTCCCACTCCTTTCAGGTGCACCTGCACGCGTGAGTTTACGCAGGAGAGCGCCTACACCAAACATCAACGTTCGTGCACGCAGGGCAAGAAGCGACTATTTTCTGCTTTATCCAAAGCAAAAGACCTTTTGGGCTCTGCGAAACGGTCCCGAGTGGATGGCAGTGGCAGACCGTATGCCCGTCTTAGCACGGCGTCTTCGAGTGCGCAGCCCCACCGCCCATGCGACCTGTCTACCGACCAGGTTAATGAAGGATCTGTTGCAGGGCCTTCCAACAATGGCTCAACCCTGTCAGCAATGCAACCCCCAAAGGAAGTCTCGCGTACAGGTTTCTCATCGATCAATACCAATCTTGATGCTGCGCCTATGGAGATAGATGTCGACGAAGGTCTACCACTGGCACAGCGGAGAAGCCGACGTGTTGACGTCCCCATGCCGCTGCGCTATAGGCAGTACGAGGACGTGCTTCCACAACCTCCCCCGAGCGTTCCGTCTGACCATATTGCCCTACCACCTGATCCCAACCCACCAGCAAATCTCACTGATGTTTCCACTGGTACTCGTACATCATTTCGGGCTCCTCCTTTCCGTACGGCTAGGAATGTCTTTGGACTAGTACGCCAATTTTTCTCATCCACCCCGCCGTCTCACGACCCAGAAGAAGCTGTGACGCTACAAGATATCAGCTCTATCCCATCCGTTGCTCCAGCAGAGCCAGATCCCCCGTGCGCCCCTCGCGACCTTTCATTTCATCCATACCCCAACCGATCCTCTTTCGAGCTCGGTCACTGGTATTGGAATGGCAGCGTACAGAAGTCTCATCAGGACTTTAAAGAACTGATTGATATTGTTGGTGATGCGCATTTTGATCCTGAAGATGTGCGGGATACACAATGGGACAGGATCAACTCGACGTTAGGTGCGAGCATTCCCGACAAAGAGGGCGACGAATGGGAGGACGAGGACGCGGGCTGGCGTAAAACCCAAGTCACCATTGAAGTGCCCTTCTCTCGGACCACAGCCCAGCCGGGCTCTCAACCGTATGTGGCAGCGGATCTTTACCATAGACCTCTCGTCTCTGTCATTCGGGAAAAGCTCTCCAATGCTCAGGATGACGAGCTTTTCCATTACGAGCCTTACGAACTACGCTGGAGCGCTCCCCATCTTCCCCATGAAGTAAACATCCATGGTGAACTGTACACTTCGCCGGCCTTTATGGATGCGCACCGGAAGCTTCAGGAATCTCCTGGAGAGCCAGGATGTGAGTTACCTCGTGTGGTCGTTGCGCTTATGTTTTGGTCAGATGCTACGCATCTGACAACATTTGGTAACGCGAAGTTATGGCCAGTGTACATGTATTTCGGTAATGAATCGAAATACCGCCGTTGTAAACCGTCCTGCCATCTGGGTGACCATGTTGCCTACTTTCAAAAAGTACGATAACCCTTATGAACCCTCTGAAGTACTGACACTCATTTATTGGTAGCTTCCTGACTCGTTTAAGGATTTTGCAAGTATCTACACTGGTGGCAAGGGGGCTAGCCGTGAATGTGCAACCCATTGCCATCGGGAATTATTTCAAGGTCAATGGAAGATTTTGCTCGATGATGAATTTTTAGAGGTGTACGAGCATGGCATCGTGATCCTTTGCTGTGATGGTGTCGAACGCAGGTTTTACCCGCGGATATTCACCTACTCCGCGGACTATCCTGAAAAGTAAGTTGTGAACGTTAACCAGATGAATTTGAAGCTCACCGAAGCCAGGGTTCTCGTTGCGACGATCCGGCAGCTGGGAGGATGCCCTTGCCCAAGATGTCTGATACCGACTGTGCGGCTTCACCATATGGGAACGAGTCGTGATAGGCACGAACGTTCAACGCTGGCACGGTCCAATACCTCGAGGAGTGACCTGGTTGCCACCGCACGCAGCCTTATCTACAACAAGAACCACGGGGTAGATAGTGCAGGAGTCGAGACACTTCTTAAGCCCAATTCCTGGGTGCCGACCTCGGTGAGCATGATCATCATTCGCGTTTGCCGCCGTTACTTACCCTTGATTAGAATGTTTTCTCTGACTCCCTCGGTGCATTTGGATTCAATCTATTTGCCGCGCTTGTCGTTGACCTCCTCCACGAATTTGAGCTCGGGGTGTGGCGTATGTTACTCATTCATTTACTGAGAATCCTTTTCGCCTTGAATAAGGATCTGATCAACGAGCTTGATAAAAGGTGCTCGATGCATATCTGATGAAGGCCTGACACACTTATACGCCTTTGACAGGTTTAGGCAGGTCCCCCCATTCGGACCCGCGACTATTAGGCGGTTCTCTGCCAATACATCTGACTTGTCAAATATGGCCGCGCGGAACTTTGAAGATATTCTACAGGTATGTCTTTGGAACGATTCTCTTAGGTGCTTTGGAACTCACCTTATATAAGTGTTCTATTCCGGTATTCGAAGGCCTTCTCCCCGACGATCACAACAAAGTCGTTATCGATCTCCTTTTTATCATGGCGCACTGGCACGGACTCGCCAAACTTCGGATGCACTCTGACTTGACCTTGGAGATCCTTGACCGGCAAACCACTGAACTTGGTGAACAGCTTCGCAAGTTTAAGGAAAAGGTGTGCACTGTATACAGCACCCAGGAGCTCAATCGCGAGGTCGATGCGAGATCTCGCCGGCAGGCGAAAGAGGCAGCGAAACGGGCAGAGAAAGGCGAGGCAGATGGCAGTCGGCAAGGGGCTGCGGCGCGAACGCCTAAAGGAGGTGCCAATATCAAGGGTAAAGAAAAGGCGAGAACAGAGCAATCCCAGGACGCACCTTTACCGAGGCAACCCAGGAGGAAGAAATCGTTCAACCTTCAGACGTACAAGGTTCATGCACTGGGGGATTATGTAGCCTGCATTCGTCAATTTGGTACCACGGATTCTTACAGCACAGAGCCAGTAAGTCTTAATACATCGCCTGCCCCTCTCGAATTCAACTACTATCAGGGGGAGTTAGAGCATCGCATGCCGAAAGGCAGATACCGTCGAACCGACCGGAGGGACTTCATTCGCCAACTAACACAGATTGAACGCCGTCAAGCACGGTTACGTCGCATCAAACAACGGCACCAGAAACCGACTCCTCGTGCGGAGGTTAATGAAACTGCAAGTGATCCCCGGTTGCATCATCACATCGGCCAACGCGAGAAGGATTATGACGAGTTTGGTCATTACCTCCGCAGCCATGCGAGAGATCCTGCTATAAAGGTAATCAAACTTTTTTGTGGAGTTGGCGCCATTTTGATGTGTAATGTAGGACTTCCTGCCAAGGTTGAAAAATCATATTCTGGACCGCCTTGGTCCGGGAACTTCTGGAACGTTTGCGGAGAAATCCACCAACGGAGACGAAGAACGCAATTCAATACTATTCAAACGAAATCGAATCTACCATCACAATCTCGCAAAATTCAACTATACGACATACGATGTCCGAAGGGCTCAAGACGTTATCAACCCGACGACTCCGCATTGCAACATCATGCTCCTGCGACGTAATTGCGACGATGGAACTGATGGCGATTACTGTTTCGCCAAAGTTCTGGGCATACATCATGTTAATGCTGTTCGCGCGGGGAGCATCTATGACTCCCACCGAATAGAGTTTTTATTTGTTCGATGGTACGAATCCGTACAAAACCATGCTTGGGACACGCATACTTTGGGTCGTGTTCGATTTTTGCCCCTCGCAAGCCCAAACGCGTTCGGCTTCGTGGACCCGGGGGTTGTCCTTAGGGCATGTCACATTATTCCAGCATTCTCTCGAGGTCAGCGCAATCTGAATGACGGTATTTCTCCTCTTGCGGGGGATAAACATGATTGGAATGAATATTATGTCAACAGGTAGACAATTTGATTTATTTTAGCGATATTTACTGATATCACAACTGAATTAGCTTTGCGGATCGTGATTCGCTCATGCATTTTCACTATGGACTTGGTGTTGGACACGTATACTCTCATAGGCCGAGAATCTTAGAAAGCCTTGACTCGGCGCCACATCCTGCAGCTCAGATCGAAAATGAATCAACGGGGACCGAACAAAGTCTCACAGAAATCACCCATTGGCAAAATCCGGCTGACGATGAGAACGAAGAGGACGAAGACCACGTTGGCGTCGAAGAATTCATCCTCTTCGAGCAGCGACGTAATGGGAGCACCGAGTCGCTCATAGAGGCGCTAGAGGATATGTATACTGACCATGTGTTAGATTATGAGAACTAAACTTCTATTACATCAATTTACCCTAGCGCAGATGGGCGCAAACCCAAGTTAATTTCTGGTCATCTGGCTGTCAGTTCCAGCCATCATCAAATACCAGCCATCATCGAATGCCAGCCATCACGCTATCTCGAATTCCTGGCCGCCTCAATATCTCGTAACCATCACTACCCCGGCCACCCCTAATTTCCAGCTTCGTGGCCCTCGTAAATTAAACTCGATTTACCAGCCTGACCACTGGCAGCACTTCGCTAATGAATGGCTGCCCCTGTTGGCCCATGATATTTATTGCGCTATGATTTGCCTTCTCCCTCCCTAGTAAATCCTGAACGGCGAGTCCTTACCATCTAGATAAACCCACCCTAACTCTACCGTAGAAACCAAGTCAAATCAAATGGCGCGCCCAACATATCTATATGTACACGAATCCAATCAAGTCTTTACAATGGTCCAACTAGACGTAAGTGGGTTGCTTATGGTGGATTCTTGCTGATACCTTTTCCTCTAGCACGAGCAGGTGTGCCATTCGCCGTCAGACATCGACTAAATTAAACCGTGTTTCAGCACCCCTTCTCAGCATTCAAAAACCGCTGCTTTTCTTTCATTGGGTACATAGCTGCCCGTGGCGAAGTGTCACCTTTATATGTGAGACTCCGCCATCGAAATATCTCATCTCATCGTCGGTTTGCAGTGTGATGAGCAGTCCGAGGTCGAAAGGCCTTGGCTTCAAAAGCTCGCGGTCGTTGGAGTGCTGGGTGTCCCCGACGATGCGGGCGTCATCCACGATCACCCGTTGTTTGAAGAGACGGTGAGTAATATATTTGTCGTGTTGGATTTTCGTTTTTGAAACGGTCGACTCAGGCTGGCGACTCTGGTTTTTTGGTCAAGACCACGTTTTGTAGGTCTAATATCCTGGATAAACCAAGCTGCATGTGGTTCGTGAGTCAGCTATGCGAGGCGTCCATCCCTTTCACCCCGGCGCAATTTCCGCATGGGTTCCCGCCTCCTGCCTTTGATGATATGTCATACGTTGACTTGGCACTCTCCGATCCTTCGAGCTTCAGTGATGCCATCCGCCCATCCCCATTGGATTCCCTTTTGCTTTCCACACCCGGCTCTCCTAGCGTGTACTCCGCGTCCGCTGGACATATGTTCGGCTTTGGCGATGACGCTTTCTGGCCCCAATCGTCAGCCGCAGTCTCTGACAGTGTTACTGCCTTCGAGGCCCTGGAAGAGTCCTACGATGCTGTTACCGTCAACCAACCCTCCCCCGATTCTCATGTGCCGCTTCACCTCGACTTACAATGGAGAGATTCGATCGATCTTTGGGGCAAATACGATGTGAATCAAAAGGCAAGCATCTCGCGTTCGTTGGGGAGATCGCGGTGCTGGCCCTGAGTTTTGACACTCACGAAGACCCTTCTCTCTGGTAGTCTTTGGGTTGGGCTTTATGGCAATCCATACAAGATGACTGCGGTGGTCCACCGGTTTGCGATCACCGCAAATTTTTTAACCGCCCTACAAATTGAAGGCAAAACCTACGAAGAGATGAAGGTCCAGCGAAGTGAGCGCTTTATCGTTTAATGTTTTGGGTCAAATTATCTTAAGTTTCGTTCAGTAATCCTTAGGGAAGGTCAAAATGAGACCACCATTGGATGGCAGATACTTCGCACTCACGTGCGCTTTCTCCTTCTTATCTTTACTCACTCCTGATACATCCGAGTAGCTGCTTGGGTGGTTCGAATACACAAAAGCCGAGCTCAGAAAGGTGATGAAGGGCGCCATGACGCCGCTTACAAATTTTTGCAGTGATGGCGGGCCCAGTAGAATACACGAAATTATGCGTTTAGTCGAGCTTTTGAATTCGGAACGTCTCGTCGATGTAAGTAACAGGCCGGATCCTTGAATCTTCTTACCTCATATTGTTCGTCACTCAGGTACAGGACGCCATTTCGGAGCTGGTGGACCATCAGGTCTTTGCAGAGCTCTTCTGGACATCGATGATGATGCCAATCGCAGGGTTGACTGATGGGATACAAAGTGGGAGGGTAGCGGACTTTTTTGTCGAAGAAATCTGGACGTCGACCAAATGTTTGGCGCAGTGTCCTGTATGCTACCTATTGATATTGGTGAGTTCTTTCTCCATTTATATTTTCCAAGCGATATAACAAAAGTACAGATCTACCAGACGATGCTGATCATTTGGAAAAAACACTTGGGTAAAGACCGTCAAAAGGAACTTACGATCTACCGGGACCACAAAGCCATGCCTGAGGTCCTCATGGCCGCGCTTAGCCCCATGTATATCAAGCCATATTCGTTTCCTCAGTTCACACAAGCCGTGATACGGCTGCCTTTCATACAGTCAGTCCTTTACTTGTTGTTTTAATATTGCTCATCATGATCTACATTCAGGTATGAAAATGTGCTTCACTTCGACCCGAAAACTAAACTGCCAAGAACGATCGGAAAGGTCAAGATTCCGAGAACTATGGATGTCCTCGAGCCCATCGGGGTATTTGAGGGTGGGCACACAAACAGCCTGCCGAACAATACAGGCTTTCAGTACTTTAGGTCACTCTCAGACGTGTTGTGCGTCATCAGCGACTTCAAACCAGTGATGTCAATTTCATGAGTCACGGTACCTGACGTTTGTTGTAAATAGATTGTCGCTACTGTCAACCTCCCATGTACAACACTTACGTTCATCCTTCTTGCCCATCCGTATCTGATGTTACGTCTATATACATTGTATTTGTGTCAAGGTTCAACGTCACGAGTTTTACAACCAACGTGCGGTCGCCTACATTCTTATTCGCTCCGTATTTTAGTGCATTCACTGTAACGGGGTGCGCTCGGCTCCGAGGTAATACGTCACAATACGTGGAATTTGAGTGGAGTGAGGTTGTGTTATTTGTACTTGTTTTTCTCGTGCAATCGTTATCGTCGCCCATCTTGCCATCAGGCGTCTCAATTCATGCCTGGGAGGTTGACCATATCGCCCTTGGCAAGGTGAAGCCCGACCTATTTGTGGTTAAATGCGCAGGTTCTCCATTTCGTTCTGGCATAGGGCTTTATGACCACACTATGCTCAGAGCTCTGCAAGTTAAGGTGTCGCAGATCGCCTGCCTTTCAGATGCCTAATGATATACAAAAACCACAGGTTCGCACCGCACTTCCCTCTGTTGCTTCATGATTATTCGCTGATTAAAACTTATGGTGGATTCTTGCTGATACCTTTTCTTCTAGCACGAGTCTAAACATTGATTTTAAAGATGGGCGGAATACACAATGGGACAGGATCAACTTGAGATAAAACCATCAAACTTGGTGAACAGTTTCGTTAGTTTAGGCAAAAAGTAAGGTGGCGAAGTGTCACCTTTATATGCGAGACTCCGCCATCGAAATATCTCATCTCATCGTCGCGCCCGTGGCGGTCCAACTTGATGTAAGTGGGTTGCTTATGGTGGATTCTTGCTGATACCTTTTCTTCTAGCACGAGTCTAAACATTTATTTCAAGGATGGGCGGGATACACAATGGGACAGGATCAACTTGAGACAAAACCATCAAATTGTTGAACAGTTTCGTCAGTTTAGGCAAAAAGTAAGGCGAAAGTCTTTGGACAGGTGCTCAAGATTTGGGCAGATGTTGATGTTAAAGGAAACGAAAGGGCGGGCCCAGAGCAAATCACAGGATGCACCTTCACCAAGGCAACTCAGGAGGGTGAAATCGTTCGACCTTCAGACGTACAAGGTTCATGTGCTGGGGGATTATGTGCTGTGATGGTGTCGAACGCAGGTTTTACCCGCGGATATTCACCTACTCCGCGGGCTATCCTGAAAAGTAAGTTGTGAACGTTAACCAGATGAATTTGAAGCTCACCGAAGCCAGGGTTCTCATTGCGACGATCCGGCAGCTGGGAGGACGCCCTTGCCCAAGATGTCTGATACCGACTGTGCGGCTTCACCATATGGGAACGAGTCGTGATAGGCACGAACGTTCAACGCTGGCATGGTCCAATACCTCGAGGATTGACCTGGTTGCCACCGCACGCAGCCTTATCTACAACAAGAACCACGGGGTAGATAGTGCAGGAGTCGAGACACTTCTTAAGCCCAATTCCTGGGTGCCGACCTCGGTGAGCATGATCATCATTCGCGTTTGCCGCCGTTACTTACCCTTGATTAGAATGTTTTCTCTGACTCCCTCGGTGCATTTGGATTCAATCTATTTGCCGCGCTTGTCGTTGACCTCCTCCACGAATTTGAGCTCGGGGTGTGGTGTATGTTATTCATTCATTTACTGAGAATCCTTTTCGCCTTGAATAAGGATCTGATCAACAAGCTTGATAAAAGGTGCTCGATGCATATCTGATGAAGGCCTGACACACTTATACACCGGGCAGAGAAATGCGAGGCAGATGGCAGTCGGCAAGGGGCTGCGGCGCGAACGCCTAAAGGAGGTGCCAATATCAAAGGTAAAGAAAAGGCGAGAACAGAGCAATCCCAGGACGCACCTTTACCGAGGCAACCCAGGAGGAAGAAATCGTTCAACCTTCAGACGTACAAGGTTCATGCACTGGGGGATTATGTAGCCTGCATTCGTCAATTTGGTACCACGGATTCTTACAGCACAGAGCCAGTAAGTCTTAATACATCGCCTGCCCCTCTCGAATTCAACTACTATCAGGGGGAGTTAGAGCATCGCATGCCGAAAGGCAGATACCGTCGAACCGACCGGAGGGACTTCATTCGCCAACTAACACAGATTGAACGCCGTCAAGCACGGTTACGTCGCATCAAACAACGGCACCAGAAACCGACTCCTCGTGCGGAGGTTAATGATTCTCTCGAGGTCAGCTGTGCATCTCTGTATTTAAATGTTTGCTGACGTGCATGACAGAGAGCGGCGAGAACACCGCGTCTTTGAGCAACTATTAGACTCATATCCTGGCCTTCTGGAACGACTGAAAGGTGGATCTGAAGAAGAAATCCTTCACGTTGGAGAGCTGGTACATCTTTTTTCCGCGTGGCCAGACCTCATGCTTATGATATACAGATCGGTAAAGGAGCCGCAGGCGCCAGAGGCGACGACACAAAGACCTTGAAGTCTGCGGTCCTTGACTGGATTTCTCCGAAAGGAGAACCTATACAACCTCCTTTACACAGAAACTCCAAGATTGACCGCGGTTTCAATCACGAACTCACGGGTTCTCTCCTCTGTCCTGCTGGGTTGGACTGGAACCACCCTGAGACTCCTGTCGAGGGCACCGTCCACACCTCCGTATTTGCTTATTCTATTCGCAGTTTCTCAAATTGCTGCTGCTTGCCTTTACTAGTTTTCATTGACGGATTATGATGCCGGTCCAATCACCACTATTCTAGTTCGGATAATAATTTTGGCGTCTTTCGTTTACGTGGCTGGCCTTTTGCCACTGCAGGCTGTGCGACCTGCGCTCAATGTCGCCAACTCCGCTGATGTGTGTTCGTTCAACTATGTTCCCGACCTACTTACTGACCCTGGGGATTAGATTCCGTCATCCAATATTTCCTCTCCCGAAGATAATGCAAACCTTTGGTCATGGTGTACTCTGTCATTTGTAGAACCTATATTGGACCTGGCGTGGAAGCGAACATTGAACAAAGCCGATGTCTGGTGCTTGTCACCGTTCTTCCGACACAAGAACTTGTTCAACAAATGCCTTGATTATCGTTCACGGTAGGCAGCTACTGTCTTCTACAAAAGTCAGTCTCTTACATGCAGTTAGCTACCCGACGCACTCTCTGCTGCGCTATTTGCTGGTATCGAACTCTCTCGACCTACTCTTGAACCTTGCCTTGGAAATGTGGGGTCCGGGCAGAGTGATATATCATTGATCTGCAGGCTTCGTGCCAGCTTATGCACTCCGGATGATTCTATCATCGCTGGATAACCCTACTTCTGACTTGGTATCGACGGCCAAATATTGGGCACTCCTTACATTTGTAGCAAATTTGTCTTTCGCGCAAGTCGATCTCTTCAAAAACTGGCACACTCGCCGATTTTATGAACGGACTCGCGGACAACTCTTCTGTGCTTTACACTACAAAGCATTGCGCCGCAGGGATATCAGCGGCAAAATTGCCAGCGGAGAAGACGAAGAAGGAAGTGCTGACCTTGGGAAAATAGTGAATCTCATGCAGTGTGTTTCCCCTAGGGCTGTGGTCTCCTGTGACTGATTAACTCCTCTTCGAAGAGGCGATGCGTATGCTGTCGCTCAGCGGTTTTTGGATTTTGCTACGATCTTCTCGTCTCCTGCACGGCTCGTGATAGCGTCGATCTTCCTCTACAGGTAAGTCACAGATTTCCCGAGATATCGAGCTAAGTAATACCTTAGGATATTGGGATGGAGCGCAATTTCAGGCGTCGCTGTGATTCTTTTTGCCTACATTTTGAACTATCCGTTGGCGACATAAGCATCAAGGTTTGGAGTCTCGGCTATTTGATCTCCCTGGCTAATGTGTCACAGATTACCCGAGCATCATGGAAGGCCAAGGATAAAAGGATGAATGTCGTGAACGAATTACTCCAGAACATCAGATTTTTGAAGTTTTACGGTTGGGGTAGGTGAGCAGAATTTAACATGTGATTTCACTTGACTAGCATTTCATAGAGAATCAGTGGGCACGTACTGCTCATCAGGCACGAAAAGAGGAACTCGACTGGCGGATTAAAGAGAATGTCGTCGATACTATCATCTCTTTCATATGGTAGGCTATTCGTTGTCCAGACTCCGCGCGTACCTATGGCATTTTTAGGACGTGGATACCTTCAGCGACAGCCCTTGCAACATTCTCTTGGTACACTTTGGGCGAACAAGAGCAATTGACGGTATCCAGGGCGTTTCCTGCAGTTGCTCTGTTCTCACAGCTACAGGAGCCGATGATTGCTCTCCCTGGTCAATTCTTTGCGGTGCTTCTTCGTCAAAGTTCGCGCGGGGATCATATACGAATCCATACAAGATCGTTCCTGGGATGCACATACTTTGGACCGTGTTCTATTCCTGCCTGTTGAAAGCCCGAACGCATTATTCCAGCATTCTCTTGAGGCTGGCGCAATCTGAATGACGGTGTTCCTCCCCTTGCGGGGGATAAACATGATTAACGTAATTGCAACGATGGAACTGATGGCGATTAGTGTTTCGCCAAAGTTCTGGGCATACATCATGTTAATGTTGTTCGCGCGGGGAGCATCTATGACTACTCCACAAACTCCCCCTGCACGGACACCCGGTCCTGTCCTAGCTGGAGGTTACTTTGACCTCGCAGTTTCCCATACATCATCTCCGTTGGATGAGCATGTAAATGCAGGCGCAAACGTCTCGGCAGATCACATCTCCACATCTCCACCTCCACCTCCACCTGCTCCAGCACCTGTGCCTGCCCCTGCCCCTGTCACCGAATCCGACCCACTTGCGAATCGGCCAACAGCACCCAAAGCAGCGAAACCCAACCCTCGTCCTCGGGGTTCATCCGTCTCCTCTGTGCAGGCCATGGCCCAGCGACAACCGAGCCAGAAGCCAAGCTCGACCTTCCAGCCTCCTCGCGAGCGGGAGATTGTTGGCACCACGTACACCTGGAGTAACCCGAGCAGTGAATTTAACCAAAGCAAGGGGAGCCTGGCGTGCGTTTTTCTAAAGTTACTAGTTCTCTTTGACGATGGTCTGATGAACACTTCAGCATGCCTTCGGAGGACCCGTTTGCGTGTCGTTGGTGCAGGTTCTGGTACTTCACTCCAGCCCACCGTGAGCTCACCTTTCAAACCTTCAACGCTTCTGGCAAAGATAAGGGGAATTCGCCATCCCTCAATCAGACACATCTTGTCCGGGTTCGAGGGTGTAGTCGCTCCTGGCGAAATGCTGTGTAAGCACACGGCCTTCCTCACTGACACTGGAACTCTGGTCTTAACCTTCTGTACAGTGGTCCTTGGCCGTCCCGGCACCGGGTGCTCGACCTTCCTCAAGACGCTCGCTAACCAACGCGGGGAGTATCATGCTGTCGAAGGTCAAATTTTCTATGATTCATTCACCCCAGAGGAGATACATAACTCCTTTCGTGGCGATGTCACTTATTGTCCGGAGGATGATGTCCACTTCCCGACGATGACCGTCGAACAGACGCTCTCTTTCGCTGTTAGAAACTGTACTCCCGAAACTCGTCTTCCCGGCCAGACACGCGAGAACTATGTTGAGGATACCACCGAAATGCTAATGAAAGTCCTTGGCCTCTATCGTTCAAAAGATACCATTGTTGGCAATGCTCAGATCCAAGGTGTTTCCGGTGGCGAGAGAAAGCGAGTTTCTATCGCAGAGACTTTAGGCTCTGCAGGCTCACTTGGTGCATGGGATAAGTAAGGTCTTAACATTTGAGGTGTCATGATTCTGACTTGTTTCTCATTCAGTTCCACTCGTGGACTAGACTCCTCGACTGCCCTTGAGTTTGTTCGCACAATGCGTTCCATCACAGATATCAAACGCACAACTACGATTGTCTCCCTCTACCAGGCGGGCGAGTCGTTATACGATCTATTTGATAAAGTCTGTGTGATCGCGGAAGGGAAGATGGCCTATTTTGGTCCGGCGAAGTCAGCCAAAGATTACTTCATTGGTATGGGTTTCGAACCACAAAACAGGCAAACTACCCCCGACTTCCTGGTTGCAGGTAAGCCATTACAGTTTGCTCCTATTGTCGTATCGTCATTATCATCATCATTAGTTACGGACCCCAACGGGAGGAAAATCCGCCCTGGACATGAGAGCTCTGTCCCACGAACGTCGGAGGAACTTGCTAGTCGGTTCATAGCTTCTGACCTTGGTCGTCAGAATCAGAAAGCCATTGAACAGCGCCGCGAGGAATGCGTTGGCAATCACGAAAACAAGCAGGCATATCTGTCCAGTGTGGCCGCTGAACATGCCAGTACATCTACTCCTTACATGACTTCTATTTTTCAGCAAGTCAAAGTGGTCATGAAGCGCCGCGTGCAAGTTATTGTTGGTGACAAGTTCGAGTTCTTTATACGATTGGCGTAGGTGGCATTTTTTCTTCTTGTCCAACCCTCAGTGACACTAGGTGATAGATCCCAGGTCTTCCAAGCGTTAATTATGGGCACCGTCTTTCTGAACGTGCCAAATGACACCTCGGCCTATTTCTCCCGTGAAGGTGTTCTGTTCTTGTAACTATCTTCCCCTGTCGTCGTCTTAATTGCGCCTAACGGCTCTTTCAGTTCCCTCTTCTTCAATGCTATTACATCTGTTGCAGAAATCCCTTCACTGTTCTTCCAGCGTCCTATCGTGCTTCGTCACCAGAAAGCCGCGTTACATCATCCTTTTATTCAGGGCCTCGCCCATACTATTGTTGATATTCCGGTCACTTTGATCGTTCAACTGGTGTTCGCTGTGGTACTCTACTTCCTGGTTGGGTTGCAACATTCTGCCACACAGTTTTTGTAAGTTCTTCAAGCCGTTTGCTCTTCACGTTCATACTCACCCTGCTGCACAACAGCATTTTTTACCTGTTTATCTTTTTAATGTCGCAAACCATGAAATCATTCTTTAGAGCTATCGCTGCAAGCTTTAAAACTCGTCCTAGTGCAATAGCTCTTAGCGGTATCTTCGTTCTCTTGATATCGCTCTACGGTGGGTACACAATTCCTTGGCCAACTGCACCAAAGGGCTTGCGGTGGATCATGTGGTTGAACGTGCGTAATCCCCTTTACAATACTTTCTTTTGGTTAATATCGATATCGCTGTCTTAGCCATTGTGGTGGGCGTTCGGTGGACTTGTGGTGAACGAGTTCAATACGATCAACGGAGCGTGCTCCACTCTCGTCCCTCAAGGTCCCGGTTACGAGAATGTTTCGCTTGCAAACCAGGTTTGCACGACTGTCGGATCGCAGCCCGGGCAGCTTCTTGTTGATGGCAACATCTATGTTGCATTGACGTTTGACTTTTGGTATAGTCAACTTTGGAGGGTAGGCCTGTCACATTATACTTGGCGAATATCTCATGATTATCACCGCAGAACTTTGCTGTCCTTTGTGCTTTCTACCTTGGGTTCCTGGCCATTTTCCTAGTTGCCACACAACTCAACACTTCGTCTGCTTTCGATACTGCCGTCGTTCTCTTTAAACAGGGTTCTACTGTTGTCGATGAGAAAACCAAGGTCCTTGATGAGGAAAAAGCAGATGCAGAATTTCATTCTAGATCCCACTCAGATGCAGCTGATTCCTCGGCCTTCAACAATGTGGAGAAGAACACCGCGGTTACGGACCTCTTCACGTGGCAACACCTGCAGTATGACGTCCCCACTGAGGGAGGAATGAAACGCCTTCTCGATGATGTCACGGGCTTTGTTGCCCCTGGGAAGCTCACCGCGCTAATGGGTGAATCTGGCGCTGGAAAGGTATACCTTCCTATGATACACCAGTCGCGCATGTCACTTACTCAAATACCTGTAGACAACGCTCTTGAATGTTCTTGACCAACGTGTCGGTGGTGTTGGTGTGGTGACTGGCGAGCGATTCTTTAGCGGACAACCGCTCCCCGTAGATTTCCAAGCTCAGACGTCAGTATCGTCCTGAATTTGCCGATCGTATCTGACTGACTGTTATGTTTAGTGGTTACTGCGAACAACTCGACACCCATCTTCCTGAGGCGACTGTTTGTGAAGCGCTCCTTTTCTCTGCTAATCTTCGCCAGCCACAGTTGGTTCCTCTCGCTGAAAAGGAAGCATAGTGCGTACGATTTTTGCACATGCTCAACTCACACTTAACTTTCCACTGCAGCGTTGACAAGTGTCTTCAAATGTGTGGTCTAGAGGAGTATGCCGACGCTATTGTTGGTTCTCTCGGGGTTGAGTGCCGTAAACGTACCACCATCGCAGTGGAGCTCGCTGCCAAGGTTTGAATCTAAACTTCTTGAGGCTACAGTAGTTGTGCTAAAAAGACCAACAGCCCAAACTTCTACTCTTCTTGGATGAACCTACGTCCGGCCTAGACTCGCAATCTGCCTGGGCTATCGTGCATGTCCTTCGTGAGCTTGCTGATCGTGGTCAGGCCATTCTCTGCACGTGAGTGCCCTTTCTGCGTGTGGGTTTTCAATGCTTATGAGCTGTACCAGAATCCATCAACCTTCGGGAGAGCTCTTCCAGGTCTTTGACAGGTTACTGCTCCTTCGCAAGGGTGGACAGACCGTCTACTTTGGCGATACTGGCGAGAACTCGTCGACTACGCTGAATTACTTTGAGCGTAACGGTGCTCCGCGCTGTGGCTCCGATGACAACCCGTAAGTAAGGTGCAGTCATATTAGGTCTTGCGCTTACCAGGGTATTGAAGGGCGGAATACATGCTTGATGTGATTGGTGCTGGGGCAACTGCAGTCTCCACCACTGATTGGTGTGATGTCTGGAAGCGTTCACCAGAAGCGGCGCAGCTTCAAGAGCAGATCGACAACTTGCATGAACATGGTCGTACTCACCCACCACAGCTGAGCGTCCGGCACTCTGTCTTCACTACCTCATGGTGGCACCAGTTCGTTACGCTCACCCACCGAAACTTCCAAGCATACTGGCGCAATCCTACGTATATCCGCGCCAAATTTGTGCTTAACATCTTTGGCGGTCTCCTTGTGGGCTTCACATTCTTCCGGTCAGATGATTCTTTGCAGGGCACCCAAAACAAGCTGTTCATAAGTATATCAATTTGGGTTCTTGGTTTCATGCCAATCTCACTCCTCTTCAGTCAATCTTCCTCGCTCTTGTGCTTTGTGTTCCACTCACCCATCAGATCATGGCCGTCTACATTGACATTCGCACAGTGTACGAGATACGCGAACGTCCTAGTAGAATGTACAACTGGACTGCTCTCGTCATGTCACAGCTTGTCGCTGAGCTTCCCTGGAACGTGACAGGTTCTGTGATGTTCTTTTTCTGCTGGTACTGGACCGTTGGATTCCCCACAGCCCGGGCAGGCTACACGTTCCTCATTCTCGCCATCGCCTTCCCGTTGTACTATACTACGTTTGGACATGGTATCGCGTCCATGTCGCCCACCGCTCCAGTTGCATCCATATACTTCACAACTCTCATTATACGCAGACCCAGGCCCGCGTGCTCCGAGCTACCATCTTTACCCTCCTCATCAGTCTGCTGAACTTTCGTCGCCCATTGTTGATGAGTATGTGTTCTGCATCCTCTGCATTAGCTTTGAAGTAATGATCGAGTTGGTTAGTTCTTTTGACCCTCGATCCCCACGAGACGATAATATGATAGCTCCTGCTGAGCTAGTGGCGGTATCACTACCCGCTATGCATGAAGTCAACATTAATGGCCTCCTTCCTGTTTCTACGACTTGGAGTCGAAGGCCGTTTCCCGCGGTCTTCCCAGGTCCCTTTCATTTCCATTGAGTTTCCTGATGAATAATTGTTGTTTCTAGTTTCTAATACTGACGCTGCTGCCGCCTTTGCGTCCGGGTCGTCTTCTACAAATGCGATCGGTGTCACGGATGACGTCGATGTCAATGGGAACCTTAATTTGAAAATTGAGATCGAAGATATTGACCTTGACAAGATGCTCGAAGTCAATAGCGCGATCGCAGTCGAGAAGGAAATTGCTGCAGACACGATTGGAACGCTCTTCGCTGCCAAGCGCAACCACTTCTTCCCTTTCGTCGAACCTTGTGCTCTCGAGCTTGTCAACTTGCTCACACATTTTTATGAGGGTATTCGCAAGTCCGCGATGGACTCTTTGTTGGAGATGGTCAGAACATTCTACGAACTGAGCGGTGCGTCAGACTGGACCCCTGGGGCGACGGTGGTGAGTCACAGTTAATATATCTCAGCATGATGTCAACGCACGGAGGTTCAGAGCAATGCGTGCTTTGCCATCAGTCTTCTCGTTGAACACGATGAAGTCAACCTTTCACCGCAATATATGCAGAATTGGAATTGCGAAGCACTAACGATTAACATCTCACGTTTCAGACCTAACGTTTGACGACGCGACATCTGTGGTACACCCTCTCACTTCCTCAAGGTTCCCTCCTGTTCCCTCAACGCTCAAGTCTCCCTCCCATTCCCTCGATGCTCAAGTCTCCCTCCCGTTCCCTCGACGCTCAAGTCTCCCTCCCGTTCCCTCATGTTTGCCCTGCGATCTAACATGACAGATCGACCGATACTACGAAGGTAAGCACATATAGTTACTGGTAGATGCGTTACTCACCTGTGATAATCTGGTCTTGGCACCACTTGCCTCGGTGGCACAAGCGACGATCTACCTGCTATCACCTCCGATACGGGTGTACGGCCTTCGATAAAGCGGGAGTATTGCTTTAAATCGGGTGAGTGGAATTTTTACGAGTGTTTTTTGCACTTACCGCATTTTGTGGTCCCATAGCTGATAGTGATGTTGTTGATCTGAGGTGGCAGGTGTGCAGCGGCGGTCATCACAGGACATCACCCCTTTTAGGGTGGTGTGACATAGTGTGACATAGTGTGACGTCGCTTTTGGTATATCGCGGATGCTTGTCCTTCCGCTGCTTTTACTTAAAGCTTCCAGTGGTGAACACCATTGTCCGACCGTTTATTGCACATTTCGGAAGTCGAGGGGTTTATTTCGGTCGAGGTGTACGTGGTATTTCGCGACGGGAGACACAAAGGGTGTCGTGCGGCTATGGTACTGCTTAAACCAGAGCAGGCCAGTAGTTGCTAACGTAGAAAAGCGATCGCAAACCTCTATGCTTCATTGGCATGCCCATGCGATCTCATCTATTGCGTTCACCACGAACGGGGCGTATCTGCTATCCGGCGGTGAAGAAGCTGTTCTCGTGATATGGCAGCTGCACTCCGGAAAGAAGGAGTTTGTACCCCGAGTTGGCTTGGCCATCAAAAGTGTTGTGGTCTCGCGCGGTTCTGCCGCTGAGGAAGAGTACCTTCTTGGGTTGGCGGATGCAAGTTTTGCATTTGTCAGTTCTGCCACGCTCAAGTTATCACGAGTTTTTTCTCGCATAAAACTAGGTGCGTGCCTTTGCATCTGTCATACGAACCTGCTTGTGTTTACCTCTTGAACTTAGACTCCGTCACGTCAAGTGCCTGGGCATCCTCGTCCTCCGCCACACCACTTGCAGTCCATTCGCTATCATCGACACTCGTTCTTCCCTCTTCTCATCCTTCTTCACTACAAACCTACTCTCCTTTGTCATCCATGCTCGTTGCAGAGCTCGAGGTGTCACCTTCGAACCAAGTGTCAAAACAAGAAGACAAGATGTTGGAGCCATCGCGAGTAGAACGTGTGGTAAGCTCGCCATCAGGAGAGTGGATGGCGACTATTGACCGGCGAGAAGGGAACGAGTCATTCCGTGGCGAGATATACCTCAAGATATGGTGGTGGGACAAGAAATTTGCTTTTTGGATATTGAATACCAAGGTAAATTGGCCGCATGGCCTGAGCAAGGTCACTTCTGTCTTTTAGTCCTTCAGATGACATCCAGCTGGTGACTACTGGTGAGGATAGAAATGTCAAAACTTGGAGAATACGGAGTATCAAAGATAAGAAGGGCAATGTAGAAGGTATGTGCAAACATTCTGTGTGAAGCCGCAGTTTTGTGACCGCCCGTTAGTTTCCTGGACCTCAAGATCGTCTTTCGGTTTCCGTTCTGAGATGCCCAGAGACTCGGCTTGGTCTCCGGATGGCTCTCTTCTGGCTGTTGCGCTCGACGCCTCTGGCGTTGTATGATTCAATATCAAACGCACTTCACTTCACTATAGTGTGTTCGGAATGCCCAAAAATATTGTCCATGCACTTCATTGGGCATCATGGCCAGTATATTGCGGTCCTTGGCGGCTGCAACCTTGTTGTCTGTGATATTATTAATCGATCTGGTGCGTCTTTCCACTCAATTAACGATCTACATCGAATTGAACATACTGCACATACTACAGTATGTTGGCATCATCGGCACCACTACCCTTTTGTCACTCTTGTACCCTATCCTTATCAAGATACCTTCGCAACGATTCACCATTCGCCATCAAACACGAATAATGGGCTCATAGTCTACTCCATATCGTCGTCGGCTCCGCAGCTTTCACAAACGTTACCGTTCGGGATACGGAATTTAGTTTGGTACCCAGCTTCGCTCGCAGCCGGACGTTTTCCCTTGTAGGAATTACGCATGCTTTTGGTGTCGTGGTTCTAGGGCACGACATCAGCATAGCCGATGAGGCAAGTTCGTCAACGAAGGCGCTCCAGAAAGGGCAGGCGGTACCTAAGCGATCTCTCTTTGAGGAGATGTTTGGTGCACCGGCTCTTACCGATGTCTCTCACAATGTTGTCTCGTCGATAATTGACACCTCCCTCCCCTGGAAAAGCAGTGAGACGGGAAGTTTCTTTGATGCCGCTGCTTACCTCATGCCGCCGATGGAGAGTCTGTTCGAGCCGTTGATCAACGGCTTCCTCAAGATGCGCATGAATGAAAATCTGGACGAAGAGCGTCAGAGTGGCGTCCAGGATGCTGCTGATGAAATGTCCGCTGAACCTATGGACACGGAAGAGCCTATAGAGATGGGCAAAGTTTCGAAAGATGAGATCCTTGACACATTTGTACCATTCTTCAAGGACATTGCAGGTAAATAATTCTCTCTCAGTCGTCTCTGGTGTATGGTTACTCAATCGAATTATTCGAAGGTCTATCTGATTACCCGTTCCATGCTGACAATTGTCCGGCCACATTGACACCATCCTCGAGGCCGCTCCCATGATTGGAGAGATTGGTGCTGGTATCCAGATGGGCCCAAATCTGACCCGCCTTCTAATCCGCTTGGGTCTGGGCAAGCGCCTTGCTGTCAAGCCCGAAGGATTGGTCTTCGAGCGATGTGAGTCATTGAACCTATGTTCACATACACAGCTTATCCCTCTCGCCTCGTAGGGTGCGCCGGCGAGACTGCTGCATGGTCAATGTGGGGAGACACTATGGAGGAAGAGTGTGGGGCTCCTTGCTATCACATCCACGTTGAGTTTGAGCTTCACTTGGTGTCTATTACTGTGAAACTGATGAAGATTATATATGCAGCGTTCTGATTTTCATCGCATGGTGCTTGAACTGGCAGAGCCTCATCGTACCATTCGCATGAATTGCCGGGTTGTTTCCATGGACACGTCAAAACCTACACTCACTCTCGAATCTGGCGATGGCTTAGTCATCAGTGCTGATGGACTTCAAAGTATTTTTGCATCAGTACGTTGTAGGTGGTCCAGATTGAGCGAGACCCACATGGGACGCTGCGTACAGGGCCACTATCCCGACAGAAAAGCTTCTTCAAGACCCAGACCTCCGACCCTTGGCCCAAAAATTCTGAAATGGTCGGTTGGATAGGTCTACGACGCCATATCATGGGGTATAACATTGTACGAGGTCAAATTTTTCCCCGCACATCAGAGTCTTCATCATTTCACCTGCGCAGCGCGGTCAAAGAGAGTATGGTCTCGTGGTGGCGCGTCCCGACGGCGGCGGCGAGGAATCATGGACTGCCACGGGCAGCGCGGGCAAAATGAGAGCTGAGTTTGCTGGTTGGGAACTTCGGTAAGCGTTCTTCACTTTCAATAACCCCGTCCTTGCGCTCGTGAATTGAAATAACATTCAGCCCTCCTGAAACTTGGATACACAAGGACGGGAAACTGGTTCTTTTGGGAGACCTCATGCTTGTAGGTCTCATTATCTCCGTTTAGTGCCATCTGACTCATTCGGCTACTGAGCCATATCGTGCTTAAGGTTCTGCAATAGCCGTGAGTCGTTTCTCTTAAAGAATGTGACCACAGCCTACAATATATATTTTTCAGGTCGAAGATGCTGCTGTTTTGGGCAACCTTTTCTCTCACCTCGCGCACCAATAACTATATAATGCTATGAAATTTTGGTTTGACGTTGCAAACCTCCCCGATTTCGTGATGTGTGATAAGGATTTTGTAGCCTTTTGTAACTCTGTACCTGTCAAGTATCACTCTTGTGAGACACGACAAATTCTCGTCGCAATTGTGGCTGCTATGTATCGCTTTGTCTAAGAAGGCAGCAGTGATCAGTTTCCATCGCTGTGATAAGGATTTTGTAGCCTTTTGTAATTCTGTACCCGTCAATTATCACTCTTGTGAGACACGACAAATTCTGGTCACAATTGTGTTTCTTTTACAATACATTGTCCTTTGATGCCAATCTGCTTATGTTTATGTATCACCTTGTCTGGCTTTGCTTTTGCGTATAATCCTGTGGATTTTTGATATGATCTTGCCAAATAAATCTAGGAAAAACATCGTCTCCCCGATTTCGTGATGTTAGTGTTGCCGTTGACATAATGGCTTTCCACCTTGGTCCTGCTTTGAAGTTCGATGCGTCGGCTCGCTCGATAACCGGTTTGAAGATTCTGAACCAATGCAGCCTGGCGTGACGTGTAGGTCGTCGTCGTTGTCGAGACAGGACAAGCCAGTGCCAATCGATATCTGTTGCATGGTTGTCAAACGCATCAATCTAGAATGAACAAAGTAGCAACAATTCTGGATGTGTGGCACCCTTTGTCACGGTAGGCTACCCTTTGTTCTATATTACTATATTATGTTGACACTCGCGGCTTGCTTTGCACAACACTAGCACTCTACATCAACATATAGAACTCATGCACCAGGCTCTACTCATTTCCGAAGTTCTCTTGGAGATATTCACACATCTGAAGACCTGGAACCCACCCGAGCCGTTCATAGGCCACAAATCATTGGTTCGGAAATATCTTGCAGCACTTGCAAGGACATGTAAAGCCTTCTACGAACCTGCAATGGATTTGCTGTGGGCTGACTTCGATTCTGACGAGGATTTAAATCCGCTATTCGGTTGTGTTACGAGGCTACATCCGTTGATATATGATATCGATCCAACTGTGAGTGCGGACTAGTCGTGCTCCGTTCATTTCCTTTCGTTCATGAGCTGATTGAGCATCTGAATAGCACGATGAATCCACCTCACCAACAAGAGTCGAACCATTATCTGCCGACGAGACCCGTCAGTTTTTGCGTCACTCCCACCGTGTTCGCTCGTTGCACGTATCACCCGAGCCGTTTCTTTACCTCCTCTCAGCTATCCCCATGGAGGCATGCGTCTTTCCGAGGCTACAGTCGTTACACTGGTGGGCTGACACCGACGAATATTTCGATCTATTCCGGTCCCGTACGCTGCGCCGGCTTTCTCTGTGGACCCTCACTAAAGATCTGCAATCTATTGTCGCTCGCTGTGATACTTTGGAAGACTTGTCTGTCGGCGACTATGAGCTATATGAGCCGTCCCTGCTGTCTGACAGCGTCAGTCTGTGCAAGCGGCTTGTGAATCTGCATTGTCCGCTGCTCGACTGGGCAGGATGGAATCACCTCTCCAACATCCCCACTCTTCTCACAGTGGAGGATAACATCGTCCCTCCTTGGCCGTCGGACCAAGTCTTCGAAGATTTCTCACAATTCCTGAATGTCACGTTTCTTCAGTTCTTGCTGGAGAATGTCGCATACACGATCGCAATCATGGAACTTTCACAATTTCCCTCACTGAAAGAGTTCGAGTACATTATTGAAGAGATGACTGCGGCAGAGGCTGCCCAACTCTGTCGTGCGCTGTCCCACTGCAAAGCAAAGCAGACCCTGGAATCAATCAACATCCTCACTTTAGAATCCCAGGAGCCTCTGGGCACGTTTCGAACCATGATTCCACACCTCCTTTGCTTGACACAACTCCAATATCTGCGGCTCCGTTGTGAAGATAGCTTCGTTTACATTGACAACGATCTTCTCTTGAAAGCCATGTCAGCTTGGCCCCACCTCCGCCATCTGGACTTGGAAACCTCGTATCTTTATCCTTCCGTCACCTTCCGCGGATTATTCACAGCGCTCCGTCGATGTCCACACCTGCATTTTCTGCGAATCGCAGTCGATATTGTGAATATCGACATCGATCCCAATGCCGAACTGACACCGCATACCTCCCTAGAAGTATTGAAGTTGGACACAGAGCCAGAGTCACCCATACCGAATGCTGAAGCGCTCGCTCGTCTCGTTTTCACCTGGCTCCCTTGTGTTGACCAAGTTGGCGCGATGGGGGACTATCGGGAGCACTGGGAGCACTGGGATGAAGTCAACGGCCATCTTCATGATTTGCGAGACCAAAAAGACCGAACGCGTGAGTAACTGTATGGGGTATGTTCAAGTTGTCGCTATGAATAGGAGCAGTCGGACGGGTAGATCTTGATATCGAGTTAATTGGCATGTACATAATGATATTTGGTATGCAAAACGTGAAGTGTCTCGTTGAACTTGCTAGTTGACCTCAGGCTGTCACGAGATTCAAGACAGTACTCAGAACGGACCTCGCGCGGCTGCATGACAAGAGCTACCATGGCCTACTCGTAAGTGACTACTACGCAAAGTTAAAACACGCCACCAGGAGCAGCCATAGAAGAGAACATCAGTCCTTGACTAGCTGACACAAAATCCCACCCCTTCGCATTCGCATTCTTCCTCGTCTTCTGCACAATCAGCACGCATGATATGAACACCTTTTCGCGTATGAAATCAGCTTCGGGTCGTAAGCCCAGGTTTGTTCAGATGAGTGGTGCTAGATGCTGCACTACACTAGAACTCTCACCTTTCGAAATGAATGTGCGCGTGCACAGTGGGTATGCGTGCAGTCGAGAGTTTTGCTTTTGCAGGCAACGGTGTTTCCCGTGGAAGATCTACCGTGACACAACCTCAATTGTTCGCATTCGATGGAAAGTAACACAAACAACAATAACAATTAAGCCGGTCGTGACGGGAAGTACTAGTACCCCAGGAACGCCGCGTACATACATACTGTCGAATTTGATAAACGAGTCAGCTGACAACTTGAACAAGGAGGTCCTGAAAAGCGCACGTAGACTCGTACGGTACTAGTACTTGGGCTCGAAACAAGCATATTGATGGCCCTCGGTGGATATACCCACCCACACGGCTCATACCTCAACTTGCAGCAGGAATGACAGGCCAAACCGAGCGAACCGATCAGATCATATGACGAGCTCCCCAACAAAACAATTGCAAAAGCCTGCTTGGTTCGCAACAATCCTGTTGGGGATTCGCCGCATGCCTTACTTGCCAGATTTAGCAAACCGCAGAAGATCCGCTTCTAAAGAGAGAACATGAAAACGATCAAGTTAGAGGAGAACGGTGCCACGGACGACTTGCCTTGGATAAGAGACCCCAGATCCACTGCCAGGAACGAAACTAAACTCGTTGGAGCCAATATGGCAGGATCATAGTAGTTGCGAGGGAAGAAACGCGTGAGAGCTATCGGCCCTTTACAACGCTGCGTTTCCAGCAGAAGAAGAAAGAACGTCTAAAAAGCTTGTATTGGATGGAGTATGGGATCTATAGAGGGATAAATGTGGAACGAAGTACTCCCCTTTGTAGATCCCATACCGAATTGGGAATAATTGGTTCTTGCTGTACCTTGGAATAGGTGTCCATGAGCAGAGAGCGGAGCACGCAGGAGCTTTTACACGGGTATGTTTCCAGCAATAGGTTTGCACGAAGACCTAAGGAGAATAAACAGAGTCGGTTCAACGCTAGTTCAAGGATAAGGCAGAATTCTCGCCTGCTCACCGACGATCTTGGAGGACAGATATGAAACGAAACTCATCCAGTTGACACCGCACAGTGGAGGATCAAAGTAGTCGTGATAATTCTTATCGGCACACGGAGGACTCGTGTCCAGGGGGAGGAGAAAGCTTGTGAATGCGAACACGGGAATAGCACATTACGAAGACCTAAGATGATAAACAGAGTCAGTGAAAGAATAGGCGGAAGACTCGCTAGTACCTTCGGACCCGTCGCTCCATTGACTAGGGTATGCCAATACCTACATTCCGAGAAAACAATCTCATATTCATAATACCGAACGAGTTCCCATCTCATGCCAACATCGTGTGATATCCTCATTAGTTCGAAGAGTACACTGAGGAAACCAATCCTACAGGACGAGTTAGTTCAGTCTAGTCTTTTTGGAATGAGACGCACTTTGTGAGGAAGCGATGTACATCTATGGGGCCAATCCTAGAAGCGGAGAAAAGGCAAGAGCTGAAATGAAAGGCCAGTTCTGATCGCAGGAGACTGGATAGAATCGAGAACCAAAGATATGACAAGCCCAGATGATATTCATCCGGTGCTCACCACATCTTTTTTCCCCTCAAATCAGATGAATCGACGAGCATTTGTGCATGAGATCTGAGATTGCGTATATTCGCTATGTGCGTGGAGGTTTGAGCACGAGGTTCGGACCGCCAGAATGATGAGGTAAGGTGCGGGGTCAAGGAGATACTGCAGATAATTGACGATCAGGATTGTGCGCAGAATATCAATGCATTTCAGCTCGATCCTGATCACGAGTATGTGCAGACCTCGGGGCTGCCAGACCAAAACACGATGAGATGAAGATAGGATGGTGGGTAGACCGAAAGAAATGTACGTGCGTCGCATACAGAGACGGGCGCTGAGAAGAGGAGAGGAGAGAGAGATGGGGGTTGTTCTTCAAAATGCTGGTCTTATGATGTGCGCGCGGAAGAAGCATCGGGATGGAGAATCTCCACGTGAGCGCTTATGAAGGCGGTTGTTTTGGGCGTCAACGAGGGATCCACGTGAAACTCCGGGTTGTATAGAAGGACTGCGACTGTAGATATCATCTAGGTTATCGCTCAATACCTGGCTCGCGTGGCCACGAACGTGCATGACCTTCAGCCAAAATCCCACCCGCAGGTAAGTATGAAGATAGTTGTGGATGCAGCCGCAAACCCCATTCGTAGTCACCCATGCCCATCCCTGCATGACAGCCACCATCAAGAACGAGTTTGAGAATCAAAGGAAGACGTTGCCTGCAGTCCAGCCTTCTACTGACGAGATTCTCAGGTATTCTCCCAGTATGGTACAAGTCACATGGACCGAAGACGAGAACGCAGTCTTATCGAGGGGGCCGGGGGCATGTTTATCAAGAGGGTCCCTTCAGACACACGTCATTTCATCCTCCGCACAGTTGAGCACCGGCGAAGGATTTCCGTCGTTATTCGGGATTAGGAAAACACCTGCCGAAATTGAAGAATGGGTCGAGGACAGGTGCTATAAGGTACTGTCGTCCTGCCAAGGTACCAACTGTCAAGAACATTGATATTGGAGCGAGTGGGACATAGATAGGGCCGTAATACATATACCACAAAACATCCAAGGTTCTACCTGGTTCTACCGAATAACTTACTGCCGCTTGAAGCTGTGTTCTGACTGCGGTGCACGGGATGTGTCAATTTTGCAATGTTACACAGGTACCAATCCGCATTCGTCAAGGGCATTTGATGCAAGATTTATATGGTTGATGGGTTGGCCCATGATAAGATCGGTGTTCAAGGATACAACTCTTGCCGTCGCTTTGAACGTTGAGTAGGAAACACACGTTTCGAAGCTGATAGAAACAAAAAGAAATGGAAAACAAAGAGAGTCCAGTAGCTTGGTTGAAATTTGTTGCCAAACCATTGTGTTCTGAATTTGGACAAGGATGAGGCTGTTGCTTGTGAGAATTGGGATTGATCACGTTGATCGCACTAAGTAACTTATAAATTGTCCAAGTCCATAATCGTCTCTCTCTCTGTTCCCCTCCTCCATAATACAAGTACTATCTCTCCTAGTCATGTCTGTCCCAACTCACAGTATCCATTCAATCCACGGCACTTTCGCAGGCGTATCATCCTACTACTCTTATTCACCGAACGCAGGCGTCGTAATCGAAGGCTCACCAATGGATAAAATTCCACCAGGCCTTGCCAGAGTCGCATGGCGCTCAGCGCCCATATCACTCCCTAACACAACCTCATCCTCTCGCCGTCTCCCATCCTTCCCTATAGCCCGCCGTGTCCCTCCACCACCACCACCCCGCGCTCTCGCACCCCAAACCATCCCCTTCCCCTCCGAAGACCCATTCAACGACTCTTATTCATGCCTCGCACCCATACCACAGCGCCCCATTCCCCAGCGCACACACCTCGCATCACAATCATACACCGTCAGACTCCCGGGCTCTAACCCAATCGACGCCCTAGTTCGTCAACGAACGGCACAGCGAGCCAAACAGGAGCGCGAGACCCGCTGCAGGGTCGTCGCCGGTATATTGCTGAACAGGGTTCATGCTGTGGGGAAGCCTATGCGCCGGCTGCCTCCAAGCACAGAGGCGCCTCGCGCATATAAACGAAGCAGACTATCAATGATTACAACTGCTGAGGATGTCTGGTATGTGTATTCGCACCCCCTTGGTTAAAATTAGTGCTTACATGGATTCTTGTCCTTGTCAGTTGAACGTACGGCTTTGATTTGAAGTCAAATTTGACTAGGAGACATTAGTTTTGTTACTTGTGGAGATGCAATTTTTAAATACATATGATGGATATGTTGTATAACAATTTTTTTAATGGTTAACTGGGACTTTGGGCGACAATCTACACACCTTTCAATGCAAGCATGAGCACACCATCGAGGCTCGAGCGACGAGCGCATCGAACGCATGAATGATTCAAGTTGATAAAACCAGTAGGTTCATACGTCGGTAAGACCCGGAATCAAACCAGCCGAACCGAGCCGAATCGAAGCGACATCAACGCTGATCGATTCCCAAGCCGTCTCGTCCAATCAAAATCCCTCAAGCACACTGCCTTTGCACGCGTCGCAACACGAGTAGATGTGGACTTGCTGCGATCATCAACGCTTCCAAGCACCCATGCCAGCCACCAAAACACTCCCCAGCACTCAAAAAGAAAAACCCAAAGAAATTCACGCCTACATGGCTCGCCCGTGCGCACGGAGACAGCTGGCGCCCACCGTGGCAGAATCTGAGCTTCTCTCGGCACACGCTCTTCAGACTGTGCTTCACACCTTCCCTACAGCGCCCAAACTGAACTCTAGGGTCCCCTTCCTCCTCCCCATCCTGTAACAACTAGCTGTCAGATATGAACTACTCACTAGCTATGGACAGCCCGTTTAACACTGCGTTGTTATCCCCAGAAGGACGTGCTGTGTATCGCATCGATACGTACCTGAGCTCGTTTACGACTACGCTTAAGAAAGTGGTTGGTGGGCAGAGTGAGGTGGAGATTGGGAGGGTGGTTTGGCAGTCTGGTAGAGCTGGGACGGCTGTGGTTCATGGACATGAGATATACGTCAACAAGAGCAGTTTTTTCAGCTCGTAAGATTCCTTTTTCTTTTTTTTAGTTCTTGCCGCAGTCATTCTAACATCTTCGTTTCTAGGTCGAGAACGTTCACAGCGCTGAATGGGCAGTCGTATAAATGGACGTTCCATGAAGGATCAGCACTGGTGAGAGATCATCGCAACCAACACGTTTCTAGCTGTTACTGATGCCTTTTAATCTTAAATTTCAAAGATGGCAAGCAACGATAGCAGACAAGCACCAGTTGCTACTTACACACCAGCAACGAGATCAAATCCGGGGCTTCTACACGTAACACCCCATGGGCTCACCATCACAGGAGACGTCATCCTAAGCTTCGTCTGCGTCGAAGGCGAACGACGACACGCGATGAGGAAGAGCCTAAAATGATGTCATCCTCCGGAGGAATTTCAAACGTCCAAACCCAAACCCAAACCACTTAAGCTTGCCGATCGTTGTTTTTAAAAATTTTCATGGACTGCGTCTCTTTTTCATTCGTTCGTTTCATTCATTCGACGCAGTCACGATATTCATTTGCAGTTATAATGTACACATTACCAGCGCTCCTTACCATGCACGTGTGTGTTTTTCTTACCATGTGTTTTTTCCACTGATTTCCTGAGATTATAACGACGGTTCTAGATACTTTTTATAGAGTATATAACTTGGACATTCATGTATCATCTTTTTTTTTTGGTGTGGGCCGACGGGCACCGGGTCCTGTATTTTTTGTCGATGTTTACATACATGTATGCTCATTTAACTGTGATTTCTTAAGCTTGGCACGCGGGTTGCGTTGGTAAGTATAGGCATGCAATCATCATGGGTGCGTACTTATCCGCTGGGATCTGCGCGTGCCGCTGTTGATAGAAGGAACCGTTGACCGTGACTGGCTTCAAGGCTTCTCAGCCTGCTCTTACGGGAGATAACAACTTGAAAATTAATGGTATTAGCTTATTTAATTTCAGAATCCTACACATTAACTTGCCAAGGGTCGTACCAGCATTCGGCAATGTCATGTCCAGGGTGTAAACGCGAACACCTTTCCCAATCAATCATCTTTCCAGTTTCCAGACCAGATCTAACTGGACGATCAAGGGACACGGAAAGAACTTGAGGGGTATCATGATGATGGTATAAAATAAAATAATGCTTCAAGTCAACATAGATATCGCAACAAACAAGAGCAATGACAGAATTGAAATACCCGAGGACATCTACGAAAGCCGCTAGCAGCAGAAACACGACTTGCCACCTCCATGTACCCCAGTGTCTGCCTGCATTGCTACTGGTTGTCGTTGCTGTTGTGTATTGGGCTGTTGCGTATTGTGATCCTGTGGAGGATCTTCGAAATATTGAGTCGGCACGTATCATAATGTCTGAATCGTCATCGGGAGGGGCACCACCTGCAGCATGACGCTGTAGATATATGCATGAGACACCCAAGACAGTGATGAAAATAGATCGAGCGCACTTGTCGACCCCACGCAAAAGGAACTTCGACGACGGGTGGTGCTGCGCGATCGGGTCGCCAGGTGAATAGGTGTCGTACGTGGGCTTTGAAGGTCATGGGAGCAGCGGCAGGTGGTAGGGTGGCCTTGTCATAGCTAGCCTGAGCTTTTTGAAGCGCCCCGGGCGCTGCTGAGGTCGTGGTCTGGAAATTTGAGAATGCTGTAATGAATGGTGTGAGAGAGAAATGAAGGATACGCTGATGCACCCACACCATGCATTCCCCGGAAGAAGTCAGGTTCTACATCATAGCCATCTTGATCTTGCCCCGGAATCTCCGCCTGCATAACTTAGGTCAGTAGTGAAAAGGTTGAGGAAGGGAGTACATGCGCCAAGAATACGGTCATCACGAGCAGCAAGCCCGCTACATTGTTCCTTGAAGTCTGGGTAGAATGCGGGTGAGTATGACAGCTTCGAGTAGCATTACTGTAAACTTGCCGTTGAACCAATCGAGGCAGCTGGCCTTCTTGGTTTCGTCGAGGGCGTGTATCATGTGTTGGTGTGATTCAAGGGCTTCTTCGACCTTACCTGCCAACAGGAAAGCCTGACAGCGTTTTTGGTGTGTAGTGAGCCAGAAGGACTTGAGATCCCAGCCGAAGGGCTGAATGGAGCACTCCATTATGAAAAATAAAATTGGATGCATCATGTCAACATACCATGATCAAATCCTCGTATAGTTCATGGATGAATTTCAATGGGAAAGCGTTGGAGTTGGCGGCGGCGGCGAAGTGGTCAGCGGCTTCGTCGTGGCGCGCGCCATCCGAGGCCTTGGTTCCGAGCTCAACGCGTAGATATGCCTAATGCTAATGTCCGAGGTGCAAAGATCAGTGTTGATAACCGAGTGCCATGTAGCCGCATGATACTTACTTGAACTTCCACGACACAACGCGCGCGGGTATCAGCATTAGGACAAGCGGCAGCTAGCTCTTTGATGAGCAGCATTGACTCGTCATGTTGATCTGCATTGAAGAGGGCGATAGCCCGAAATACGGAATGGAGCAGAGAGCATATGAGACGAACTTAATTGTTAAACTGAGACAGTAAACTTAATTAGCGATACGAAAGGCAGTAAATACGACTGTATGAACACATGAGTCACACATTCCATCCGTCTTTCATCCGAAATACAGTACTTTAGGAAGTTCTCGTGGAACTTCATATGTAATGTGAAAATTCAATGGGGTATTGGTGGCGAGTTTGAGTGTTATCGCTGGGCTGCAGCCTGCGCGTCCACGGGTCCAGACTGGAAATAAGAAGGCATGTCATGAAATAAATATCATCGACCCTGATATAAAATAATATTAGTTTAGAGGACATTCGCTGATGGAACCATGAGAATCGTTGAAATACACGCACCTCAGCAAGTTTCTGCCCTTCGAACAAAGCAACGAGGCAAGACCGCAGACCCTTAAAACACCACTCCATTTGAAGCCAGGAGAGGAGATGATGATTCCAGAAAGCCCGGAATAAATGGTTGAGCTTGTCATCCCATGGATTGGAAGCACGCGAGAGATGTACAGTCCAGTTTTGACAAGCATACTTTACAGCGTTGAAAGCCGATCGACTTCGTTTGAGTGCTTCGCGTGCGAAAGTCGTGAAGGCATTCATAGCATGGATGATCTCCCTGTCCAGCGGAGAAATATTTGGTAATGCAGAGGTGGGATGGTTGCGCATTAACGCCAAAAACGTCGGAAACATCAAGGATTCCGGCAAGCTGTTAAACTGCTGGACTACTTGGAAAGCTGGCAGTGAAGGCAATTCCGAGACAGTGGTATACTCGCTGATTGCTTCCAATGTGCTCGATAATTCTTCCATTGTCACCCAGAGAGATGCCCCAGGAGTGGACTGCCATGCTTGACCATGGGGCGTCTGCAGCCAGTCTCGCGCGTCCTGGGTCTGCAGCCAGTCTCGCCCACCCTCGGTCTGCAGCCATTCTCGTCCGCCCTGGGTCTGCAGCCATTTTCGTCCGCTCTGGGGCTGCAGCCAATCTCGTCCGTCCTGGGTCTGCAGCCATTTTCGCCCGGCCTGAGTCTGCAGCCAGTCTCGCCAACCCTCGGTCTGCAGCCATTCTCGTCCGCCCTGGGTCTGCAAACACTTTCGTCCGTCCTGGGTCTGCAGCCAATCTCGTCCGTCCTGGGTCTGCAGCCATTTTCGCCCGCACTGAGTCTGCAGCCAGTCTCGCCAACCCTCGGTCTGCAGCCATTCTCGTCCGCCCTGGGTCTGCAAACACTTTCGTCCGTGCTGGGTATGCAGCCATTCTCGTCCACCCTGGGTATGCAGCCATTCTCGTGCGTCTAGGGTTTGCAGCCAGTTTTGTGCGTCCCAGGTCAGCAGCCGGTTTCGTGCGTCCCGGATCTGCAGCCATAGTCGTCCGCCCCGGGTCGGCAGCCAGTCTTGTCCGCCCTGGGTCTGCAGCCATTCTCGTCCGCCCTGGGTATGCAGCCATAGTCGTGCGCCCTGGGTCTGCAGCCATAGTCGTCCGCCCTGGGTCTGCAGCCAGCCTCGTCCACCCTGAATCTGCAGCCATAGTCGTCCGCTCTGGGTCTGCAGCCATTCATCCCCTCCTTGGGTCTGCAACCAGTCATCCCCTCCTTGGGTCTGCAACCAGTCATCTCCTCCTCGGGTCTGCAACCAATCATGCCCTCCTTCGCTTTGCAACCAGTCATGCCCTCCTTTGGTCTGCAGCCAGGCACACCCGTCCATAGTCTCCAGCCAGCATCGTAAATCCGAACTGCGATCTCCCCGAAGCCATAGCAGGCTGATAAGAACCGACAGTGGCTCTGGTGGCCGAACGAGAAAGGACAATGAGTCTTTCAATCTCTGGTGGTTGTGGGGTTGCATGTCTTGGCTGTGCTTCTTCAATTCCAAGAGCGCATCAAGAAGGGCCGTGCTTTCTGGAATCTCTTTTATCATTAAGCGGAAAGAGGAAAGTGCGAGTAGGGTGTGAGGTGATGGGATATCGTGTACATGAGGGAGGCTGCAGTTTGAAGGTTTGGAAACATAGTCACGGGCGGACGAGTGATATATATTCACGGGAAGATTGCGGTTGATAGGGATATCCACGACAGATCGTAGCTGTACGAGTACTGTTTCAACATCCCTGCCCTGGCCAGGGCCAAGAAGTTTCGAGATTTGTGACATTGGAAGAGGGTCCGCAAGGGCAGCAACGACGGACAAGTGCTGGTATGCCCGCTTGGGATTGGCACATGTGGACAGGATAGAGTCGTACAGCTTGTAGACCTCGGTTCCTGGTAGCAGCTCGCTCGTGAGCTCGAGCATCAGCTGAAGCCGATCACGGGGATCATTGTCTTCATCGTCGATGAACTTCATCATTGTAGACGCCACGATGAAACGTCTGCCCGCTCGAGTTCATCCTTTGATGGCTGCGGGAAATCGGGATGGCGATTTTCTAATTCTGCGAAGGAATGTCGTAGGAAAATATAGATGTCGTTGTCGACTTCGGCGCCGTCTAACGAGATGATCGTCGGAACACCTTCTCCAGAAGTCTCCACCGGTATCTCGCATACTAGGGGGCGCACCTCTTCATTCTGAAAGGCTTTACAGATATGCGATTCCGAGCGGCTTGTGAGCAGAATGTGAGTCACGGGCAGATCAGGTTCGCGAAGAGCCTGTGCAAGGAAAATGATGAGATCAACAAGCTCGGCGTTGGATGTACATTCATCAAGGGCATCGATGACAAACGTCAACGGCTCACACCCGCGCAGTCTGAATTCGAGCTTCCGGAGAGGTTTGAGAAACAGCGCCTCCATCTGGTCGCGAAGAGACTTGTTTGGATCTAAAAGGGAGGGATTCTCGCGGATAGCTCTGTTCACATCCGCCCGGATACTGGGGAAATTGCTCGCAAGCTGGTAGACAACACTGTGGGAAGTAAAAACCATTAAATTAAGTGACAGTGGCAATGAATGTGTTGAATTCACTCCCAGTGTCACTTAATCTCTGGTTACTTGCATTCATTGACAACTGGGGACATTGAATTTTACCCGCGAGAATGTAAGGGTATAAAATTCATTGTCAAAATTTTAAGGACACTGAAAATGACATTAGCAAATCACGTAGTCCCATTTTTTCCATAATTTACTTAGCAAACAAATTCAGTGACCGAGGCAGCTAAGGAGAATTTATATTTATTCCTAGGGACGGCTGCAATAAGCAATATTAGTTGTGTGCCTGAACTTTCTTGAACACTCCACCTTTCTAGTATTTCGCGTATAACTTACTAGGATCTTAACCAAAAAATGTCATGAGACGATCAATAGACTACCCTTAACAAGGACTGCAACTTTAATTTTTATCGGAATAATTCCCACGGTGTACCATATTGATCATATGAGTATTATCATATTTTATTCTAAGTCCCATGGGTATGGTATATATATCAATTGCTGCATAGATATATACAAGGTTATGTAGTCTAGTGGTAAGTAATGCTCCAATGTGTTAGAATTGATTATGGGTTTTCAGCTGAGCTTGCGTGGTCGGGAGTCGTGAGTTCAAACCAGGCAAGTGGCAAAGATTAGAGAATTTCCTTTTTTCTTTTTTTGACAAAATAAAAACTTGAATATGACAATGAATTTGGATCAGACAATGATTATCACCCCAACATTAAATTCATTGTTTGTCAATGAGCGATTCAGTGTCGCACAGCGGCACTGATTTACATCAACTGTCAATTAATTTCCTAGCTTTCAGCACTGATCATAAAGGTCTTTGGTTTTGATATTCATTGTCTCCACTACCCTCAGTGACAACCAAACCCAACCAACTCGATCGCTGATTTTTTTTTCGATTGGACTAGGTTTTTACGAGTACATTTCGATCTGGACCGTCACCCGAAATCCCGTTTATTTCTCGTACAATGGATGCCCTCCCGGCCATTATGCAATACGCAAACCGTCCTCGGAGTCGCTACGTATATACTGGTTGTTTTCCGACTTGTTCGCTGATATTATGATATCAGAATCCGCGCCACTCGATATGATGTTTAACGCCCACTTACTATGATCAAGATTCTGACTGGTTCACTTCCCGGCATGGGCAGATTTCTTACCACATCCTACACAATGCGCACGCCCGTGCAGGTACGTACAATACGAATGTACGAAAGCCACCCGAGACATCACTGTCAGTTTCCTATTTCTGGTCTCATGATGTATGATACTGAATTTTTTCGATCATATCAGATTCTTTTACAGATTCAGAGTATTTTAACAGTCTAGACATTTCCATGTATCATTTCAATCTGGACCATCGGGAACTCTGTTGACGTTCGTTCCCTGAACTCTTGGCTGACATGCAACGTTGATCCTCCTCGCTGCGTACTAGTTAACTTATTCCAGAGACGCCCGACTGAAAATCCGTGTTGCTCGGCATCTTATTGATCATGCCCCTTATCAAACGATTCAGCGCATCCGATGAATACTCCCGCTTATTATCTACCTCCCGAACCCATGACAAAGAGCGTGAGTCAATTCCATTCCCCATCAACACAGCATGCGCCTCAAAACCCAATTTGCTAACACCAACACCACCGCTACCAGATGAAAACACAAACACAGAACAAGGGACACCCTGGCAAATCGCCCTAGTACCCCTCCTAAAAGAAACCCAAGCAACGTTCCGCAGTCTCCGCCTCGACCCTGACTCGCATTTCAGTCAAGATAACATCTTCCGATTCTCAGCTCCGTTCTTCACTTTTGCATGTGCCTTAGCGTCCGTCGCCACCGCTCTCCGTAAGGACTCGGATACTAGTATGATGCCTTCTCCGATACCACGGGCTTTGTCACTCGCGGAGATGAGTTTGGGCGTCTTTGTGCTGCTTGCGGGAGTCTTCCTGGCTTTGGCTGTTTTAAGAGCGATTATATGGGGCGGAGCGGTGGCTGTTGATGCGTTTTTGCTTGTGGATATCGAGAGTTTCGGCGTTTCGGCGAGTCCGGAAAACGACAGATCAAAACTTAACCAACGGAGCATCTTGTTCAGTGGGTTGTTCTCGTAGGAACGGTCGTCCACTTCTGGCATAGGTTGGGACGAACGAAGAGATCTTCTGGTTGGCCTTCTCGCACTAGTAAACCTTTCAAGCGGCCCGCCGGCGCGCCTGTGGCATCTCATCCGGCCTCTTGCTTGCTGCATGCACCCCATGTCCCTCATACCCTCCTCCGTCTCGGTACACCGTCTCTCGTTAATCGCATGCCTCTTATCTCCCACCCTCATCTATCATTCGAATGTTGTTCTCGTCATATGTTAATTTGCAATAGCTGCATACCTCAGCCTGCTCTGACAATGGTATGAAAGTCTTGTTTCTCACTATATGGTTGAGACGTGTATATGGTGCAACATCAACAGTCAATTGTACTTGTAAGGGAATCCACGGAGTAAAAACTGAATACTGAGTACTGAATGGCGAAGCCACGGGTATCTGCTAAGTATGTACAGAAATGCAGGACAACATAAACGCGAAAACATTCTTCCCTCTCCTATGCTTTGGATACTGAATAACGATATTAATGCGTAATTATCGCTTTCTAGCTGAACCTCCAATTGAGGCGCTTTCTAAATTTTGTGTACCTTCTGTCGGCTCCAGTGTAGTAAACCTTCGCTCGCGATTGGAAAGCAACGGTCGAGTGTCCTCAGCCCCCTCGTCAGTGTCAACAGCATGGCGACCATTAGCAGGATCCAAAGCTCTTGAATCAGCCCCGAAGTCGATGGACTTGGGTCGGGTATCAGTCTCATTCGGCTGACTGTCTAAATTCTTCTCGGGAATCTAGACCGTGACGCCATCAAAAAATAACCAAAAAAAAATACAACAGGCTGGAAACGTACAGGTAGTCGGATGAGATACGCCAGGAGCGTAGAACATGCAGCAAGCGTGAACACAGCGCGGAGACTGATCGCGTATGAATCTCTTGCTGCGCGTTGCAAGTCTGGCGGCAACTTGCCCACGAAGGTGGTTGAATGCCTGATCTGATTCACAATCTAGATGAGGAATATATAGCGTCGTGATGTACTGCTTAAAGGGTAATGTGTCACCTCTGCTGCGCCTTCACCGTGTATTCTTGATCGAAGCTCGTAGTCAAGTTTGTACTGGAATAGCGCTGATGAAATCGCAACGCCCCCTACTTGGCCTATCGGAGCAGTCAACATTGATGACAAGGAAGCCGTACGGGCAACTCACCCATGCCTCTGAAAAGCGATCCAAAACCAGTGCCAACAGCCATCGAATCCTCTGGAATATGCTACACCATTAGAAACTCCAGCACAGGAGCCATGATCGCGCACCTGAGAGGTGTGCGAGCAACGCAACTGATTATTTATGCGTAACATGATTAGCCATCTCGAGCACAGCTGATTGTCAAAATCCTACACACCGAGATTTGTCTGTAAAACGACGGCGTTGCCAAACCCGAGTGGGATCTGATACGGCGTTATGATCCATACATCAACCAAAGAATACAAGGTAGCGCGGCGCTCACAATGCTCAGCCACATTTGCAGTGATCCGGAGTCCTCCCGCATCAAAGTGATGAGAGTGATCCCAATGAATGGGAAGAAACCAAATATAAGATTGATAAGTTTATACTTCCCGGTGCGGTGCATCATCCAGCTAGTGCTGATGTGAGTGAAAAACGACACGACGATAATATATCCACCAACCCGGCGAACAAGGACCCGGCGGACATACATACACTATTCGGCATCAGATGCAAGCCTATCCAGAGCGCGGTCAATGTGATATTGAAACGGATTCGCAGGGACATACCTGCGGTGGTTGCGCTTGTGAGAGCCACTGTCTGAAACCACATCGGAAAGAAATACATCACGGAGAAGTTGCATAACGACACAAGGAAGTTGTTGGCCCCAACAAGAACAGGGACCTTCTGTTTCAAGAGGAATGGCGCCATAATAGGCTCTGGGGCGACTAACAACTCTACCAAGACAAAAATTACGGAAGAAATGCAAGCGAGAGCCAGCGGCACGTATACCCATTGGTTCGACCACTGGCAAAGGGTCAACTAATTAGATATGTCATGTGGATGATCGCTCACCGGGAGATCCTCGTTGTATTTCATACTCATGAACACCAAGCATGATCCAACCTACAAGAAGTCAAGAACATTCCACAAATAATAATATTGACTCACGGAGAGTAAAAGGACACAGCTTCCGCCATAATCAATTCTCTTCAGAACATCCTTAATATCTTTGCCTTTACCCTAACAATCGTATGAGCAAGGCGATAACTTTATGATAGTTTCCAAGTGCTTACGGGGGTGACGTATCGCAAGTTGTAGGTCGTAAAAATGAGCGACAACACAAATAAGGGCATTTGGATCAAGAACGCCCATCTCCAGCCAAATCTAGAATGGATAGTAGATAGGGGGGAACAAGATAAGGTGCGCGCTTACCGGTCGCTTATGAGACCTCCTATGGGTCCTCCCAGACCCATGCCAAGCTGAACATAAGTAAGTTTCCAGGTTCAAAAAGTGGTAGAACCCGACGTACGCCATTAAACACACTTTGCACCCCTTGCGCAAGCCCTCTCGACTATTGGTGTCCCTGAGATAACGATAACGGCGAGGGCGACAGAATAGAACGTACCCGCATGGAATACATATCGCTCGTAGTGATCCTGAATCCGTCATGGGTCGTGTTTAGTAATGAACTGTATGGTTTTGACTGATATCGGGTCTCACGTGCAGGTCGTAAGAATACCACCACCTCCCATGCCAGCTAGCTGCAGGAACATGTCACAAATGAGTGAAATGAAATCGATGGAGGGACCTACAAATCGCGCAGCAACCAACATTTCCATGTTCGTGGAGAGGCCACACAACAGGGTACCCAGTGCGGTAATACAGACAGCCAACTGATTTGCACCCCGTCGGCCCATAATGGTGCATAACCGTCCATATAAAGGTGTGAAAGTGCAGACAGCAAGCAAGTATCTAAGAGGAAATTTAGAACAGAATTTTGGGCCGAAGAAAGTCGTATTTACGATGTGCCAAGCCAACTAGCTTCATGTGACTTGTTAAAGTCAGAGGAGATGGATGGCAGCACTGTGACAGATCTGTCAAATCAGTATTCGGATAAATGCAACAGGGATGTCGTACAGGTGGCGACTAGGGTTGCTAGTTTTTAATTGTTAAGTGAGTTACGATTCATCAGACGAGAAAACATGAAGGCTCGCACTGTTTACAGACTAACAAGAAGTCAGAAAATCCAGAAAATCCAGAAAACCTGTTCAACTCACTGAAAGGAAAGTGGCAGACCACAAACCAACCAAAATTCCATAGCGCGTCGACTTTGGAATGTCTCGAGGGCCAGCTTGAAGGGGGTGATGTTGGGTTAAATTGCTTGGATTCACGATCAGCGGATCTCGTTCCGTCGCCATTCCGTGCGTGATACGTATGCAGTGGGAGTCGGAAGTCAAGGGGGTCAACCCCACTCTGAAACCTATTGGCACCCACTAGTACTGTTGACTAACGCCCGCTTCTCCAATGGAGTTCGGACTCGCGTCCGACGGCGTCCGTGACGGCATTTAAAATTTGTACGTCACCTGAAAATGCATAAGGATCACGCGAACGACATAATTGATCACGTGGGGTCCCTGTCATTGGTCATCATCACCAACAGCACCCTCAACAAACGACGATGAGCGCACCGAGATTTGCACTTTTTGTGCTCGCTAGGACGCCGACATGCATGAGACATGCTGCAGACATTTACATGCGCTCCGGGATAGTCTCAACACCGATTGGAAGATTGAGAACTAGCTCCACCCTGCACAGGACGCGGTCGTTCGCATCCTCCTCTATCGCGCGTGCAGCCCCCCCAGCACCCACCGAAGTTCCAAAATCCACTGCGTCTATATCTTCTGCTCCAACTCCAGATGAATTAAAGGCACAGGAACTCGACGTAGACATAATACCCGAAGAAAATATCAAGCTAGAGCTTACAGAACGGGCTGCCGAGGTGTGTTCTGTGCTTCTCGTCAAATCTCAACGTCTTCTGAACTGGAATGGAACCGAAGCAACTGAAATCTATAGCTTCACGGGAGCACCGCCCCAACGCAGGCTTACGCATTGCAGTGGAATCAGGAGGATGTCACGGCTACCAGTATACAATGCAGCTTGCTTCCGAACGGAATGCAGAAGACTAGTGCGTTAACAGCACAACTGTTGCGTTATTTCTAACTAGTGTCACCAGCCACTTCACACATCCTTCCATAATTCCATCAAACATCTATATTGACGCTGTCTCACTCGGACTTATCAACGGCTCCACAATAGATTTTGCTACTGAACTCATAGGGAGTTCGTTCCGCGTTGCGGCTAACCCGCAGGCTAAGGGTGGTTGTGGTTGTGGGATTAGCTGGGAGATGAAAGATTAAATTTTTATGCAATGGAACATGGTTACCAAGCAAGGATATTACAGGCATATGCTGGGCGTATTTATGCAAACTCGCATCTCTTGTACGCCTACTGCTTCATCTATTCGTCTGTAACTGACGGTTTTATTTTCGCAGACATACTGTCATCGTATCGCTAATCTATGTACTCAGCTCACTCCACATCCGGTACAATAGCTGACCGTGTCACATAAGATAAGGCTGACTATTCCCGCAAGCGATGCCAGTTCGCCGCGATTCTGGCGCTATAGCATCAGTGATGTTGGGGCGCACAGGTAATAATTCGATAGAAGTTGAAGAACGGGTACTTCCTTTGTCTGAAGGATCGGCTTACCGTTCTAATCTACTATCACATATTCGTACAAGTGTGGGCGATGCGTATATCTCCCGATTATCGGCATCAAACAAAGAACTTCCATTTCGAATAAAAAATATATAGACCAGCGCGGCTGGAGGCGCGGGCTTCAGCTGTATCTTTATCAGCAGCACAATTAAAGCTCAGTACTATATCTTACCGGAGCAGCGCACGTTTTTCATTCAGTCGAAAATAGCAGCGCGACTTGCAATTGAGGCGTACTTACAGCTTCGGCCGCTCGACTATCTGTTCTGGCTTGATGCGACATCGTCGGTTGCGCTGACGTGCGGGGTGGTCCGTTGCCCCTGACAATAATAGAAGGGCGCTGTCAGTCTGTCCATTCGTCGGATGGTCGCATTAATATTGCCTTGCACAGTATAATCACGTTTCCCACGCAAGGTTAGAGGCTACCGTCGAGATCGAGGGTATGAATCTCATGGAGGCTATCGACGTGCGTCCGTTATTCAAAATCGCTTACTTATCCTAGTGTATCCCCCTGAGGCCTGGAAGAGTTCAGGGCTGCCAAAAATGGTACGTAAATCATCACTGACTTTTATTGTATCTAAGTACTCTCTCCATGGTACCGGTTCTGAAGGGTTCAGTCTCCGCGGCTGTACAATTACAGCACTTTGCACAGTGATTGAAAGACATGTATTGATAAACCTAACGGTTCGCTATACAATTATAGCAGCTAGTACCCATTCAGGCTCTGTCGGGCTTTCCTGGAAAATATTATCGCGATCTAGGCGGTTATTCAATCGAAGCAATCAAAGTAACGGGGCCCCCATCAATGGCACAATGGCATTATCGAGCATTTGTGCTGTCACCTCGGCTAGCCGGCAGTTCACGGACGTCCTGAGACACATACACGTGAATGGAAACATTGAATTCTGAGCAGGGTTACGGATGCGTCCCCCAGGATAGGCTCCACGCCTACAGAGTTCATACCAGCGTTTCTTTTGTTGATATCGCCCTGTCAAGCGAATCTCGACCTGGTGAGGCGCCTCTTGCAATCCCTAAATCAAGATAGGCTGGCGGCCGCACATTAACGTCAGTCACACCAATCCACAGACCAATCAACATGACATGCCCAAATCCAGTCTACCGCGTGCCCTGAGCACACGACGGCCGCCTGGGTGGACCAATCAATTTACGATAGTTTGCAAGAGGGGCAGAAAAGTACGGGATAGACTACGGGAACAGCCTTACTCCACCAGCAGAACACCGTGCGGCACTATACGAAACTTACTCTGACGTCCAGCCAAAGAATTATAGACTGCGGTAACGACCTTGAAAAAAAAATACCAAATCCTGTTCGACTATCTTGCGCCACGAAGATTTTGACTCCTGGCATCACATCTGATCAAGGGACCACGAGGATCGTCCTGTATGTAAGTGGCTTGAAGTTTATTTATGTTGCTCTTAGTTTCATTTACCGACTCGGTGAGATACGACACACCACTATCTAAGTCAATTAACTGAGTTCCGCGCAACGTTCCTGGTTCCGACGGGGTTTGACCAATCTCAGATCAATCGATATTCAGTTACAAGAAAGCGAACAGTACAGGTAGTCGATCTCGATGTTAGGTGATACACTATAAATAATATGACACATGTAATAATTAACGAAAGGGCTCCTTGACTCTAGTTCTAACAATTAAACGCGCGAGGTAAAATATTCACAAAAAGAAACTCGGCGCTCAGCGGTACCCAGCCGCCTCGCATGTGGGGCAGAAACTGTTGATGTTGGGTGCTATCATCTCCCTGTCAGATACAATGGCGAGGGATAGTTATCACGAGCTTACAGTACTGTTGAGGGTATTGACGGCTAAGGATCAGACGGTGATCGGAGTGATGTGGAAATGCGAGTGGAGCGGGAGTAGGAAATTTGATCATCATGCGAGTCAGTAACCGCAATCGTAAATGAGTCGTGTGCACGCACTATTGGCAACAAGTTTGCTTGCATGTGGGAGGCCCGCAGGTAGTGGGGTGGTTGGGGCTGAACTTGCACCTGGTATTTTCGCAGGTGATCTACAAATGCTTTTAGACATCGCTCGTATCATTGCCCTAAGATGTCTTACCAATTGATCAGGCTAACGTAGGAAAGCCTTTGATGTGAGCCTCGTTGCTGAGAGTCATTTGTGTGATGCTTACCAGGTTAATGGCGTGACCGCAGCGCAGGTAAACATTGCGAACGCTGAGGAGAGGGTCAGTAAAACGATGGCGGGAATTTTGCGACTGCACATACCGCCTCCAGTAGCACATTGTTGATAGTAGTAGCTGGTAGTAGTTGGTGAATAGGTGAATGTGGTAGAAATGTTCTAGTCGTTGGTGGGCAATCCTTGACGAAGAGTGGTCTGCCTTTATAGGTCCCCCGATAGGCTATGTAGCATACACGGCAATGGAATGAACGTAGCGTGTTTGCTGAGGGTGCTAAAGCGGATGATGCATTTTGAATTTGGAGGCCATTCGTGCACAAGGAGAACAGGTTGCCCAGCCATCCAAAACGAGAGGTGCTGCCGTGCGTCATTTGATAGCGTTTTCGCAGGACCTGTTCTCGAGAACTACTAATCATGTATGAGGAACAAGGGCCAGACGGGCACTTTGAAGCCGGGAATCAACGCCAGATTCGGTCACACCTGCGGCATGAAGTAAGGTGATACCATATATAAGGCTAGATTGGATACTGTCAATACCTGAAGAAAGTTAAACTACTTGAATTTGCGGGTATGTTTACCCTGGTATAACAATTGAGGAGAAAGCTTGAGCACCAAACATGAATTTGGAATATGTCGTACTGTTGGCGACCCTCTGTTGCCGGCATTCAACTTGGATGCACTCAGGCTGTCCCCTGCATTTGACTGTAACGGGACCGCAGATGAATAGATGCTGGAAAAAAAGAGTCACATAATCCTATGAATCGTTTCCATTGGAATTTGTTTGTCTACCGGTTGCCTACCGGAGATATTAGTTGCTTTGCGCCAATCTCCTGTTGCTTCATATGATGAACAGACACTGTGACAAAGGGATAATTAATAGTTGGTATCCGGCGCTTCAAAGCGATTGATTGCGGGAAGGTTGTGTTACAGGCTGCTTAGTAATCCTTTTCAAAGTTGTTTCCGTGGACTTGAACGCCTCGTCCTTGTTCCGCGCCTTCGTTGACACGGGAATCCCCATGTTATGACGAGATCAGGACCCACCGCTGTGACACCCCCACTATCAACCTCGAAGCAGAAGACGAGGAAAGTTTTCTATGAACACGGCAAGGTAGGGCGCTCGTTCCGACACAACGCTTGCATTTTTCGATCTTCGGCCACGAATTATCTCATGAAAAGTCTTTACGGTTAGGATTCTTTGGAGCTAGCGGTGTCAATCGGAAAGACCCAGGAGGACAAAGCGTTGCTTAAGGCTGAGAAGCATCATCAACCGCAGGTGGGTACATCACGTTCGCAGTCCATTAATTCCCCGATACATCCCTGTCTCATCATAAATCATTTCGATTCTTAGGCTGGTCAGCCCCGATCTGAGCGTACACATCAAAAAAGCAGGACAAAAAAGAAATTGGTAAAGCATCAAAGACTGTGCGTGGGGTGCAATTATTTTTTACTCGGTTTCTAGGAGGAGGTAAAAGCTACCATTGTGAGCCAGCGGGCTCGACTGAAAAGGGAGAAAGTAAAAATGCGCAAGGACCGCCCGGCTCGCGCGGTCCATCAAAAGTCAAGTCCGTCAAGTAACGCACAGGATCGTGCTCCTCGCAAGAGGGTATCCTTTGCTTAGGCTTTGACGTATATATTTTACATTTTTCTCGATCAATCAAGTGCAGTGGCAATATTTGATTTGACCATCAGCCCGGAATGTATCACCGTCGCCGCTCGTTAGCATTATAGGTTGATACCGTTGATAAAGGTTGTGCTCGGTGTGTGGCTGGCACCGTCAAGAAGCCGATGTTGTTAAACTTACAGGTCTGCTGTATCGCTTGTGTTATCAATAGTTGTGATTGTAGGTCACGGTGACATATTCATCGCGATCGATGTAAGCACATTCCTCCTTTAGTTAAACTGAGTGGGCGTCCAAGCTCCTTGAATGGGATCCAGCAAATATACAAGAGACATTGCTAAGTTATGGAAAAGCCCGAGACCCTACCGAGCCTCAATGTCGACTGTGCGCTACGAAGCTATGCACCTTTGTGCCAGCCTTCACACGACGGCAACATCCCCGTCGAGAATGGCCTTCAGGACTCTATTCTGGTGCATGCCTGGAACCGAGAGGAGATGTTTTTAAACCCTGAATTTACCCATAGAATGTTAAAAATTAGATATTCGAGCAACGGGGCATGGGCACGCCACACATGTAGAGGTATATTTGAGGTACCATTTCCTCGCTAATCGTAGTCTTACCCAAAAGCAGATATCCCTTGGTGGTGGAGAGTTACAGAAACCTAACTCCACAACTCAGGCACCTACACACACCAATGTCACGCTGTCACTCACTGTCAGTGTTCGTTCCATTGTCTTGGGATACATTCTCACTCAGAAGTAGCACATGCGCTGGAAGGAATCTGGGATGTGACCGATGATCAGCGAGTTATCTCGTGAATAACGAGCTCCGCTAAGGTAATAGGTTAGGTCAGGGTTCAGTGCGAGAAATCGAGAGGAAGTCAATATATCGAGCTCATCCATTAATTGGGCGCGCCGCCAACCTGCGGATGTATAGGATATGCTGAGATGAGTCGCGGGGCTTGTGTTGATCGAAGCGCCACTGTGGCGGTGGCGGCGTCAAGTCAATTGGCCATCCTTGAACAATCGTTCGGGGGGAGAGTGGATGGATCATGATGCATGAGCATAGATTGTAGGGTTTCATTTCGGACTGAGGTGATTGTTTTAGTATAACGAGGCGGTAGGGTGTGAGAGCTGCAAGGGCTTACAATGAAACATAGCATATTTTGTGAGGCACTGTCCAAAAACATCGTGATTCAAAAAATAATTATGAGACAACGCTGGTGATTGGCAAGCTGACTTCCATGAGTATGTACGGCAGTGAGACATGCTCACCCTGGGAAGTAACTCACGAACAGATATGTGCTGTCCTGTGCTGATGGGCTGGATCCTGCAAAATCATGTGTTACGGATAGGAATGACTGGAGTGGCGGACTTGATGGTCCACAAAGATAGATTTTCAAAGTCCGCTGGACCGTACCATGGGATCGTGGTTCACCTTGCTCTGGCCGTGCATCCAACTTGTCCTCCCTGCTGAAACACTGAACAAAACATAACGAGGTCACGCCGACTGGCAAAGATTCGAGGGAAATCCACTTTGATCCCCTTCTAAATCTTTCTAGTCTAGGTGCACTCATTAGTTCGTAATACTTTCACTACAGACCTGAATCAATCTCACTAACATCAATCAGAACACCCAGACGGCGGTGCTTTGTTCAAGATTTGAACGACTAGCAATGTCGCTTTATACACCAGTATTCCCACCATCTCTTGAACGGAGGTCTACAGGGCGCAAGGGCGCGTCCTCATCCAATAAACTTCATCAATCATCTACTACGGATATTCTACGCGACATCCATCTTTTTCTTGCCACAAAACCTGAGGTGCTTGCACCCTCTTCAAGACCCAGCTCCCCCTCGTTCGACGAAAATGTTGAAAGACTGAAACACTCTGTCGTCGAGACAGTTGACGCCGCAAGAAGAGACTCAGGGGATAGGAAATGGAAGCAGGTCAGCGAGAAGTTGAAGATGGGTTGTGTCAGGGGACGATACCGTATGACTGGGTTAAACCAACGCTGGCATCCAGCTGAGAACGCGGAATGGATACTACCAGATGACGAAGAAACATGGTTGAGCCTGGAGAAAGAGAGAGCAGAGGCTAGAAGATTGAAAGGGAATGCCAAGCAATCTCGTCATCCCGACAATGCATCCATTCCAGCAATTGCACCATTCCGCGGATCAGATCGTGTTGACAATCAGCCGCCAGCGGAAATGAGTCAAGCCCTGGCGACTGTCTCGCCAAAAACCATGCAGAATGTCAAGGAGAAGGTATCAAAGTGGCAAGCGACGATATCCTCACCTGACGGCGCGTCACTTATCGAAAAGACCGTATCCGCTACCCCAGTGCTTAGGAGCGCCTCCAAATCAGGGATGAAGCTAACAGCACTGCCGAAAGATAAAAGCCAATCTTCGTCGCTTGGCTTCTCAGTCGTAAAGCGCAATGTTGCAACCGTGACTGGCAAGAAGGGCAAGGGACGCCTCGGTCAACATGATCCCCCTAATTTTCGGGTCCACGGAGATCCAGAAGGTGATCACACACCCAGCGGCTCCAAATCGCTAGTGGCACCTACCGGTGATGAACCAGAAAGAGCTAGCTTCAAGACCCCGCTGAGGTCCTTGCGTGCTCCAGATGGGGATTTGCCCAAGATCACAGACTTTCCGGAAACGGTGAGTGCAAAGTTAGATTTTTTTCTTATCGAACTCATCAGTCTCTGTTTTTACGTCCCCTCTAGCCGTATATTCCCCCATCCTTCCCGTCAGAGCTTGAAACTTCAACTCCACAAGCGCGGCATGAAGCCGTGGTGCCTGTCCGGACAAAGCCTCCGCCGATTTACCCTGTATGTCCGTCGTCGTCTATTTCACATCCGTCAATACCCAGAGAGGGCGATCATCATCATTCCGGCGAAGATCCTTATATCATTGATATATCCCCTTCGCTTCCGCCGCATTCTGACGCGCGACAAACAAACAAACGCCCTCTATCACCGTCTTCTATGCATGATGTAGCGTCTTCCACTACGAAGAAGCAACGAGTACAGTCTCCCCCTGGAGAAACTCCAGCCTTCCGCTCTCGACCGCCGACGCAATCGGCAAATGCGCCAGAGGTGAAGTCGAAACGCGCAGAAATGCCAGGCTCCCCTCGCGGTGAAGGTAGACTTCCTACTCTCACTGAGTTGCTGGCAGCTTCCCCTCGACCGAAGACACGCCAGAGGCCTCCTTTGGAACATGTACTTCGTGCCGAGAGCGAACCCTCACCACATACCGCGAAGGAAAACCCTTCGCCTGCAAAGTCTTACTTCTCAACTCCGGGTTCGGGGCCGTCCGATTCCCCTACGTCCAATCACAACCTCCTTCTTCATTCACCTGTCAGCCCAATGCGGTCATTCGCCCAAAACCCAAACGCATTTCTCCCGCAGTTTACGTCCACTCAAGCTGGAGGTTCGTGTCACAACGGGATGAGTAGTGGGGTCTTCGGTGGGGGCTATCGATCTCAGTTTGACGTGGAAAGACATGTTGACCGTGTTAGTGAATTATTAGAGAAGGACGTCGATTTTGGTGGATGGTTGCGCGATGTGCCGTCAGCAGAAGAGCTGGAAGCCAGCCAGGATCAATGATTATCACTGCATAGCCTCAGGCAACACCCGCGAACGTGCAAGCTAGTCGTACTCCACTCTCGTGTATTTTAGTCAGGGTTAGTTGCTTTACTAGGAACAAAAACATAGTTTCAAATCGAGTCTGGACCGTAGAAGGAAGGTTGAAGGGAAGAATGCGCCCATCATTGCCTTGAGGCACCTGAGATACCGAACTTCCATATTGGGGACGCGTCTTGATCACGTGGATGTGGTATTGTTCGATAACAGCGCGTGTTGGACCCAACCACGACCACGACCGGGACAGCCACAGAGCTTGTCCTCGTCGCCGCCCACGATGAGTAGGCGAGACTCACGCCTTTCTCTTAACGTCCGTCAGAACGATGCTCTCAGCGAATTCGAAAATTGTATGTCATTTATGTCTCCCTGAGTCCAACTGACGTCTGTGGCATTCAGTTAAGAAGAAATTCCTGCTTGCCAATAAGCACATCACCAAGTATGTTGCCATATCAAGTTTAATCTTATCCAGAAGCCGCTCACTGTACAATACCAGACTCAACTCAACTCTCAGCGTTCGCATCGAAGAGCTCAATGCTCAAATATCCACCCTATACGTTGAGAACCTCCGACTGCGAGCATCCGAAATTGCGCTCGCGACACAACTGAAGAAAGAGCAGGAAAAGTCTAGGAAATTAATGGCTGATGCTGATGCTGCGGTGAGCGTTCCATATCCAGAGCACTCACCTGCGGTCGCTGAGATTCAGCTAGACTGCTAATTTGGTCAAACATCTGACTTTTTTGCGGCAGTCATTTGGTATTGCTCCCGGGGTGGCTTCTCCCGCTAAAGAAGCCAAGCCAGCATCAAGAGCTCGTCGGCCGTTCGTAGATCCCAATGCGTCACCACATATGCCCAAGCTTTCGCGCGCGCCCAACGTACCAGGCATATACGAAGACGAAGAAGTTGCGTCTTCTCCGGAAGGAGATGAAGAGGAGACAGAGCGCATACCTAGTCCCACTATTCGGCGAAAAACCAAGTCAAGACTTGCAGCATCCCGCCTGCCATTACCCGCCCGAGTTTCCTCGCCTCCACCACTACGAACGCCACCGCAAGCTCCGGCAGAAGAACGAGGGTCGTCAAGCAAGAGGAAAACGGGGAGGAGAGAAAGCGGGCTTCTGAATGTAAGTACGGGCAATGGCGATAGGGTAATCCCGCCGAGAGCTGCTAGCCCCGCTTTCGGGTCCCCTGCTCGTAGGGAGGCTGGTTTGGCTGCAGACGACGAGGAACAAGAAGTTGTCAGGAAATCGAGACTACCACCGGCTCAGGATGATGATTTGGACTACGTGCCACCAGCAAAAAAAGAGAGGGAGAAAAAGATGAAGCAGGTTGAACGGGAGCTACCATCAGGAGAGGGTGAGGCTGCCACTTCCTCACGAGTGCGGGAGAGAAAACGACGGAGAAACGAGGACCACTTAGGCCTCAAGGATGTCACAAACTCACCGAGAAGCCGTGCTATCTTACCACCGTTAGACACTAATGCATCAGGTACGGCGCACGTTTAGGCAACGTGAAATGCGGACGCATGCGATTGTATCTTCTCTGACTGATCGATTTGCAGATCGGGATCGACAGCACACACCTGATACGGATGGAACAACGATATCCGGGGTCACGTCGTTGGCTACAACCCGGAGCTTCTTGTCCACTCCAGCTACCACTCCTGCTACAACGATATCTCAGATCTCGCAGTTGCCGACACCTCGAAGATCTTCTAGCCCGGTCCCTCCACCATGTGCTTCTACTTCTGAAGAAGCACCTGTGGGAGGGCGCGAACGTCGCACACGGAAAAGTGTCAACTACGCTGAACCAAAGCTCAACACGTGAGTCCCCTCCCTTGCACGTTTTCGGTCCGCTTCCTTGCATGTTTTCGTTATGACTGACGAGTCAACCATTAGGAAAATGCGGAAACCTGACGCTCCACCGACGCAGCCTACAGCTGCTCCAGGGCTGAAGAAGAGATCGTCCGCAACTAGTGTTCAAGATGATGATTCCGAGCGCAGACCGTCTTTAGAGGGCTTTTCACAGTCCAAGACTTCTATCCCTGTTGCTCGTTCTTCATCTGGCACAACGAGTTCATCATCCTCAACTACCGCAAACACTGTCGTGAAGAGGAAGAAGTCACGTCCCTACGTCGAAGTAGACGACGACGAGAGTGAAGGTGCCCAAGCTGATGCCGAATACGGGAACATCAATGGTTGGGTTAACGTCGAGGGGCGTCGACGGAGTGTACACCATAGTGCCGTCCGTCGTGCACTTGAAGCTGATGACGGCAGACGGCATAGCCTGGCCGTGTGATTTTGTTTTAGTTGGTGCTCTACCCTTTGGTTCTATTCATGGCATCCGTCCGCGTAGGATTATTCTAAGTATACTATTGATCATGACGATATGAAACGCTCTCGACTACAAACAAACAGGCATGCCACTATCATACAAATACCACCTGTAATTCTACGTTCCTGAGGATTGAGAATATTTTGTGAACACGATTGAACCAGTAACATCTCTACAACGATACATTGTGTAGGGTCCATCGCAACCCTTCGTTGTGTAGTGACAGCTACAACTCATATAACCATAACCTTTGTTTGACAATGACACGTCTCAACCTTTACAAATTTACACCTCAGCCGACTCACATGAACTACCAGGAACTCGTGTCAAGGACAGCTCAGAAATATGCCTATAAACAATCATCAACGTGACAGCATATCTATGAGGGATACAGTACTCACGGCAGCGTTGGGGGGGCTCGCAGCACCGCCAAGACTGAACAAGGAAAAAGGACACTGAATTGAGCAAAAACTCTATACAGAAGGGAAAAGGACTGACATGTTCAGAGGCCAAGACGTGAAAAAGAACGTATAGCGACCAGTCTCTTGGCACAATTCCGAGAGAGCTTCAAGATCAAAGAATTCGCCTGTTGTGTGAAACGGCGGAAATAAGAATTGGATTTTGATGGAGTAGATTGTTATCAGATACAGACCAATAGGCATTCCATAGAGGCTTGCGTCCAGTCATTGTCAGGCGTGAAAATCATTTGGGAAGGGCTGAAACTTACCCGAGAATTGTCTGTAAGATCACAAGAACTCAGTGACAACCCTAGTGGCTGAGACTTAGACTGACCTGGTGAAGCTGCGTTCCCATTGGCGTGGGCCAGCGCTATCACGCAATCAAGTCAACTGATTAGTCTTACGATAGCACCCGCGGGGGAACACACCTCCAAGGATGGCTGGTCAGATGCGATAGCAGCAAAGTGATTATTCCTGCAGGCACCATTAGGCCATTATTTGATAACGTCCGAAAATAACATACCAGAGGAAGCGTTTCATATCTTCACTTTGTTCTATTCCAGCGCTGTAGTTTGTTTCGCTAAGCGAAAGGGGCGTCAGGGGACAGATGGGGTTGCCTACAATGTTTCCTTTCCTGAGGCAGCTCTCAAATTTGCCTTTGCTTCATTGGTGCTTTCATAGTATTTTTGGGTAAACCCGACGCGCAGGATAAGGATGTCGCCTTGTCGGAACTCAACCCCTTGCTTCTTCGCGATAGCCTCTAGCTCGGCAACAGTGATTGGATGCGCGCTCCAGGGATCGTAGGGTAGGGCCTCCCCATTGGCCGTGTAGTACCTTACCACATCCAGGAAAACGCCGCGGCCACATATGCCATGATTAGCCCAGTCTAGGGGTAGTGCTCAGTCGCAGTGTACAGGGTAGCAGTATTTAGACTTACTGTGTATTCCAAGTTTGACTTTCGAATAATCAATCTCACTCGGATCATGCAATTCCATTTCACCCTCAGAAAGGGATTCGGCGGGAGTGCTAACAAGATCCGTGAGTTGTGTCGAAGCGCTCGATGTACGAAATCAATATACTTGTTGTAGAACACACCATGTTGTGTTAACCCATAGTGCTTCAAACCGTCCCACTGGGAACCCGATTGTGTGTTCTGCAAATTTAGTTAAGTGAAGTGCCATCCGTCAGGCGGGCATGGAGGGGACATACGATATGGATAATGTCATCCCGAACGGGCAAGGTGGGTCCGTACTTCCCGAAGGTAGTGATGGATGGAATCTTACGCCCGAACATGGGCTGGCAAGCGAAGATCAATGAATACTGAATGAAAACGCGGCGATCACGGATTCGCTTACCCTTGAGGGGAAGTGGATTGGCCTGGGTAGTGGTATCATAAGGTCCTCAATATGTCAGTCTTTACGCCGGAGCCATATTGCACGCACCAATTCAATGAAACTGTGCGTCCTAGACTATCAAAAAGACACATTATCGGCCACCATTCATTCGGTCTCTTTTGAGACAAACGCACCGAATCTCCTCCTGAGCAGCTCGTGCCACTACCTCGGGGGTGAGCAAGTTAATTGTGCCTAGCTCATCGTCCTTGCCCCATACGTCCCATGCACATCCCTTGAAGTCATGAAAACTTGGCAGCTCATCGAATGTAGGGAGCGCTCCGACTGTTGTATCCTCAGTATTAGTGATCACCTCATCTCCACCCTTCTGAGAGAACATACGTTTCAAATGGGATGTCATGTCTGTTGTCGCGTGATGTCTGTAGAAGTATTTACACATTGGTAAGTATATATACCCCTCGGGCCTCAAGGTTCCCTTATCGTCATGCCTTGTCACACCCGGACCAGCAGACGTGTCAGAGGTGCAATTTATACTGTGAGAACAAGAGGAATAGCCTTGTCATGCCTTCGTCACACCTGGTCCAGCAGACGTGTCAGAAATGCAATTTATACTGTGAGAACAAGAAGAGAAATATAAATACACGCTACGGGAACAAATTAGGGTAAGCCCGAGATAAGATGGTCATGGCAATGCTATCCCCTGATGAATGGATGAATTAACGCTTCCTTGGGAGTGACTCGCCTTGCTGGATCAAGTGCCATGCACTTGTCCAACAGATCGATGAATGAGGTAAGCAACTTCATCTCGTCGTCCTTCATCTTGACCGATGCAGGTGGCATAAGACGCGCACGGAGATCACGACTAGGTTTGGAGATGTGAACCTTGCGGACAACATTCTGGTAGAATAATCAGCTGACGCGAAAGATTATTGATAAGGGATCACATTGACTCACGGCACCAGTGACACGGTCCGTCTCTACGCTCTCGAACCCACCCATTTCATCGAAATACATTTCTCCGAACTTCGCCTTCTTGATCATTTTAGTGTTGAACCTTCCCTTGAGCTCCATCATGAGTAGAAGCATGTGATTGTTCGACCGGCCGGGGAAAAGAATTTTCCCGGTGTACAGTTCATACAGGGTGCACCCAATGGACCAGATATCGAGCGCTGGATCATACGGGACTCCGAGGACTAAGTAAAAATGACGTTAGTTTTTAACTTCGACAATAGTAAAAGCAACGTACTGATCTCAGGCGCACGATAAAACCGACTAACAAGATAGGGGGTGATGTCATTTTCCGACGCATCCGATGCTGAGCCTAAGTCGCACAGCTTCAGTAACGTCTTCTGTTCATTAACCTGCATTTGTCGTTAGTAAATCGGCAGCTGCCAGAACTAAATTGAACTTCACCAAAATGTTGTCAGGCTTGATGTCCGCGTGCATGATGTTGACTTTCTTGAGAAGGCTTAATGCAAGGAAAAGTTGGTGTGCGTAAGCTCTGACAGCCTTGATGTTCAGACCGACATCCTTTCCAAAGCGCTTCACAACATCCCGAAGGTTCATGCTACAGTAATTTTCGTCAATTGCCCGGGAGTGGAATCAAGAAGATCATCGAACCTCATGGACTCAAACACAAGACAAAGGTGTCCGCGGTGTTCAAATGTTCTCTCTAGCCGGACAATGTGCTTCTTATCTTCTGGGTCAGCCTGTTTTAACTTGTTCAATATCTGCACTTCCTTCAGACCAGCACGATGCCTAGGCGTTGCTTTAGCATTCTCAGAAGCATCATGCGGAGAACATGTACGAACATAGATTCCTGACTCCTGATTATTTTGATAGCCACTTCTTTGCCGGTTTCTCCGTCTTGAAGAACGCGCGCCCGGACAACATTGGCGAACATTCCCTTTCCAAGAGAAGAGAAGACTTGGTACCGCCCACCATCAAGTTGCTCACCAAGGATAACTTGGTAATAGCCCTCGTGATCGGAGGCAGAGTCCAATGTCGTCGTGATAAGGGCGGGTGCTGCTTTTTTCTGTATAAAAGGTCAGACATCATTGTCGGAAAAAATAGAGATAACCATACAACAACTTTCTTGACTTTCTTTCGCTTCTTCTCAGTGATAGCTGCTGCGAACATGTCATCGACATCATCCTCTTCTTCTTCCTCTTCCTCCTCCTCAATAGTTTCTACATTCATAGGTTCGTCTTTAAGGACTCGCCTTTGTTCATCCTCACGGCGATCCAAGCTGGGATCGTAGTCGGCAGCAGATATCTGATCTGGTGCGCCATCTTGCATCTTCGCACGGACATCTTCATCGTCCTCGTCCTTAGCAAGCTCAAAGATACTGTCATCTGGTTGTGGAGATGCAGAGTCTCGCTTGCCTGCATGATACAATACATAAATACACGCAAAATTTGTTCTGGAAAGAAGCTTACTCATTGAATCGTGCCTCGCTTTAGAGGTGTCCCTTGCTAAACTTGCGAAAGTATCAACAGCACTGTGGGGCTGAGGTGTATCAGACACAGATGCAACAGGCTGAGGCGGTTGGACCGCACTACTAGGCCCAGGGCTGGGGCTGATGCTCTTATTAGCACTGGCTACCCCGGAGTGTTTGGCTAAAATGGCTTGACGCCTGGCACGGCGAGCGGCTCGAGCGGCTGCCTCTGCGGCGGCTGTATCGATCTCGAGATCAAGTTCCGGAACAGGTTGTGGAGGAGCAGCAATTTGCACCGGCTTCTGAATATGAGCGGCCTCCGATGGGGCTCGTGTGGATGGTGTCAGAGATGCCTCACGGGCGCTACGCGTAGGAGAAATTCTTGACAGAAGAAAACGACGTGAAAGGGTATTCATACACTTGGATGCGTTGATACTTACTCGCCTTCTTCTTTATCCGAGTAGTCCTTAGCTTGATAAGAGTGTCCATTGGATGGTGCAGGTGAACGGTGATTCCGAGGTGGAGTTCGACGACGACGATCATCTTTTCGACCGTCTTCTCTACAGCGTTGCTCTCTGTCGCGATCGCGGTCTCGTTCACGGTCACGATCACGCTCGCGGCCGTCGCGCCTGTCTTTGTCTCTGTCCCAGTCTCGAGAATAGTCGCTAGGCCTCCTTGAGTCTTCTCTGGGCCGTCCAGGCTCCCGCTTATCGGCACTGTCTCGTCTGCTGCTGCTAGGTTTGCTACGCTTATCTGAGGGAGACTTGAGGTGAACATCCCGCCAGTCTCTAGGTTCGTCTCTGTGTCTCTTGTGTGAGTGAGATTCGGCTGCGCCGTGACCCTCCCAAGACCGCTTTGATCCTGCGGATGCGTTAGTCATCTTCTTCGAAAGCAATTGGGTTTACGGGACACCGCACGATCAACAAGAAAACGTTGGGAAGAATGGGAAAGTGAGGCAGAAAACGAACAAGCTCGTCGTTGTGCTTGCTGACGAGGAATGTGGAGAGCAACAAACAGTCAATGATTCAAGCACTCCGGATCCAGTAACTCCAGATGGTCCGTGCGCATAGCGTCAATTGATTAGGATTAATAATTGTATAAGTGATATATAGACAACGTTGATTGTTAATTCCCTCTCCTCTCTCGCAATCTGGTATTAGCCTTGGTGCCTGGAGAAGGGAAAGGAGGAGCTTGGGCCGCGTAGCGTGTGACTCGTATTGCAGATGATTTGGTAGTCGCCTTTTTTGAGGCTGGTGCTGAGGTATCCGGAAGACGAGACCCCTTACGGAAACCAGCAGATGCCATCCTATTGAGCCGTTGTCCACTATACTGGAGAATCTTATGCGTGGCTGCATCATCAGAGTCGGAAGGATCTTCAGATGAAGAGTCCACTGTGAATTCTTGCTGTTCATGAGGTAACTCAACAGAATGTAAGTCATCTTCTTCGTCAGTGAAGAGATTTTTCAGATGGTCCTCCACATCCTGCTCCTCTGAAATGTAAACTTGAGAGTCGCCGCCTTCGTCCACATTCCGTTCGGCATCTTCCTCAAGAACCTCTTCCAGCTCTGATTTCCCCTTCGCCGAAACCGCTCTCCGGCGTTTCGATGCTGGAGTGGGTTGTGGAGGGAGGTCGACTGAATGTGATCTTGCCCGAGTGTGGCGATACGGTGGGTCAGAAGCGGCCACAACAGGTTGATGGCTGCGAGATTTACTCGGCGTCCGTAGATGTTTAACCTGTGAGTTGGTTCCAGTGCCGACAGCAGGGGTGCGCACTTCGGCAGCGGGGTTCTGTTCTCGCTGGGTTCGCCCACGGTGTGAAGGTGGCCTTCGCGCAGCTCGCAGGGGTTGTGCAATTGATATAGCCTGTGAGCTCATCGATGCCGCTTGAACAACTGCAGTAGTAGCCCGAGCACTTGTAGTCGCTCTGGATCGTAGGTCGATGGGTGAATTCACCAGGGTTTGCTGCGTAGCCAGGGGTTCATCGGATCGAGCTTCTGGAACATTATGCTCAGGTGACTGTGGCATTGGCAATGCATCGAATCTGCCCAGAATAAATACAATTACACCAAACTAGTTAACCGCATGTGATATATCGCAGAGAAAAAAAACTTACTCGGGCATTTGATCTTGATCAAAACTTGTCGCGCTATTAAGTGCCCCCTGAGCGAAAGGCTCATAATTTCTTTCTTGCGGTGACCCTCGATCGTTCTCATTTGAATTTCGACCAGGATGGTCCTGTGCACTTGTCCGTTGTCTCTTCTCCACAGCGGAGGTCCGAGGTCTAGATGGTGTAGCCGAACTGGCTACACGTTGTCTTTTCTGAGGCGACTCCCCTTGGAAACTTGCAGGCTGAGACGTATCAGGATCGTCGCGACGTCGCCTACGTAACTGAGGCGTCGCAGGGCCAGGTTCGTGATCGGGCACGCCATTTTCTTGAACCCGGTCGCGAATTTCTGGAGCGCCGCCGGGCAACTGGTTATCTAAGTTCTCGGGTCCAGCCTCACCCGCTGCTTGTTGTTCCAATTCTCGATCGCTCTCCTCCTCCTCTTCCTCCTCCTCCCGCTGTGCTCTCCTACCACGTATGAAGTGACGCGAGCGTGGATCGTGACCAAAACCATGCGCCACCGCCTTAAGTTGCTCCGCATACCTAGCAATCATAGGATCAAGACGCAGGCGATTCGTCTTGTAGCGCTCGCGCCAGGATTGCCAAGTGTGCCTTTTCGCCCACTCTCTATATTCCGGTTCATCAGCCTGGGAAGAATATTCTTGTAAATTAAGACACACATGTTCAGGACTTAATGACGTACCAGCTCCTCTGTCAATTCTTGGTACAACGAATTCCCAGCGCGTCCTCCACTAGAAGCATCAGGAATGACAGTTGCAATGTAAAAGGCGAGATTTTCATCATCTTCCGCGGTATAAGGTACGCGCCTGATGAGTGCATTAGCAAACGAGACATAGGAGCGGATGCAAAATGTCATACACGCGTCCACCCGGAGCACCAGGCATACCCTTCCTTGGTGGCGGATGATGCTCGTATTTTCCAGCTCTAATGCACTTGCGGACAAAGTCCCTAGACTCGATATAGACGCGCTGCTGCCAGAGGACATTCGAACGATAGTAGCGCCGGCGGATATGTTCGATGTCGGCTTCTTCATCGACCAAAATCACATTGGCTTGCTGCTCATCCTCGCATACTTCACCCCCATGTCTCTATAGTAGCAATTTGGATCAGCATTTGGAGACTTCCACATAAACAAGATAAGTCAGTCGCGATCGCATACCTTGATCTCCTGTTGAAGTACATTGCGTCCTTCCCTGACACTCTGATGAAAAAAGAAGGCCACGGGATACCCATCTTTGACAAATATAGCATCATCAGCATTGGCTCGAGCAGACTGGCTCCGTCGCACAGCATCCGCAGAAGGCATGGTGGCGGAGTTGATTCAAAGGAAGTAAAGCATCACCTGAAAGTATCTAAATCCAACAAGAAGCTGAGTTCAAAATTCGGAACCCCGCACTGGGGTTAGGGTTAGGTACTGAGTTAGGAATTCCGAAACCCCGAATCAACGTCAAAGGTTGATGAGAAATGTCAGTTCGTTCCTCAAGGTAACATTCTTCTGCTAGGATTTCACTGTGATCAACCGAATTGCCGTTAACGTTTTGCTGTTGATCGATGGCTTCCGAGTCTCTGGAAAGCGGTCTCTGGAAAGCGGTCTCTCGGAAGCGATGGCTCAGGCCAAAAATCACAAAGATCAAAGACGAGGTGAGGAGCCGACTGACATTGACTGGAGATCACAGGTTTGGCAGTCCCATGCGATGGAACAACCTCAAGTGACCATCGTATTTCGTTATATGCTGTTCAAGCCTCCAGCCTGAGGTGCGCCGTACTCGGCGGCCCGCCCCTCTAAGTTGAATAAGCGTTAAAACTTCATCCAGTCAGGTCCTTTCTAGCCATACAGAAGTCATTATGCTGACCCCACCAAATCACTGTTTACTCTTTTGATGGACATGACGGTTGGGAGACTAACCTACTGGCTGAAGGAAAATCTTCTACCAGCCTGGTCGTTGGCCTATGTGCAGCATGCGAACGACGATTCTTCACAGAATCTACTGATGGTACCAACCCTCTCAACCCTCTCACTGAAGATGCTCGACTTGACCATCATACTGCCAAAGTAACATTGTTCGACGTTGTTCTTTCGTCTTCACGTGAAAATACTGCTTCAGCATATGTCGGTTTCTATAATCTCCTTGCGAGTACGGTTCTCATGCATGTGCCCTCCGAGACTTGGGCGGAGAGGGATGAAAGGCTTTCTGAAATTATACGAAGTGCACCTCTGAATTCTTCTGGTCGAGCAGAGTAGTACGCTTCGTACTTTGCATCCAAGTGAAGAAGCGTTCATCGGTAGGAACGGATGTGTCTGTATCTAGCTGGCCATGAAGTCGATCATATTAATATGCCAAACTCAATAACAGTGCCGTGGTGCAGTAGTGCAGCGTGCTATACAGGTAGGTACTGTCTGATAAATTACTTCTACTTGACGTTCAGGAAGGCTGACGACATTCTCCCAGTGATATATACAATTCCTGTTGCAGTGACAAGGACTGCTTCGCTTCCGTTCCAGTTTCCCTTCTGAGTTTTTACTTTGTAGATGTGCGGTATCTTACCCTTGCATTAATCAAATGTGTCATGTACCCGATATCTCATTGCCATTATCTATCGCTGCAAGCTGCAATAAGCAAGTATATCCCCACTCTTCGCCAGACTCCATAACACTCGCAAGCCATGGTACTTTCTGAAGTATGCATCGATCAGCGCCATGATTGAGACTCGATTTGAAAGCCGATTGATTATTTCAGAGATATGTGCAACATCCCAACGATGGATAGTAATCTGGATTCTGGAAGATAACCAACATTTCATGAGTGAGGAATTAATCAAATGACATACTTGTACAGTTCGTACGGTATCGTGAAAGCGGGAGCACTTGCTGCAATATAACAGGATGAAAGAAGTATAAGAGAAGTTGCTAATCAGGAAGTGGCAAATGTGCGCTGTACAGGTTATGTGCGCGAATCTAATTTCGATGACATGAATTGTGCGATAGACAAAGCACATGACGTCGTGGATGTGTCCGACGTACAGTTACCGACCCCACGGGATTAAAAAAATAGTGTGATGCGAAAAAAAGATGTATTATATCGAAGGTGGGACCTCTGCAGTTATCGTTACAAACACGGGGCAACCTCCTCGCGCTGGTCCCTACACATGTGCCACGATGTGCCATGTGCGACACAACTTAAGTCCAGCTGCAAGGCATTGTTGGGTATCACCAGGGTGTTGTCTCGGGCATACGTCACCGGGTGGAGAGTGGGTGGGATCCAGAAAAGAAGCCGTCCTTCGGGACCTACAACCCATCCCTCCTCGGTTGGGCCGGAAGGGGCTAGGGTTTCTGGACCTTCGAGAAAGGAGGAGGCGGAATGAAGGGCGTGAATCGGGTTGGATGAGAAACATACTGCAGGTGCTTCGGAGGATTGGTTCTGGTTAAGAAAATCTAAATCCCACACCCGGATGGACTTGTCCTCAGAACCAGACACAATGTGTTTGCTATCAGGCGAGATTGAAACAGACCAAATGGGTCCAGTGTGCCCTCGCAAAGAACCCACTGTTTCGCCAGTTCCCAGATCCCACACCCGGATGATCTTGTCGTCTGATCCAGACACGATGTATTTACCATCAGGTGAGACTGAAACAGACCGAACGGGTCCCGTGTGCCCTTGCAAAGGGGCACCCACTGCTTCACCAGTTCCCATATCCCACACCCGGACGACCTCGTCAGCTGAGCCAGATACAATGCGATGTCCATCTGGCGAGATTGCGACAGAGGAAACATAGTCAGTGTGCCCCAGGAGAGAGGCACCCAATGGCTTGCCCGTACCCATATCCCACACCTGAATTGTCTTGTCACCTGAGCCAGACACGATGCGAAGTCCATCCGGCGAGATTGCGACAGAAGAGACATCTTCAGTGTGACCTTGCAGAGGGACACCCACTGCCTCGCCAGTCCCGATATCCCACACCTTAATTGTCTTGTCATCTGACCCAGACACAATGCGAAGTCCATCCGGCGAAATTGCAACAGAAGAGATATAGTCGGTGTGGCCTTGGAGAGGGCCACTTAATGCCTTGCCCGTCCCCATATCCCACACCCGAATTGTGTTGTCCTCTGAACCAGACACTATATGATTTCCGTTCGGCGAGATGGCGACGGACCAAACCCAGTCAGCGTGACCTTGAAGAGGAACACCCCATGCCTCGCCAGTCTCCATATCCCACACCCGGACAGCCTCGTCACTTGAGCCAGACACGATGCGATGTCCATCTGGCGAGATTGCGACAGAGTGGAAGGAGCTTGTGTGGCCTTGGAGAGCAGTACCAAATGCCTCGCCGGTAATAGTGTCAACATTCCACACCCGAATCGTCTGGTCTTCCGAACCAGACACTATACGATTTCCGTCCGGTGAGATTGCAACAGACATCACGGAGTTGGTGTGGCCTTGGAGAGGGGATCCTAATGCCTTGCCAGACTTCGCATCCCACACTCGGATGGTCTGGTCAAATGAACCAGACACAATGCGACTTCCATCTGATGAGATTGCGACCGACATAACAGTGCCAGTGTGACCTTGGAGAGGGGGACCAAATGCCTCGCCAGTTTCCAGCTTCCATACCCGGATCGTGTTGTCTTCCGAACCAGACACTATGTATTTCCCATCCTGAGACACGGCGACGGACCAAATGCAGTCAGTGTGCCCTTGGAGAGGGACACCTCTTGCCTCGCCAGTCTCCATATCCCACACCCGGACCGTGTTGTCTTCTGAGCCAGACACGAGGCATTTCCCATCCGGCGAGATTGCGATAGACCCGACACCGTCGGTATGTCCTTGGAGAGGGGCACCTATTGCCTTGCCAGTGTCCACATCCCAAACCCGGATCGTCTTGTCATCTGAACCAGACACGAGGTGTTTCCCATCTGGCGAAATTGTAACAGACGTAACACTGTCGGTATGCCCTTCGAGAACATCACCCAATGTCTTGCCAGTCGCCACGTCCCACACCCGGACTGTTTTATCATCTGAACCTGACACGATGCGATGTCCGTCAGGCGAAAACGCGACAGACTCAACGCAGTCAGTGTGACCTTTGAGAGGGTCGCCAAATGCCTCGCCCGTCTCTGTATCCCACAGTTGGATCGTTCCGTCGTCGAAACCACATGCGATGCGCTTCCCGTCTCGCGACATTGCAACTGAGTAGACTTCGGAATGCACGTGGAGTATCTTTTCCATCTGAAGCCACTTTACAACACGGCCGACGGCAATGCGGGGGATGCGAGGAAACTTTGTGGCGAATTGTTTAAATATTATCGACTGTGTGGGAGCAAACGGCAGAGCGGACAGGTATATATGCGGAGTGCTGTGTAAGATGGTGGCCCCGAAAGTTCGAACGAAGCGCTGGATATCCCTGGCAGCGTCACCGATCTGCGTATACTCGTCGTGACCCTACGAGCACCCGGATACTTGTAAGAATGCATTGGTCTTAAGAATGAGCTTAGGCCACGTACCGCAATCCAATTCGCAATAGACGAGAGGGTCTCTACTGAGCCGCTGAGGTGTTTCATCAGAGCCAGTGCTTCCAACCACCAAAGGAGGCGCTCTCCAGCGAAAAAAGCTTCGACTGCCTTAGCGAGTGATGGGTCGAAGGATGCAGCTGCCACATGGGTCCCCCAGAATCGACATGTGTACGATAGCTCGGCCGGAATCGACTGTTTCACGCGTTTCTCCAAGTCAGAGACCGCGGAATTGGGCAAGTAAGAATTCTCTAAGAAGCAAATGTTGAAGCGAAGTCCGAGCTCCATGACCCGAAGCGAGGCAAAGGCAAGGTCGCTTTGTACCGATAACACATCAACGAAGAAGTCAAGACTGCGTGATTTGTCTGTGAGAAAGTCGTAGAATGATGCGTGGAGGGGACGTATGGGAGTCTGAGGATCCGTGATACCGGTGACAAGCGAGCCCAGGGACCTGATAACCTCTTCCACATCGTAGCGGTCATCAACGTGTGGAAAATTCAGTCGCATAGCGGTTAATGCAGTCGTGGACAGCGGTTCCGACGATGCAAGGATTTGCCCCATCACAGAGCGAAACACGGGCATAGCTTCCCCGCGCTCCTTTTCGGGCATACTGTCTGCTAAGATGCGCACATACATATCATCCAACAGATGTGTTCCTTTTGCAGATGTTGTAGCGACCACGGCTTCAAAACGGCTCATAGGATTCCGCCGTATTGTGTTCGTACCCTGGATGTATTCGCAGGCAAGACGAGCCCATTCAAATAGGCCGTCAGATTTTCGAGCAAGCGTCTTGAAGTGTCCGTCGTCAAATGGATTACGTGGGCCTTTAAGTTTAGTGGAGATGTAGAGCTGGATGTCAAGTTCTGTGGACTCGATCGGGATTTCATCCATAGAAATACGACGAACATGTGACGCATTATGCAGGGCATCGCCAATGTCTTCGAGTGGACGGGAAGTAATGATAATACGGAAATTGGGAGGAAGTTGGGATAGTTGGGAAGAAGAAGCGTTCGGGTCGCCAGCAAGCAGACGAAGAATCCGTTCCCGGGATTTGGAGTCACCACTCTCGTCCAACGCATCAATGATTATCAGGACGGGAGCAGTTATGGCTTTCGAGGCCTCGTTGATTGGTTTTAAAACCAACTCCTGCCATTGTCTGGAGATGTCTGTGGTGTGTTTGAGCTCGTTGCGATCATGAACCGCGCGTGCCAAGGCTCGCCGCATGGTCGGATGGCAATCAGCCAAGTCGCGTGCAATCGTGGTGAAAATTTTCTCGTAGCGACGGTCCGCACCATGTGTGCGATCGAAGCAGAAACAGGCTCCCAGACCACCTTGTTCATTAGACCAGTTGGCTATTGTATGAGCAATCGCCGATTTGCCCTTTCCTGCAGTGCCAGATAACCATAAGACGCGCTGCACATCCTCCTCCGTACTGAAAACCCAGGACTTGATCTCAGACAGAATGTCTTCCCGAGTGCCCGGGAGACAACGCCTAGATGTATCAAAACTGGCACCATCGGAATACACCATGCCGTTGAAGTCCAAATCCTCGCCTAGGCCACGCGTCGTCGAACATCAGCACAATAGTTCAGAGTTAATTTGAAGTCAAAACTTACCGGCACGATGAAGGAGGATCACAGCATCACGAGTCGCTTGATCTCGGAATTGCTGCATGAGACCGTCGAGAGCTTCGCTGTAGCTTTGAATCGTGGTGTCTGTTTCATCGACAACGTGCTTTCCAAGTCTGATCCCTGTGCAAAGAGACAACATTGAGTTTCAGGGGACGAAGCAGCGGAATCGACTCACAGGCGCTCTTCGTCTCAGAGTAATGGGTGATGAAATCAGCGCAATCTAGCGTCTGTTGAGCTATCATCCCATATATCGCTAGCATGGATTGAATCTTGGCCAACTCCTCCTTTTCCGTGATGAAAGTATAGACTTGAGATATCTTCGAGAGCAGACGGGAAACAGCGACATCACGGTCTGCCTGATCGAGAATCATCTGTCGTCAACGAAACCTCGTTAACCTGCGAAGATGATGATATTGAATGAAGCCCACCTTGGATGCGCAAGCGAAGATACTCAAAGCCACCTTCGCATACGGATGGAGCTATGCACGAAAGTGAGCCACGTACAAAATAGAGAGAAAAAAACTGTACATCTGCAATCCCATTAACGACAGAGTTAAACACCTTCAAAGGTCCAATAAGCGGGGAAAGCGTGTCTATCGCATCGGAAACAGATTGTAGGTTGTCGGTTGCTGTATTAGTTTTTTGAACAATTCCTGGGACATGCCCGATGCTTGCGACGCCCTTGGTAGCATCTGCGATTCTTTCATTCACAAAGATTGGGTCTAGTTGTTCGGCCTGATAACGGAACTGAGTACATTATTGAAAGAGAGAGATAAGAATATTCCGAACACGACGGTCAAACTTACCTTCGCGATGGCTAAATCGGAAGACTGGTCAGGATTTTGTACGGGAACAGGGGTCGTGAGTGGAGAAGGATCCTGCCGTTGTTATATTACACACAAAACATGGTGAAAGTTAAACATACTCACTTGACTTGTCTGAGGGTGTAGGAGATCCTGCGCACTGGAACTTACAGCTGCATGATCAGGTTTCGGGGTACGCCTGGCGCTTTGAGCAGAACGGCTCTTGAAAATTTTACCCCACAACTTGTGAATCAACCCCGAGGATCGTCCACGAGATTCAGTACGCGAAGGTGAAAGAGAAGGTGGCTGAAACAACATGTTTAGAAATGATCACAGTAGTTGTAAAGGCGATAGTCCATACATCACTTTGACCAGCTGCTCCCCCAACCCTTTCAGCCCGTGCCAAACGAGGGTCTGAACGACTTTTTTTCAGCCAATAGCGCTTCTTCTTCTGAGGATTATCCTGATTCATCGAGCAAGTTCAAGAATACGGCTAGGTTACGAGTCTGGAGAGTAGTATCCAGTCTGGCAAGGTGCAACAAGGACGAAGAGGCACGTACGATAGATAGGCGGCTATCGTACTATGGTCAGTGCGCAGAAGAAGTTTATGTAAATATCAAACATGATGCTTTTGCAAGCATTTATTAATTTTCGTAATCTTGATCATACTAGTCGCCGAGTGTGCCTGTGCGCGGGCCTTAGGAAATTGCCGCATCTGTGCCGCACCCTGCTGCACCCTACTCAATAATGTCTTATATGCCTCTACAATACGTCTACGTCGTACACAACTGTCTGAAATATGATTTGGGAATGGGTAATACTATATTCCAGGTGTTTGTGTAAGGCTAACAGTGGTACTACAGTGATATATGTACTTGATGGGTGCGGCAGTGATGCGGTAGGGTGCGGCAATTCTGTAGTTGGGTGCGGCAGTGGCTGTGCACTACCGCACCACTGCACCGACACCAAACCACGCATCTTATCAACTCCACTTGCAGCACCGTTACCAGCAGCTGCGCGAAACTTGGTGAGACCACTCAACGACCCCTCACACAGGCTCACGCCTGTCAGGTTTGGCGCCTCGATGCCTCCGCCTATCATTCAACACCTGTCTTTGCTGGTTGCATGCCTTGCTGACTTCGCTGTCACACATCTCCTCGACCACATTCTGCAGCAACATGTGCAACATTCCCTCCAAGGCCTTCGCATACAATAGACCACCAGCAACCCACGTTCCTTCGCCATGTTCGCAAACTCTTTCATTTCGCTCCTAGCACAAACGCAGTTCGACATGGCCAGCCTCGCGATCCATGGGATGTTTGTCTCTTTATCTCATTTCTTTCATAGTTTACTCACACATTTCCCACAGTTCCCTGCTACGTCGGCCCTGCCTCCCACCCACTCAACTTCAGCGCAGGCCCCAACTCAGTTCGATCATGTTTGTCTTCATTTTGAATCAACTCGCAATGCATCACTAAGTCCTATCTAGTTTGAAATAAGTTCTCCGCCCCCGCTCGAACAGAGTCACGCAGTTCCTGCGACAGGGCCTTTCCTTCCATAGGTCCAGATCCAGCCATGAGCCACAAGTTGTTGAAGTCGCAGCAGGCCGGAAAGTCGCTGTAACCCAGTCTTCTTAATTTTCGTCACATTTTTGCTGATGTGTATCCTACAGCGACTTGTTGCAGCCAAACTACCAGAATACAGAAAAGTCGACGATACACGGCATCCTTCTAGCCAACAGCCTGGGGTGCCCCAGGACATCGAATCATCTGACAATGATTCGCTCCCAGACGTGCGTTGGTGCAAGGCATTCCTTTGCTATTGTTCGTGCTGGTCTCATGGCAGACCGAGGATGCTTCCTCGATGGCGCTTGGAGCGTGTTGACATCCCCCGTCAGGAAGGCGCGACAATTAGTAGCCGTGCTGCGGCTCACGGTAGCAGTTAGCATAATGTAGATGTATTCGACTTGGTTGAATTCCCCGCCAACTGATGATTCAAACTTCTTTCTGCACATTTTTTTTCGTATTACAAAGTGACATGTAGCCACTATGACGGTGCATGATTCACACATCCCAGGGTGAGACAGTCTGGATGATGGTGTCTCATATATACACGGGTATACTAAGACTCACCTTGATTGGAAGCTGCCGCACCCAGTACCGCATCCGTGCCGCAACATGCTCAAAATTGTTCTCTAAATTCAGACTCTCAAATGCATTAGCGTGAAGTGGATAGTTAAGGAGTCGGACGAGAAACACTCCTAGTTCATTTATTTAATGCACGAGAACAGCGCAGGCCGAAAATAAGTGCAGTACTTATGATTTAGTATGGGTGCAACAGTGGTGCGTTTTGGTGCGGCAAGTTGCGGCAGTGATGCGGCAATTTACCTGAGCCCCCTGTGCGCCACAATGTTGAATCCCCGACTCCAATTGATGTTCCACTACCATGTCAATATTGATACATGGGTAGTACCTGCTGCCATGCATAGAGCCACAGTGTGTACACGTACTCTATCACAACGAGCGTCGAATTCTGTCTGAAATGGCCGGCCTGGGACCCTGGGTCACCAGGTGCGGATCCACCTCAACATGGATATCGTGCCAATTTCCAAAGCTGACTGGTGAAATGTTTTCTGAACGCTAAACCTGTATGCATACTGCCAATGACATTCAATCTGTGGTTCCACACAGAGCGTCTTACCGTTGTTTTGCGGACCAGTGGTTGCTCCAGGCGGAACCACATGTGATGTTTCGAATTTCTTGTCCGAAGTCAAAATTTCATTGTGACCACTGATCATGATCCTGGCAGCCCCTTCCGTATTGCTAGGTATAAGCTCGAGAGAGACATTAATGACCACGACACGCGATGCATTCATTTGGCCGAACTGTGGCAACTGTGCCCGGCCCCGATAGGCTCGATTGTTCCATGTTCTGCCTTTGTAACGCAAATGGGGCGAGATCAACGTCATCGATTCTAGGTGGGCAATCACATCCACACTTGCATTGGTTGTGGATGTTGGAGAATGACTTTGAGGTTGTGGATGTGGACGGTTATAGTGCGTCCACAGTAGCCCAACCTATATATATTGCATCACAAATTCCCCACATTTTCAGACAGTCGACCGCCTTACATTCTTTGCAACTCTACATACTTCCCCCCCTCGGTATCAACCATAAAGCCTTTCAAAAGTAAGTCGGCTGTTTTCAGGTTCTACTTATTGGCATCATAATAATCAAAACCCCTCAGGTCCCACGACGACCAGATGGCGTCGCTTAAGCACTCAAAATCCATGCCATTCAGAGTCAAATTTCAGGTTCCCTTCGCAAGGGAGCATGCACGAGCCTTGTGCCGATCCTCACAAAGCCGTGTACCGTGGAAAGACCCCCCTTAAAATGTCGGATATAGCCTATATCTGGTATTGAATTATATGACGACACAGGTGTTCAAACGTCCGAGTCCGAGTCTGTGGCGAGTATGATTGTATAATCGGCGAACTACCAGACTCACAGTACTGAACTCTAGGCCCTGTGGCCTTTCATGGCTCTGGAAAGCTGAAATGGGTGATTCGCTGTAAAAGGGAAGGTGAACAAGAGTATCCACGGCAATCAATAAATAAGCGGGGCATCGGGAATCTTGAATGGTCCACTACTTCTTGCTCAGTGCTTGCAGTTGGACGAACCCATAATAATCCCCTCTCCGCGCAAGAAGCTCATCATGGGTTCCAGATTCGCTGATTCTGCCGTCCTTGACAAAATGTCTGTAAAGTAGTGAGAAAGTGTTCCTGAGTGACTAGGCTCTCAATTTACTCACATGCGATCGGCGTTCTGAATAGTCGAAAGACGGTGGGCGATAGCAATTGTGGTGCGACCTTTGGCAGCTTTGTCAAGAGCTTCTTGCACGACCTTCTCTGAGTTTGAATCTAGGGCTGATGTAGCTTCGTCGAGCAGAAGAACCTTGGGGTTCCGAAGTAGTGCGCGAGCGATTGCAATACGTTCTGGATCACGAATTCAGCGCGCATTGAAAGGTATCTGTCAATGAATGATACACACGTTTCTGACCCCCAGATAGCTGGGATCCCTTGCCACCGACTTCGGTATTGAACCCACTGTTAGTAGCATGTCAGCAAGCCTCAGGTTCTCGTAGTATATTGAGGTCTCACTCTGGAAGTGATTGAATAAAAGCTAGTATATTGGCATCACGACATGCAGCCTCGATCTCTTCTTGTGTGACCTCAGACTCTGGTCTGGCGGCGCCGAGTAAGATATTGAAGCGGATAGTTCCTGCATACAAAGTCTGCAAGGCAAACAGTCAGTTCTTTCCACCAAGAGATTAAAATCACGAGCGTATTCACAGGCTCTTGCGACACAAGCGAAATCTGCTGTCGATATGCCTGGACGTTAAACTCATTTATAGGCTGCCCATCGAGCGAGATCAGTCCAGAAAGTGGATCGTAGAAACGTTCTAGTAACTGGATGCTAGATGGACTCTCAGCAGCCTGTTTGAATACGATACAATAACGAGACTTACACTGTGCTTTTACCGCAACCGCTAGAGCCGACTAAAGCAACATAAGTTCCAGGTTCGACGGTAAGCGAGAGGCCGCGAAGAACCCGTGACCCAGGACGGGTGGGATAACTGAAATGAATGTTCTCCAGCATTATGTGGCCCTTGATAGTTTCGCTCGGAACGCTTTTGCCTCTAGTTGACTCTGCATCAATCACAGGGGTTGAATCAAGGAGCTTGATAATTGCGTTGGCGGCCCCTTTGGCCGATGACATGTCAGGCGCATAGGCGAAGAAGTCACCGGCCTGCGTTGCGGCAAATATCGTACTCTGCCAGTATGTTATTCACTTCAATAACGTGCGGAGGTTTACGAAATGGCCGTACCATCAAGGCAGTGAAAAATGATTGCGTGGAAATCTCAAGCCGCGAAACGAGCGTCGCACCATACCAGAAAACTAGAGCAATTACCCAGATCGCCGCGGCCTGAGAGAACGCGTAAAGTGTGTTACTCCAAAGCGCTGTCCTAGTGGATTTTCTGACGGGTTCTTCCAAGCACCGTTTGTAAAGATCAAGGCACTGCTCTTCTCTGGTCAATGATGCAACAGTGCGAATTGCTGCAGCAGCTTCGCAGGCAACCTGAGCAGAGCTTTCATGGGCTAGTTTGCTCTTCTGATCTTTCATGACAATGACTTGCTAGAAGGCGTTTAACATGACGGGAGAATATTATGCAAGTCACGTACCAAACGTATAAAGCCAGCGGACAGCAGGATAGGGACACATGCTAAATAACGACGAAATTTGTGAGAGGAAGGCGTGAAATCGGAAAATGGGGCGCACCCAAGCCGACAAAAGCCAGCTTCCAAGCATATGCAAAGCCAATGGTCAAACCAGCAAGTAGAGTTACGATGGATTGGATGATTCTAATCAAAGTCAGTAATGAAACTACTTTGGGAGGACTCATGATGCTCACGTTCCCAGACTTATGCCAGCGAGACCATTGACCTTCTGGGGGTTTGTGCTCAAGCTTGACGTCAGAGCGCCAGTCTTACAGAGTCCAATGAGGCTTCTGCACGAGCCAGGTAGTTATAGGACTCACACTGTTCTTCTCGTTGTCAAAGTACTCAACTGATTCCATGAGTGAGAAAAATACTTTAGCGATTAAGCACTCACTGTCTTGTCGGAGGATGGCTTTGAAGCTCATCGAACGGAGCTTGGCAGTCAGGACAGCGGCAGAAGAAGAAAAGAAGTAGGTCTGGAAACCAATAGAAATGGCGTACAGAATGGCCATAACGAAAAACCTGGCTCGGAATAAGCGCCAGCATGATCTCCAGGAAAATATGTAAACTCAACCAGAGAGCATTCCAGTCGCCTTCATGGCGGCGCTCAGAATTTGTGGTCGCGGCGAAGCCAGAAATTGCGCGCCCTACCAGTGCATGCCAGGGTTAATGGCTTCCGTTTTGTTTGGCGACAGGACTTACCATAGATAATACCACAGGCAGGATAAGAGGCACCATGGCCTGCGGAAGCATGAGTGCAGCTAGTAATATGTGCTTCGCGAACTTACACATTGCAAAGAAAGCTCCAATCAAGTATCGGCGAAGCCCTTCACGGTGAAGACTAGCAATTCGCCTCATCAAATAGAATAGACCGTAGATTTCCTCTGGAGCCCGATCCCCTCCATTCTCCATTGATAGACTGGCGATGTCGCTTCCGATGGAGCAAATAGAGCTCTTCCGATCGAGGAGTTCGTCTAACCCAGGCGTTTCCAAGTCATCCTCGTGACTTAATAAATCATCATCTTCATGACCCTCACGAAGAGTTTGCGCTGTAACAAGACCAAAGTATGCGCCATTCTGGTCTGCCAGGAGTTCGGCATGAGTTCCTCGCTGCAGTACGAGTCCCTCGCCCATGACAAGTATGCAGTCGGCATCTTGAATCGTTGACAGGCGATGAGCAATGATGATGGTAGTTCGACCAGCAGCTGCCTTGTCCAGAGCATCTTGTACAATCCCTTCCGAACGAGTATCGAGGGCGCTCGTTGCTTCATCAAGGAGTAAGATCCGCGGATCCGACACAATAGCTCGCGCAATAGCGACGCGCTGTTTCTGCCCTCCCGATAACAGAAAACCTCGCTCACCAACCACAGTGTTATATCCTTGTGGCAAGTGGTTGATAAAACTATCTGCATTGGACTTGATGCAGGCTGCTTTGATGAGCCGAAACTTCTCCTCATCCGACGCGTCCTCGTATGGTGTACCAATGAGACCGTGTGCGACATTGCCCATGATAGTTGTCGCGAAAAGCACGGGCTCTTGTGAGACTAGACCAATCTGAGAGCGTAACCATTTGATATTGAGCTCCCTCAAGTCAGTTCCGTCAAGCATAACATGGCCACTGATCGGATCGTAGAAGCGTTCCGCGAGAGATACAATCGTAGATTTACCAGATCCAGACGCGCCGACGAGAGCAGTAGTTTTGCCAGCCGGGAAGGTGATGTCTATCCCTCTGAGAATTGGGACATCTGGGCGAGATGGATAGTTGAATTTGACGTCCTCGAACGTAATTTCGCCAATGACTTTTGCAGGCTTTAGTCCTCCTGGGTTTGCAGAGTCGATATCAGGGATGCGCTCAATTGTAGCGAAGAGTTTGGCAGCAGCGCCACGAGCACGTGTGATGGCTTAGAGCATGATGAGAATTCCGAATCAAAAGTGGAACCACGCTTACCTTGTAGGTGAGGCGCCAGTAGGGCAAGGGAGATTGATCCAATTAAGATGGACATCAAGACGTTCACAATCTGCCCGGCGTTAGCTGCCAACAAATGTTAAATGCAGTTTCACGGAACGGGAACGGGAACAGACCATGGCCCTCATTTATGAGGGTAGTTCCAAATGCGAACGCCAGTGCATATGCGCCAAAGATCACAAAGAAGACGCAGCCTGCCACTGCACCTTGCCAAATACTCGCTTTGGAGTCGGCGACGCAAGTTACATCGATGTCCTTATCGTATATTCCAGACAAAACTTTGAGTGTCCCGAAAGCCTGCGCGGTACGAATAGTGGATATGACCTCTTCTGCAAGACTGCCCGCATCTGCAACGTGCTTCAAGGACAACCTAGTATTAAACGGAGATCAGAACTTCAGGACGAGTTCAACAGCGGGTACACTCACCGCGCGTATTTGGACACAAACTTGGTCATGACGCCGTTTGAGATTGCGATGCACGGAATGATGCACGTCAATGCAAGAGCGAGACGCCATGACCGGGCATATGCAATTATAAAGCCAGTGAGGAATGAGCTACCAAAAACGACTGTAAGAGCGACTTTTTCGGATATCCCCAGTTGTACCAAGTCTATTTCAGCGCAACGTGACGTCATCCATTCAATCTGAAATGTGCAGTGCGACTTACGAGTATCGGTTTGGATGCGCGTCGCAACCTCTCCAGCTCCGACGTTATCAAAATATGCGATTTCCTGTCTAAGGATGGCCTGAAGATACCTCTCTCGTATTCTTTTCCCATTAACCTCTGAAGTATAAACCCAGGCGCACATGAATAAAAACGTGGTGCCAAATACCGCGACGCCTGGTACAAATTTAGATACCAGGTGTTATTTTCATCAAATCAAGAACTCACCAAGATATGTGAGGTAAGAAGCGTCCAGTCCAGCATCATGACGGAATTTGGATGCAGCAGCATTCAGTGCGACCTGCGCGTGCTCAATCGCGTTTGCATCGTTATACTGTAGCGATTGATAGTACTCGTTCTGTGCTAAACCAAATGTAATAAAATCTTGTATCAAGTTGCCGAATATAAAAGTCATGAGAGGCTAGGATAGACAGTCAGGAGATGTAGCCCGCAAACCCAAAAACTCACCTGCGAAGCACCAGCAGCAACAGCACAGATTATGCCAAAAAGGTTCAACATTATTTCAAAGCGAGTTGAATACCTGCGTCGGTGAACTACCACGGCCAGCCAGAAAATTGGATGATCTCACCGAAATAACGACAAGAATGATACAGGGACGGGTGCATCTTCTACCTTTGCGTTCTCGGCTTCGGTCACGATTCCCTTAGATGCTTTCTTTCGCCAACGGAGAAAGGATCGGATGCCCTTTGAATTCTGTTTCATTTCCAGAGTGACATGTTCCGGGGATGTGAGCTCCTGTGAAAAGGGAGGTTTCTTCTCGTCGGGATAGGCTGGAAGGCCCTCCGACGTATGTGGTGAAAGTGAGGTAGATTCTGCACCCATGTCTGAGCCTAGCCGCTTGGGCGGACAGCTGCAGGAAATCCATGCATTTATCTAAGACCACCGAGTTTGACCTCACGTGTGAAATAGTTGGTACAAGGTTCCTGCCACGAAGTTCGGCCCTGCACTTCTAGCTGTGAAAAGTTTAATAAGTCAATCAAAAGATTCATAACACATTTGATTTTCGAGATTATGCTTTAGAAAGGGCGAAGACACGGAGATAAGGGTACTGCACATATGGTATGGGAGTCACACGAACTGCTTCCGCAGGACCATCCTGGATTTAACCCCACGTCTCTGCGACGTATTTCTACCTGGACAAAATTTGGTGAGCGATGCGCAAATGGGGATGGGCGCAAATCGGCGGTTCATTGACAGAGAAGCGTCACGTGCACGCTTACTAAGTCCTCGCGCGCCAACGCGTCAAGTTCGCGATCCGCTTGAAATGAACAACTTGAACTTCTTCCACGTATCCAACGCGTATCTACCATGCATATGCAGTATGCTGCCAACGCGATGCTTATCGAATTCCTTAAAGCTATCCACACGTATGTTACAACAGTTGCGGCTCAAGCAAGATGAATCACGGCATCGAGTCTTTTTTTTTGACCCGCTGGAGCATATGCGTTCGGTCGGACCGTCCGCCCTGCTTGAACCTGTCGCTTGGATCAGTAGAATATTCGTCACCATTCGAGACCAGCACTACGATTCCCCGTGTGATTCGTGATAGGAGCCTTATCATGACAAGCTAATACCACATCCTTGGTACGCTTTACTATTCGAATTAATATTTCACTTGAAGGTTCTAGGGGCGCCCGCCTCTTACCACCACCACCTTGGCTATGTCACCAGGCATAAAGTTTATCCTACGTGCAGAAGTGAATCCAGCTTGTCTTGGCCTCTACCACATAAACATTTAGGTTCTTCATGCTTCGAAGCTTACTTGTATATAACCTAGCTGGCAATCACTGGGTAACATTTTGCCATATAACTGTGTGAAAATCTCACAGACGAATGCAGATGAATTCCAACACGTGTCACCGACGCGCGTCGGTCATTATGACGGCAAAGATCATATCTGCAAAATTAAATACGAATATTTTAGCTTTTGCCGCCAATGCGCTCTCAGAATTTCCAAGCAGCGCTGTTGGCTTGACTGCGGCCCATGGATAGCAAGTTCACATTATGGAGGCTGGTAAACGTGGCAGCCATTCATATGATTCTGAAGATCCGCTCATTGTGCTAGGAAGTGACATCCCACTCCGCCTGTCATCCTCACCTATCTCGCTCGCATTTACTTAACAAGTGCGCCAGGTCATGTGTGAACCATCTCCATCGTGCTGATACAGGGAAGTACAGCAAGTACTTGGTGTCAAGATCGTCTCTCTCTCTGTTCTCTACTTCTGTTACTGTTACATTTATTTTCCCGACGAAGCGATGTGATTGGATATACATACTGTACGGCCTTCGAACATTCTTGCATGTATGAAAGTTCTGTCGTCCGCACTATCAACGCATCAAAGAGGTTCAGCAAGATGAAGTAATGCATATCAATCGTGAAGCACGATGTCCATGGTTGGTAATAAAACATACATTATTTTTTCTTCCTGTACATGGGGATATCAAAAAGCTGCGGAACCGTGACCTCTCAAAGGTCATCATTGTCGCTTGTTTGGCCAAGGTCAATTTCCACCTCTGACTCCGTGTAAAAGCTGGGGAAGATGGATACAACGTCTTCCAGGTACCAGAAGCAATCGCGAGGATGCTTGCTGACGTGTGGGGTATCTTGATCTGTAGCAGTGACAGAACTCTCTACATCTTCGCAGCGAGCCATTTGGACCCATGTGCCGCACAAGCCAAGGCCGACATGGAAGCAATCTACGGACGTTGGCTCGATGAGTATGGTCAGGTCGTCACGGCAGGGGTTATAGGCATCAGAAGGGGAGTGGGTATCAGACACATCAATGTCATCTGCGAATGGGTCCTTGATGACGGCTCCACGACTGGAAGACGTGATGACAGGTCTCACGATATCAAGAAGTTCGTCTGTTGGGGTGCGAACCCAAGGTTCCATCACGATGCGAGCGAATCGACTTCCTAGCGCCTGTTCAACCGCTGTGGAGGGAGCGTCTGGGATTGAGCTGATAGCCTCTGGCAGTATTATTTCTTTGACTTTGCGTGTGGAGAACTCGACAACACCTGTGGTGTGTGTCAAAGGTAATTGAGTTGGGCCGAGGAAGGTAAACAGTGAGTCAACTTTGACATCAGTCCACGAGGCCGTGGTGTTCTGCCCTGCGGTAATAGCTGCAGCCCAAGGGTCATCCACTGGAGGAGGGGAAACATTCACGCCATCATCAGCGCCGAAGGTGTCATCCAAAACTTCCTTCGCCACCAACGAGTCAAGGACAACGTCTGAGGATACGATTTCAGCGTTATCAGCTTTAAGTGCCTCCTCAAATGCACCAACCGCCGACGAAGCGGGTGTATCAGTAGTACATTCATCTTCGGAGTCAAGAGTGGCGGAGATGTACATGCTGAGGCTTCCTTTATATCCCCAGCACTCTTTGCACGCAGCGTCGAACATGCCAGGCAAAACTCGCGCAACCCTGGCCGTCGATGGAAGCTCCTTGATAGCGAGCTCCGCGACGGCCACCGCGCGGTTTAAGTTCTCGGTATGAGTCTCGAAACCAGCGAAAACCCCGTTCCGCTGCATGAACCGAAGGAAAAAGTGCAGTACTGTGGGTGCAGTGAAAAGGTTGCGTTCCGACCTGCGTAACTCATGAATGCCAGATGACAATTAAAGGAGTAGATAAACTTGCCAGATTAAACCTCTATCACGCATGTATGAAGACATGAAGACCTTGATAGACTTCTCCATGTCTTCAAGAAAAGTTTCAAGTAAACAAGCCATGATGTCTGCTTCCCCTTCATTTGGCTCTAGCTGTTTGCCTGGATGGGCGATCTGTTCCAAAGGATCTTGAATAATATTGAGATTTATTTGTTTTGCTTTGGGGGCATCATCGTTATCCGAGGCACCGCCACCTTCATAAGACATGTCTGTGGCGCCCTTAGACTTCTTGACTTTGCGATAGATCGGCAGGCTAGACAGAAGGCCAATGTACAGACGAAACTGCAGAAATCAATCAGAACACTCAAACAACGCTGGAAGTTATGTACATGATCCCATAATGTTCTGACTCCGAGAGCTATCGGGGGCCAAGTACGACCAACCCGGAAGTCATCCGTAGCTTGGTGTACCCGATCGATGAGGCTTTTCCCCCTGGATGACCGACAATAAGTTATCTCACATGTGAGCAGGAAGAAAGGAAACAAGTACAGTTCTATCGGCTCGCTCATGGTACGCGAGTTTTCACCCTCTTCCCATTCCTCCCACCACGGCACAATTCTTCCTGTGGCGTCCGCGCTCTGTCCTGCATTTCTGCGCCGTTTTCTATCTTTATTTCTCTGAATGACCTCTTCATCGGAGAGAACCTTCACGGTAGGCAAGCCACCAAGAGCATCAACTTCGATTTCTTCTCCAGTCTCTGTTGTAAGGCGTTTGTAGCCGTATGGCGTAAAATCTTCGAAAGGAATGATGTTGACACCATGTGGCGCTGCCGGAAATGGAGGAAAAGTTGGAGGCAAGCCTTTAGGCTGACCTAGCGCTTTGTCGAAAGACACGGATTGTTTCTTGGACTCTGGTATGTTCGCCATGTCTTGGTTCAAGAACAAAGGCCTTTGTTGCATTTGGTATTTACATGGATTTTTGATTTATACTGTTCCGCGGACTCAAGAGTGCTAACAATGCTGTTTCAAACTCAGCGAATGTTGTAGAACATATTACATAATAATAGATGGAAGGTTTGAAGGCCGGTCAATATTAATATTGCTGCCAAGTACCTGCTTATCAGTGCCATGTACCGAGGGTGGGTATTTTTACTGGCGGCTACTAACATGCTCATAGTTAGAGCGCTGGTGTCACTCTGCGCTCCCGTTTCCGCCTATCTAGACGCGAAGTCCAAGACTGAAGTTGCGGGGTAGTCAGCAGTGAGTAACTACATGTCCTGATGCATCCTTAGGCCCTGGATAGACTAGTTCATCTACAGGAGTAACAGGATATCACAGGGCTTCCGAGTAGTCAACAACGAGCGTCCAAATCCGCTGGCAGTATGACCCTTCGACTATCTTTGGCGAAAAATGATCCACTCCAGACCACTTTCTTTTGCCCAGAGCGTGCCATACACTATACCACTGACACAGTCCCACGTAATGAACCCTCCTGTGGAAGGAAAGCTACCACGACGGTTAAGAAGAACATTGTTGGAGAATCTCATCACGTAGGCATCATTGAGTGGCCAGTCAATCCTGGCGACCGGCCCGCAGTGGTGATGGGGTCTAAGACAATTGAAATGATAAAGACGGGACTACTTACATCGTAAGAAGCTTACTTAGGGAAAACTAATGCCCATCGCTGATATAATCCTGAGCAGTCCGGAGAAGTTTCAGGCGAGTGACGGCAAGTGGTACGAGTGGCAAATTCATGATTATCGAGCGAAAGTGAGTGTCTATGTTGTGGTACATCATGTGAGCATCAGTCGATTACTGATCAATTTCATATGGATAGCTCGTGCCATTAAAGGGTGCTCACTCACAGGCATGCATAGCCACGTTTGTCCCCCCACTTAAGCAGACTCTGTTCAAACGGGAGCCTGCTGCGCTTCAAATCCTACTGGAGGCTGCACACATCCTGGATGATATCATTGTCACCTTTATCTACTTCGAGACTCAGTGGCGAGAAAAAGAGCGAGCAAGATCTCGATCGTGGGACACTGGTTATGCTGCTGGTCCGACTTTCTAACGGACCTTGGACTGGTCAGATATTGTATATTCCTTCTTGGCACCTGGTTGTGCGTGACTATTAACCTCCTGAGTATGATACAGCTTTACTTGACAACAGGTTACGTCAATCTTGCTATGAAACCTTTGATTTGATCTATTGTCGGACGGTCTGTAGGAGAAACCGACAAGCAACGCTGGATGAATTTCAAGTGTCCCTCATGCATTTCCGCCCCGCAACGAACTGGATCTACGCCTTTGTGTCGCGCAGCAACAACACGTAGAACATCGTCCAGCCACCAGTATGGTGTCTTTCCGGAAAGCACCTAAAAGGCATTCAGCCGAACTGGTGAAGGAAGAGTAATGCATCAACTCAGCATACATGCAACATGATGCATCCGAAAGAATAGATATCGCTGTCACGGCTTGACACATTACCGAACTCCTGATCATCGTCGTTGATCAGTTCCGGAGCTGTCCAGCGCAAAGCACCACAATTATATGACTGAAAGAGTTCGCCACACGTAGATACGACTGAAGACAGTCCATAGTCCGCGAGAAGGGCAGTGTGGGAATCATCAATGAGAACATTATTCTACTTCTGCAGTCAGCGGGGTAACGGCTGAGAAAATGTGAATGGACTGACGCTGCTGAGATTGCCGTGAATTATGTCATTGGAATGAACTGTTCAAGATGAAACCGATGAGGTATATTTGATTGGTGGGATATTTTCGTACTTACGAAAGTGGAGCCCAGCTGCGACATGGGATAACTGAATGCAGGTTGAGAAATAAGAAAAGCCCTATTTTACAAGCTTGGGAGAAACGCACAAGGCGAAATTTTGTAGCGCTTGGGAGAGTTTGATTCCTGGCGCTCAGGTAGCTGGTCAAGGATCCGTTCTTCATCCAAGGCGATACCAAACAGGGAAGGCTAGAACCAAACCCAGTTGTAGTACCGTAAATAGGCAATAGATTGTCGTGGCAGAGAGACATCCAGCGTTGCACTTCCGCCAGAATGATCTGTCTCAGTATTAGCGTTGAGATATTTTTTTTTCGGTATTGCTGACTTTTCGGGCCTCCTCAATGCTCCCTTCATCATCATCTCGTACCTTGATAGACTTGACAGCAACCTGTGCAACTATCAGCACTACAAAGAATGTGAATAGAAATTTGGCTGACTATCTTCTCCTTTTTGAAAGCCTTGTTCCGCAAGGTACACTGAAAAGTATCACCAAGGCCCCCTAGAGGCAAGGCAAAGTTTGGCACCATCTTCAGGGAATCTTCCGCAAAGACAGCGCTAGGTTTTGAAAGGATACTGTAAGTCGTGCGTGGGACACACTGACAAAAAAACCCACGATGTATCAACCTGTTTCAAACAATTCATTCGCGCTTTGCATTGTGGAGTATACAATGCAATCCTTACCGACGGCACGCTGTTACGGCGGAAAATAATATCGAAACTAAACCTGCGCGTAGGGCTTGCTCCTTTGTCGTGGACACCAGATATTAGGCTGGACGCTGTGTGTTGATTCATATCAATAATGGAACTTGTCGCGGAAGCGTGTGTCAAATGACCTGTCTTGGCCGTGGACTGAGTGACCAATAGTGAGCATTTCCGTAGGAGTTTGGACAGAGAGGATACATACTTTGTGCTTGGAGGATGTCATAGGTTCTCCATTCGAGCATTCGGTTGGTCGATTCACTACCGACACTTTTTGATCTCAAAAAATGTGTTAGCCGACTGTGGAGGACATACTTCGATCAATACCTTCCGACTCTAATTCTGTTTTGAGAAACTTCAGAATGTCGCGTGTGGACGGTCGAGCGCCAGGCAGTGAGAAACATCGTTTGATTAGTCGCCAATGTGCATCTAAGATAGGACCGCAGGCAGGCCTCTGTGGTGTATACCCATCTGCCATTTTAATGACGATAGAGGTACTACTCTTTATATTAGCCCAGGGCTCATTTCCCGAAAGTACCTATGATAACAAAAAGTTTAAATTTCAAGTAATTACACACACATTGAAGACATACTTTAAGCGTGAGACAGCCAAATGAGTAGATATCACTTCGAGGATCCGGCCGGGTGGATTCTTTTAGAAGCTCGGGAGCGCTGTAGCGAATAACTCCTGCTTGGGCACAAGAACGTTGAAGATATGGGGAGCCCGTGATATCCCCGAGCATTGTCGACAAGCCGAAGTCTGTGAGGATAGCCCTTTTGTCGTCGTTCAGGAGCACGTTGTTCTGTGAGTGAGGCGATTAGGTACTGATAAATCTCTTCAAGATGGTTCGTCTTACAGGAGTTAAGTCACCGTGAACCACCGGGACACCATGCACTGTGTCGAATATGTATACGCATGAGCAAGACTCAAACACCTGAGCGACAGAATACACACGATAATCGAGGCCAAGTGTAACATCTTCAAGCTGAGTATCAAAATAAATCAATAAAACTGGGTGTCTTATCATGCAGAAAAGCTCACTAAACGGAGGCGAACAGACAGAGTGATGTCTTCGTGTTTCTGAAGATAAGCTGCGAGCGAACCATTTTCGAACCAAGGCGAGACCATAGATATGGAAGAGCTAAACCCTCTAGCTATGCCTAGTAATGGCAAGATATTTGGATGGCTAAGTCTCTTCCATGTTCCAAGTTCACGTCGCAGTGCCTTTATATCCAGTAAGTAAATTAGTCGTCATTTATTGCGACGCCGCAAACTACCTTTTCAAGTGCACCGACCTCTCCATGAACCCTTATCGCTTTGACTGCAACCTGGAAATATTTGAGATGGATACTGGTCATCAAAGCAAACAATCGTACCACCTCCTGCGCTGCACCAGTTTGTAGCATGCAGCGCCAGATGTCACCAAACCCTCCTGCAACCGTATAAAAAGTATCGGTGCGTGTGATACGTTCTGTGAGGTCGACAAGGTCGCTGGTCGACCGCTTGGACGGGTACATGACTAGGGTGTAGGATTTGATGAGTGTGAGGGTCGAAAGGTCCGGCGTCAAGATACAGGCCAAACCTAGTTTTATAATTCGCGTAAGGCAGTTTAAATAGATGCTACACACCTCGTGTCCACTGGATTACGAATATTGAAGCGCGAGCATGTTACATACCTATACCAGATACCTGGTGCTGTGGTTTCTTAACGTATATGGTTTCACAGGCCTGTCCTGCTAGCCGTCCGTTTTGGCACGCCCCATTTTTATTTCGGACGTGGACCTGTTATTCCCCACTAACGCGGAGAGGAAAAAACGGAGAGGAAAAGTCCAGCCCCACCAGAGGAGGAAAGTTCATAGGTTTGGTAGAGAATAACATCAATCACTTGAGTTTAGCAGAGCTGCGTAAATGCCCTTGATATGACTCGGAGGATCACTCATTTCATTCATTGCCGGAAAATGAAGCTGAACTCGAATGGCTTGCGGCCGAGTTGAATTTTCAGAGATGTGCTCTATGCTCCACGATGCCAATGACAAAATCGACAAGGTGTCGTGTTTCGATGCAGTGGGGGCGGTGTGGGGCCCCACGCTGAACATAGCTATCATGTCATCAAAATTCTCATGATCATATCTGTGCCTCTTCGACTCAACCCTAACTTGGGGCTACTAATCGATGGCGACTTTTCTCCACTTCCTCGCTAGCTCGCGACCGAATGATTTACCAACCAACCACCTGTGGGTATAGGCTGGCTATCTAAGTCGTACAAGTCTCCAGCTGGTCAGCCTCCATGCACGAGGACACTAATGGTCAGCCAACCTGCTACTCGCCTCCTCAGTACTTTCTGCTCAGGTCGAAATAACATTTCTACCATGCCAGCTGCCGTGAAACGCACACTCACAGCCGCTCTCATCCGCCTTTCTTCCATATTATCTGCCAGAATGCCTTCGGACGCTTGCTACCCACCCGACGATCTCAGCAACACCAACCACCCTCCGATCACCCACAACCAGCTTTGTATCTCGCTGCCGAAACCGACTCTCGCAACAACGGAGGCAATATCCTTGCACCAGATGCGCCGCCAACGCAAGCAGGAGCAAGCTATGAACTCGAGCCACCGACCTGGCAAGACTGCGATGCGATACCTCACAAAGATCAGATCATTCTGCGCCATTACATTCACGAAGCCTGGATCCCTTTGTGCCCCACCATCTCATATCTTTCTGTCTGATGCTTTGGAGACCATCCACACTCTCAGTTCGTTGGTAGCGACAGACGCCGACGATACTTTTGTCACCGCAGATGAGCTGTTCGTATCGATTTGTTTTGTGTTGTCATCCCATGCTTACATATATTGTCGTAGCATCCACGTCTCCAATCTCCCACTCTTAGCAAGCGAGGCTTTCAGAGAAGAACTGTACGTTCGTGGTTACCTCGAACGACCCAATCAGGACAATCGTCTGCTCTGCCAACCATGGTGTATTGTCCGGCCACGGCTACTCCAGGTATTCCACAACCGCCGGCCGAAACAGGTTGCAGCTGTCCCCGTTTCCTCTAGAAGCCCTCAACACCCGTCTCCACAGGCTATTGGCAGGCGTGGAGGACTCACAGTTGCGGAGGCGCTCAAGGTTGGCATACACCTTCTAGTGAGCCATGCGAACTGTGCTCACTTCATAGATGTAGTCTGCCAATATTGAGGGGGACCCTTGTACATCAACTCCGACGAGACCATCTCCTAGTAACCAGTCGATCTGCTGGTCTTGCAAGTCGCCACAAACGGCCCCCGATTCATCTACATCTCCTTTTGTCCAAGAAAGCCCTTTGTCGACTACCCAGTCTTGCGACTTCTGTGAATCCTCTTACGTTTCGTCGCATACCACACCTCCCTCGTCACCGGAGCTTGTGGTCCTCAATTGCAAGGAGAAGAGTGTTCTGGGTACGATATCTGAAACAGCTCTGCGGTCCTTGGCGCCTCGCGTTGCGTTGATGAAGGCGAAGCGTTCATGTATGGATGTGGATGCGAGGAGTTTTCAAAGACTGTGGTATGGGGAAGTCTGCCATCACTATCTTGTTTGATTTTTGTGGATCACAGCTTGAATGATGATTTTTGTTCGTTCTTGACGTTGCTTGAGGATGCCACGTAAGTTACTCGGCGGTTGTTTGGCAACAGCTCTTTGAAAGGGTTACTTAAGGTTACTTAGCGTTGTTGAGGTGAGAGTCACTCTTAGCACTGCATCGCTTTCCCAGAGTTCGGCGCTCATGTTAACACAGCTTACTCGATGTGCCTCACACAGAAGGTCCGCGGCTGGCAGGAAACCCATCGCAGCGCTTGGGTGCCTCCGAGGTGTTCTCCCGAGTCCCAGATATTATTCAAGAGAGTACCCCGTTCACGTCGACCCCTACCTCCACTCGATTGCCACTAGCGCTGGCGTTTGCGGCGCGGCGATCCACACCCTGGATCAGTATATGTTTCGCCTCATCTTTCAAGCGTCCACTCAGAGCTACTCTCGGCTGGCCGGCGTAGAGATGACGCCGGAATGTAGAATGTCAGACCCAAGGATTCAGTGTCGTGCGTGTGTCAATCAAAACCACGTTATATTTATCCATCTACTGTCCAGCGAACACCCAAGTACGGCAATACCTTGGGTTATTAATACGTGTTTCATCTACCTCTTTCACTTCTACGAAATGCACCAGACATTCGTAGGACACGACTCAGCCCTCATTCTTGCTTCCGTGTTTCAAATATTGAAAGTTGAGTTGTGGGGGTGCAAGGAACCCTTGGAAGTGAAGAACTCCGAAGGTGGCGTAGTGTCAATGACCACGAACAGCCTCGAGGCAGGGTCCATGTCATGGTTAACGGTGTTTCACTGATGGCTATGTAATGATCGATTCTCACCAGGTCAGCGTTATATAGGACGCAATCTCTCTTCACCTCGAGTCTGAAAATCCCTGATTCCCTATTTCAATATATCCCTTGACCACCCCTGTATCCCTACTTACGTTCTTCTTCATTTTTTTTGAGTATGCAATCGTCACACTTTTTTCGCTTCTTTGCATGCATTGCTTCTTTTCTCTCTGTGGCGCGGGCTTTCAGTGTGACTGTCGGGACTCCCACTCAATGTGATGGTCTCACCGTTTCATGGACTGGTAAGCGCATATCTAATATGTTGTATATGCTCCCGCTGAACTTTATCGGGATTGTCAGGTGGGCAAGCACCATTTGAGATACTCTTGACTCCTGTTCGTCGGCGTTATCGTCTCAAACACTATCGCGCGCTAATATTTGTGCCTTCCAGTCTTTGTCAACGCTCCAGAATATATCTGTACCAGCATCAGCCTTCAGCAATGGCAAAGGCTCGTATTCAATATCGCCATTGACGTTGGCGGCGGGAACACTATTTCTACTCACTATGTCTGACGCCACCGGATTTGGTTCGGGCGGGACGACAAACCAACTAACTGTTGGGAATCCTGTTGCAAATAACAACTGCGACACTGAAGTTTTATCACCTCCTTACACGTTTAATTTGTCGCCACTCCAAATCCTGCAATGCAGGTAAGCTTAGTTCGCCTACTTTTTCGTGGCACGGACTTACCAATACTGCAGTCAATTTACCATTTCCTATACTGGTGCAATTCTACCCGCTACTATTGTGGTCAGATCATTGCTGGTTCTATCAAAATAATTTACTTACCTTGCCACAGCAACTTATTCCTGGTGGACAATCAGTCGTATTCAATTCAGTGAATAGCAACACTTTTACCTCGGTTGCGGATGTTAACGTAGGGACGAACCTCATATTTTTTATGACCGACTCTGCGGGTAGACAAGGTGGTGTCTCTGGGTTCGAGCAGGTCTTATCGTCGAGCAATACCTCGTGCCTCAACGCCAATTCGCCGTCATCCACTTCAAGCATGTCGGCCACGGCCACGGCCACGACTTCGACTTCGACTTCGGCTTCATCGACATCTAATCCAAGTAGCTCAACAAGCAGCAATGTCGCTGTTATCGCAGGCGCGGCAGTCGGCGGTGCGGCGGCCCTTGCTGCATTAGTCCTACTCGGCATGTTCTTGTCGCGGCGTAAACGAAGAGCGTCTCGCTCTCCGAGTCCGGATATCATATCTTCTCCAAAAAGCCGTCCACACCAACTGCAGCGTACGGATCCCGATTATGAAGTCAACCCTCATGGTGACATTGCACCACAATTCCCATTCCCATACAAGACAAACCCCATCAACTACCATACCCAACCCATTCAACGCAGCCTGAGAACCCAATCAGACATGACAAGTTCGTCCGCCGGAACATTCGCAGTTAGCGCCCCTCCCACACCATTTAGTCACACACAACACTCGCGCCAGAGCTCTAACACGGACTTTCCTATCTACGGAGACACTCGAAGTTCAACTACCATGTCATCCGCTTACAACCGTATAGCTGCAATGACTCAACCGACATCACAAACCTACCCACTACCATACCCTATCAGCTACCTGTCTCCACCCATCCAACCTGGAAGCCAATCACCCCCTCCTAATGCGTCCACTGGTAACTTCACAACCAGCGACCATCCCACGTTGTTCAATCAGTCACTGCATTCACGCCAGAGCTCAAATACAGATTTTGCTGTGTACGGAGACGCTCGAAGTCCGGCTATGTCATCCGTTGACAGACGAATGGCTGCCGTCGCTGAAACGACATTATTACCATCACCATGGCAGACAGATCCTATTAGCTACTCCGGTCCGCCCATTCAACCCGGACCCCAATCACCTCCTCCTAATGCGTCTGCCGGCAATTTCGCGGCTAGGGACGTTCCCGCACCCTTCAATCAAACACAGCCCTCCGAGTCACACAAGAGCTTTAGCACAGACTTTGGAGACGCTCGAAGTTCAGATATGTCATCTGTTGACAAGGATATGTCTGCAGGGGCTCGACCAGCATCACCGTTACCACGAAAGACCGACCTTATCTACCTTGCTCCGCCCATTCAACACGGATCCCAATCAATCTCTGCCCAAGCGCCTGCCGGCCATGTCACAGTTAACGACCCTTCCACACTCTTCAATCAGACACAAAAATCACGCCAGAGCCCTAACACAGACAGCTTAGCTGTGTACGGAGCATCTGGAAGTCAATCTATGGCAGCTACAACGGCGGTCGGTCAAACAGACTATCAAACTCCTGCTCGAATCCTTGTGCATACCGATGCTGAGGATGTTGTGCCAGACAACAATGGCGTAGTCGAACTTCCGCCGCAGTATTCGGACTATCGGGGAGTCCGTGCCTCGTAATCTGAGTCTGCGTCACGACCTATGTCCCCTTCGGACAAGGACATGCCGACAGCGCGTTCGTTTACGAATAATTTTCTTTCATCGGGAGGATACCTTGTCCTCAATAATGAAGTGCAAGACATCGTGCTGCTATTTAAATCGGGACGAGTGAGCCTCTGTATGAGATGTTTCTTACGAGCGTCTCATGATAATGAAGTCACAAACATGTACTAGCGGAGCACTAGGAAATACTTTATACGATTACAGAGATCTGACTGTAAGAAAATGGCTAACAGCAAGAAATCAATGTACGACAACAAGGCAGTGTAACATGTTGCAAAAATCTGGCAGCTTCAGGCTGGTCATTAAGATGTTACAGGGGCTTCAAGGAGATGGTCCTGAAATCACAGGTCAGGTTGTGAGTCTGGTAAACCATTGTGAACACACACCTTTGCAAGTTTCTCGCCTTCTGATAAAATAGCGAGGCAAGACTGCAGATCCTTCACACACCACTGCCTTTCGAGCCAGGAGAGGAGATGACGATCCCAGAAAGGCTTGAATACATGAACGAGCTTCTCGTCCCATGATTTCGGAGCTCGCGAGAGATGGACGGCCCAGTTTTGGCATGCGTAGTCGAGAACGTCGGAGGCTGTTCGAGTTCGTTCGCGTGCGTCCTTTGCGAAGTTGGAAAAGGCCTGCATTGAATGAATGATCTCTATGTTTGGTGGAAAACAACCTCGTGGAAATGCAGAGGTGGGGTGGTCCTGGTGCCTTAACACGAGGAACGCTGGAAACAACAAGAAATCCGGCAGGTTCTTGAGCTGTTGGATGACTTGAAAAGCTGGCTGAAGAGGCAATTCTGGGATAATTATGTACTGCATGATTGCTTCCAATGAGTTCGAAAATTCCTCCATTGTTACCCAGACAGTCGTCAACCGCCACGTTTGACCATGCAGCGTCTGCAACCAGTCTTGCCCGTCTGGGGTCTGCAACCAGTCTTGCCCACCTTGGGTTTGCAACCAGTCTCGCCCGTCTGAGGTCTGCAACCAGTCTCCCCTGCCTTGGGTTTGTAACCAGGTTCGCACGTCCGGGGTCTGCAGCCAGTCTTTCCCGCCCTGGGATTGCAGCCAGCCTTGTCCGTCCTGACTCTGCAGCCAGTGCCGCCCGCCATGGAGCAGCCAGTGTCCTTTTGGGGTCTGCAGCCAATCTCGCCCACCCTGGGCCTGCAGCCAGTCTCGTTTGCCCTAGTGCTGCACCAAGCCTCCCCCGCCTGCGTTCTGCAGCCAGGGATCATACAAGGCCTCCGGCTGGACTATCTCGCGGGGGGCGGACCGCGGCCAGGGACCATCCAAAACCTCCAGCTGGCCTATCTCGCGTGGGCCGGCTCGCCTATCCAGGATCTGAACCACGTTTTGCTCTTCCCACCTTCGCCACCTTCGCCAGCCCCGGGTCTGCAGCCACACACACTCTCCTTCAGTCCGCAGCCAGTCCTTTCCCCCCTGTGTCTGCAGCCACTCTCTCGCTCTTTCAGTCCAGTCTGCAGCCAGGCACACCCGTCCAGGGTATCTAGCCAGAATTGAAACTCTAAACTGCGATTTCCCCGAAGCCAGAGCAGAGTTACAAGCGCTTGCATTGGCTCCGGTGGCTGGACGGTGAATGATAATGAGCGTGTTAAATTCCGGGGGTCCTGGGATTCCATAGCTTGACTCTGCCTACTCAATTCTGAGAGCGCATCCAGGAGTGCAGTGCTTTCTGGAATATCGCGCACCATCAATTGGAGAGAGGAAAGTGCGAGCAGGGAGTGCGGTGATGTGAGACATTGTACTTGAGGGAGGCTGCAGTTGGAGTGGTGAGAAACGTAATCGCGAATGGATGAGTGATAAATGCTCACAGGAAGAGTCCTGTCGATGGGAACATCTATGATAGACCGTAGTTGCACCAGCACTTTCTCAACGTCCCTGCCCTGACCAGGACCAAGAAGTTCCGAGATTTCTGAGATTGGCAGAGGATCTGTGAGGGCGGCAACAACGGACAAGTGCTGGTCTGCCAACTTCGGGTCAGCGCATGTGGAGAGGATACGGTCGTATAACTTGTACACTTCTGTTCCTGGTAGCAGTTCACTCGTTAGCTCGAGCATGAGCTGAAGCCGGTCACGGGGATTGTTGTCTCGATCCTCGATAAACTTCATCATTGTAGATGCCACAATGAAACGTCTGCCCGCTCGGATCGCCAGCTGCTCAAGTTGATACTTCGTTGGCAACGGGAAAGTGGAAAAGCGACTACGTAGCTTTCCAAAGGAATGCTCCAAGAAGCGATAGATATCTGCGTCAACATCTGCGCCGTCTAGCGAGATAGTGGCAGCGACACCCTCTCCAAGAATCTTCACTGGTATCTCGCACACCAGCGGGCGCACATCTTCGTTCTGCATGGCTTCACAAATATTTGCTTCCGAGAGACTCGTGACTAAAATGTGGGTCACAGGCAGATCAGGATCGCGAAGAGCTTGGGCGAGCAAGGAGATAAGCTCAGCAAGCTCGCTTTCATATTTGTCTTCATCGTAGTCGAATGTGGATTGATCGAGGGATTCTGATGTGCATCCATCGAGGGCATCAACAACGAATGTCAAAGGCGGACACTCGCGCAGCCTGGATTGAAGATTTCGCAGAGGTTGTAGAAACAACGCCTCCATCTGGTCGTGAAGAGACTTGTCGGGATCTAAAAGGGCAGGATTCTCCAGGATAGCTTTGTTCACGTACGTCTTGATGCTGGGAAAATTCACGGCCAGCTGGTAGGCAAGTGTCGCAAAGAAATAACCAGTCGTGCGGCGTTTCGTGTGCTTGCGGGAGGAAAAGAATGTTCCTGCGAGCCGCTTTTCTCTTTTCGTCTCCTCTGTCATCTTCAGACCTCTCATCCTTTCAGCTACGGTGAACACAACGGCAGATTTTCCGACGCCTGCTGTACCATGGAGCCAAATGAGTCGATTCTTCTCTTTGGTGTCTAATAACCCGTATATATGGTTGAGAAGGACCACCCGAGTCCCTTCCAAACTTGAACATTTCGGATGGGGCCGGCGTTCACCAGAGTCATGTTCAGCACCCTTCACAGCGACTTGGGATAACTTCTCCCAAGTTCCTTCAGACATACGGGAACTGTTACCAAGGTCAGAGAACGAGAGAGGGGATAAAAGATGGATATACTGACATCGACTCCTTAACAAGGGTTGATGATGAATCGTGACACAGGATGCGAGATGGAATTAAACGACTCCGAGTCTCCGAGAAGTACTAGTCGAGTACGATGTTATTGGAAATCCGGTTAGTGCCTCGCAGCTTACAGGTTAAGCTTCTTCGAGGGTGGCTACTGAAATTGTGAAACGATATTTCAGCGCAGTATATTCAGGTCTGTCCAACAGAGATGAGTCCTTAAACCGGTGGGCACCGAATGAAACTCCATACTGTAAATTGATCGAAATTGCAAGGTATAGGCTTGAATTTGAATACAGCCTCGGGTTCGTGCGGTTGAAAGACGACCATGGGCCTCAGTGGGCGCTCGTTTGGTGCACGAGGCTCCAGTGTGGCCTTGCCTCATCATTGTCCCATAAAAAAACGGAACACGCTCTGTATAGACCAGTAACTCACACAATGTCAGTAAATCCATCCCCACCAGAAGAGGAAAGTTCATAGGTTTGGTAGAGAATAACATCGATCACTTGAGTTTAGCAGAGTCGCGTAAATGCCCTTGATATGAGGATCAGTCATTTCATTCATTGCCGGAAAATGAAGCTGAACTCGAATGGCTTGCCGAGTTGAATTTTCAGAGATGTGCTCTATGCTCCACGATGCCAAAGACAAAATCGCCGAGGTCTCGTATTTCGGTGTGGGGGCGGTGTGGGGCCCCGCGCTGAACATTGTTGCGACACTGCCACAGTTGTCGTTCCACTGATCAAGCTGCGATTCCGAACATGGAACCTGAAGGGAAGAAATCTACCTGATTAACCGAATTTGGTAACTTCTATTATGTAAGCGCTTCCTGCAGTCTAAGAACACCAACAAACATTGTTATCTAGATCTTCTGCCGCGACGATCACGTCTACCACCAATTCCTCCGGGGTCTGGTACGTCTGTAGGAGTCCACATAGGTCTCCTGCGACTCCCAGAACTTCACATGCCGCTGCTCCATGTTTTCGGACGTTTTTTGCAGAGCTTATCAACAAGTATTAGAACCATGATTCAGAGGAAGCATCATTTGACTAAATTGTAAGCCACTGCCTTCTCGATCCTATATAAAATATCACTTAGAACATTCAAGAAACGCACCGTATTCGACGCCCGACATGACTTCGAAGATTCAGAAAATAAAGAAGATCGGTGGAACTTCATCGGCAAATGTGTACAAGGCAAAATATTATATCGACAATACAACCTCTAAACAGGTTTGTGTTGGGCCTTGCATCCCATCTATGTCACTCTTATATGTGAAAAACAGGTTGTCGTGAAGTCGTTCAGGGGGCAATCTGAAAGCCAGGTTCATAATTATTGTCTCGAGGTCATTAGATCATTCATATTAATCTTTTTCTAGGAATTATTACTCCAAGCCGAAACCTGGATGACTTTACGGCACGATAATATCCTTACTCCGATAGGATTCACTGATGGATTCGGACCGTTTCCATCGATTGTGTACGACTGGATGCCCGGCGGGACATTGGCCTCGTACCTCGAACAAAATTCTGACAGTCTGAGTGTGCTGCAAAAGCTTTGCATTGCAAGTCTTGTTCACTCTTTCTTGTGAATAAGTCTGATTTGGTAGTGTAGATCCAGCAAATAGCGGCCGGACTCTGTTACCGTGAGCACAAACAAACATCCGCTTCTGACATCATCCTGACTCAAACTCAATGTAGTTCACGACAAGAATGTCATTCATGGCAACCTACATGGGGTGAGCCGCTTATATCTGTCACTGCAGTTCTGTATCTCATCATAATGCCTTTAGAACAACGTCCTAATCGACACCAACGGTGTTGCATACCTTGCAGATTACGAAGTTACTGTGGCGCACCGAGGACAATACATCCCACCGTCTGTGAGATGGCAGGCGCCCGAACGCTTCGACAGCCAAGGCGTTGTCGCACCCACGACAAAGAGTGATATCTACTCTCTTGGAGCTATCATGCTTCAGGTTTGTCCATTGCGCCCATGAGATTATACACATTGCTTGATAATTTTGCAGGTGTTTACTGGCCGTGAGCCCTATTTCGATGTCAGAAGCAGATCCAAGGTTTCCATCGAAATATTGAATGGAAGTAAACCCTCGCGACCGCATGATGCTCATATCGCGGATCATCACTGGCTATTCATTCAAACATGCTGGTCCGTCCCAGAACACCGCCCATCTGCCGCTGAAGTGCTACACTTCGCTCAAAGTGAAGCCGATCTTCTTAGCGCATAGTCCTATGCGAGGAACTTACCACGTCCACCCGCCCACTCCCTGGGCTTGTAACCATATTTAATTCTTATCACTACTCCCACTTCCCACTCCCTAGGCTTGTAACCATCTCTAAATTCTTATCACTGCGTCCACCTACGCACTCCCTAGGCTTGTACCATCTCTAAATTCTTACCACTGTGGACTTCATGGGGCCATGCCCCCCGGCGTTGTTTCTCTGGCAGCACGGGGCCCCATTATTCTGGATATCATACGTACTTATATATATATGTATGACTCGAGAATCTTCCGGCACCCGTAGTAATATTTACATGCATTAACTTTTGTATCTCCCTCTGTTCTTCAATAAATCGTGCAGGGAGCGAGGGGAAAGCGAGCGCTCAGCGCTGGCCAACCTCTGCAGTGTCTGCACCAGTATAACAAAGTGTCAAAGCTACTATCTATTTCTGGCCCAGAAACCCTCGGAGCGACTCAAGAGTGACTTGTTTTTTTATAACACAACTACACAACAGGATCAGGTAGCATTCAGCACAAACTCTTAAGGCTATGTTTAAAACAACAGAGAAATATGTCAAAAATTCTCACCCACACACTATGTCACATCGCCGTTTTTACTCTCTGACGCTGTCAAATATGATAAATCTGGGGCAAGTACCACGAGCACTCACCCTGTTATGACTCTGAGCTCGGTTCACAAAACTACAAAGATGAAAAGTCTAAACATACTCTTGACAGCATTCACAGGGTTGCCAAGACTCCGCCGTGGATGTTTAAATTCACTTCAGCTCACTTCAAGGTATGGCGGTCGTGGAGATATCACCAGGCGGCAAAAGGGAGCAGGCGGCCGTGCGAGGGCGACAGGAAGGCCCAGGGAATCGATGACAGGGTTGCGTTGGTGGCGGCGCTTGGATGTGGAGAGCGCTCGTGATAGGGTTTGAGTGTACGGGCGTACACACGCATACGGTCAAGGCCGAGTAGTGTCAAGGCTGTGGCAGGAAAAGCGGGGTGAGTAGCGAACTGGACCCGGAGATTGTTATTACGATAAGAAAAGACTGGCAAGGCGAGAATAGTTACGTTAACGTTCCTGCCAATAGTATGCTGAAACGTCACATGAAGAGACCGGCTGCTCGGACTTTTGCAATTAAGGAAACCGAGCTAGCTCGACAACTCAAGTTTGGGCTCCAAACACTGTGAAGGTGACTCACTCACGTACCCACTCGTACCTCGGTGGTGTTAGAAGAAGGCAATGCGAAATCACAAGTAAGATTCCCAACGTTGTTGGTGCATGGAATGGCCTCCCTCCGACGGATTGGCGTGGAAAGTGCACGTTCTGAGCAGTGTTTCGCTGCTACAAGTACTTCTAGTCCATTTTTCGTGGAATGCCATGCAGTAACAATACAGTAAGTATGCATCACGTGCGAAAAAAAAGAAATGATGAGCCGCGCATTTCCCCGAAAAATCCAGTCAATTTATTTTTAGGTAAGAGGGCGCTAGGGCTGCCATATTCTGTGCACACAGCCATACAACCTATGGATACCAATTCCATGCCATGTCTAGTCGTCCAGATCCCGTTTTAGTTGCCTTCGAATTTGGATTCCTTAAGGTGGTCTGGCGCTCAGCGCCAATTGCTTATCTTGTTTACATCCCGTCCCAACAGTCTGTCTGACTCTGTGACCCGCGGCATCGAGAGGTGCACAGCGATGTCACATATCTTTTGTCTGAAGGTGAGGATACATTCCAGTCGACAAATCGATGTATTTAATCACGAAACAATTTTTTCTATCTGTCAGACTGGCGGGTTCCCTGGACTGCAAGGACTATGGCATTTTCTGTAAAAAAACAAACGTCTTGTTATGCTTGTCTGTTTGTCTAAAGAAGGCACTATAGGTCCGATATGATCCAAGACAAGTCGACAGAGGTTCCTCGAACGTGTATCTTCAGATACGATAGTCCTCCCCATTGTATCGGAGATCTGAGTGATGTTTACCGATGTACCATGATTTCAAAGTCCCATGGAAAAATAGAGGTAAATCTCCTTCTTTCATCTGTAACCCCCAACGAAGTTCACAACAGGTCGCCGTCAAATCTTTGAGGATCCTTGATTTGAGTGAAGAAGCGATAAAGGCATTGCGCAAGGTACATGACGACAGCTCGCTTGGTATTCATACTAATAATGTATCAGAGGATCTATCGCGAAGTGCGTGCATGGACAACATTGCATCATAAGAACATCCATCGCTTCTTTGGGACGACTTCAGGATTTGGACCTCTCCCCGCATTCGTAACTCCTTGGATGGAGCGTGGGTCATTGACGGACTATCTGTCTCTTGAATTCTTCAATCTATTGCAGATAGACAAGTTCATACTCGTGAGTCCTACTGCTGATGAGTAATTCCATCCGATCGCCCTGATGATGAATTCCTGTAGCTCGAACAAGTTACGACAGCTATTCAGTACCGTTTGTGCTCAATCATGCCCTTTTCACATGCAGCTCTGACCATTCCCACAGTCCATGACAAACATGTCATACATGGGAACCTCGCTGGGGTAAGCTCGCGATTCTGTGGGCGCGTGTTTGACAAGCTAAACAAATTACAGCACAATATATTGATCGATTCCAGGGGAAATGCATACGTAACAGATTTCGGGCTGTCGACGATCCTTGCAGAATGCAATAGCTCGTCCTGCGAAGCCTACTACCCAGGATCTATACGCTGGGCTGCGCCTGAATTGATAGATCTTGCAGACGAAGAAGCTGAAAAGCCAACTACCTGCTCCGATGTCTACTCACTAGGTTCCGTAGCACTTCAGGTACGCCTCTCTTATTTTGTCTTGCAATACCTGCGTTTTAAGTTACAATTCAGGTGTTATCCGGAAAGCTCCCTTATCATTGGCTGGAAGACCCACTTCATATCATGGCTGCTAGACATAAGGGTATGGAACCGATGGCAGCAGACAGCTCGATGGACAGGCAGCACATACCTTTTCTTCAAGAATGCTGGTCAAGGCCATCTGCCAGACCAACAATCGACCATGTTCTGTGTTATATTCGAAGTGTATTGCCGCCTTAGTGATTGCAGGCAGTTACTCTCAGGCTTTCCTAACTTATTGTTTACCCTATGAACGATATTTTCTTGCGATGTACTTAGAACTTAGGATATCGTTCTTGTCTCGATGCTATGAGTCGTTGTCTCTGAATCAATTTGAATCAAAGCCTGTTCCGAGAAATGTTTGATTCAAGCGATGTTCACAAATCAAAACTCATCCCTCTTGGCCCGCTTCTTCTTCTCAAGCAAAACGACGTTATGCACCCCTCCCTCTTTCTTCAAAAAGTCTAGCACAGCTCCAGCGCGTTCTCTGTCTTCCAATCTATATACGTGTTCGTTTGACATCAATCCGGTGCCCACGGCTTGAACGTGGGTGAGGCCGTGCAGCTCAGGATGTGCACTTGGGAGCTGTGCGGGATCGGCGAAGAAGGGTGATGTATCAGATAATGTCAAAGCCAAATCGATGGGCATCGGGTGCACTTGGTTGGTTGACATGGCGTTGTAGCGAGGAAACTGTGGCCGCGAGCCTCAGACTAAGTATCTGGAGGTATAGTAAACTTAGACAAGCGGCACTGCACTGATAAGCACTGATAGAGACCGACGACAACCTAAGACGTTATCATTTTAGCGCCAAACGGTCCAATGCGAATGAAATGTCTCGTATCACTCACAATCAAACCAAATCTTGGGGTGAATCGATACGGTGCAAGATTCAAGGTAGTGCAGGGACACGCGTGGCGGATACCGGACTCGCACAAGTGATTCAGCGATTCAATTTCCAATACATAAGATATCAAGGATGAATCAACATCGTCTATAGAGTGAGATTGGCAGGGGAAATACCACTCATGCGAAAGTTTACACTCTTGTGATCAGACCGACGGTATTTATGAACGACCTTGCACGCAATGAACAAAATCGCACATAAATAACGCGCTCCACGCACAGCTCTCACAAGTCTGCAGTGCTTGGAATTGGTCAGAATAATATTCGGAGTGTCTTATCAGGCCAGGTCAGGTATAATGTACAAAAGCCCACTCGGAGAAGCATGATCCTATCCTTCGCGTGCTATATCATCAGCTGGAAACTGAAGCCGAGTCAAGATAATCAACAACGATAACTTCACGATGTTTGAGTGGGCCCACCTTCACACAGGTTCACTTGTGGGACTAGACTGCCGACGCAGTCGACTCATGGTGGGGTTCGTCCAGCCAGTGATGCTTCGCATACGAGACGAATGTAACGACGATGAGATCGATGACATTGATTCCAGCGGGGAATATTTCGAGGAAAGCTCGTCTTGATCGTGATATGATACCGAGTTTTGCATGTCTATATCGTGCTAAAGGAATGGGTGCATTGCCAGATACGAAAAGCTAGATAACGGTCAGAGATAGCACGGAGTTTGGTTCGTTGACGACATACCACCGGAGAACGAAACATAATTTGCCATGTGTACGGCTTGTCGTCTGGTCCATTAAAGGTCCAGGGTCTTTACGATCTCAAACCAACGTCCACGCATTATAAGCAGGTGCCTTACCTGTCGACATTTTCGGTATCTTCCGCGCCAGAAACCATTACAATTTCTATCGGGCTCTCGCTATCGAGTAGCCTCAATCGGCTACTATCGACTTCGCCAACGACGCAAGATACCCGCCCAGTGCTCAAGAGCCGAGGGTGGGTCTCGAAACGGTATATCGTGGTAGTTTGTCCCAGTGCAGAGTTGACCTGGTACATAACTATGCCGTCCGGGGTCATGAGCAGGGTTTGCGTGGGGTCATTGTTTCGCAGGCAGAGTTCCATGAGGTGGTTTTAGGTAGGAAATATACGGGCGAGGCGCCGCTGTTTTATAATGCTTACCCCCGCCTCAGGAGGACTCAAGGATCAGGAGTGAGATCCTTGGGCGGAAGCGGTGGGCTAGACCCCCAGGGCCCATCAACGGGCGCTTGTACGTGCTCCACAAACTGCGCATATGATGAGTTAGTGTGATCTAGTCAAGCCCTTTTGTCCGTTGGTGAGAAGCACAATTTAGAGTCTTCGATGAGCAAAACCAGGCGGTCCCAAGGCGACCCAAGGGCCAATGACGTCGCGGTCTTGAGTTATTCTCTTTTTCCACCCGGAGAAAAATAGACAAAAGCTGACATAATCATCACCTCCAGCACCTTACCCAATTTAGCACATGCAGGTGTGTCTCTGACTCTCCTCAAGGCCAGTACTTGTGATTAAACGACGATCTGGCCCACGACGTCTCATGCATAGATACCCTTAGACTTCCAATCCGCAATGCTCAATTTACTGCCCACTACTCTTCGCTTCCTGCTTGGCTCACTGCTTTGGCTCGACTTTTCTCAGCCACCTGCTGTTCTGCCAGCCCGCACCCCGTTGTCCTTCCAGCTGCGGCACGAACATGCGATAACTAATGATTCCCGGATAATCTTTTCCAACACCGCTCCATCACTTGCCGCAGATTCATATGTCGTGAGCACCTCGAACGTTCAAACACACAGACCACAGTCGGCGAACGCATTCCAAAGCGCCCGACTGCGCTCTCTTAGACATGACCAGAGCGAACACGTGTTGTGGGATACAACCGACGTATTCGGGCCAAACGTTGAAGAGAGAGAGACACTCCTCGCACTTGCGAAGATGACCTCTAATGCATATACATCACCTACTGCATCCGACTGGTACACATCGGACGGCTGGAATAAGGTGCGTTCATCTACCCTGGTGCATTTTACAACCTGTTAACGAACGACAGTCCACTCCGTTTGGTTGGGAACCTGACGCAGATGGCAGTCGAGGGCATATCTTTGTCTCGGACGACAACTCAACAGTTGCGATTTCGATCAAGGGCACTTCCGCTGGCTGGATCACAGGTGGTGGTGGTCCGACTGTACGAAAGGATAAACTGAACGATAACCTTTTGTTTTCTTGCTGTTGTGCAAGAGTTGGTCCAACTTGGTCAACGGTCTGCGATTGCTATGATGGCAGCTATAGATGTGACCAAGAATGTTTGGAGAAGAGTTTGATAGGGGAGAGCTTATATTATTCTGTTGGACTGGTATGTGCATCTCAAAGTTCATGAGTTTATTTTAAGGCCTGATTCCGCTGCAGAATCTATATAATAACGTCACATATATGTATCCCAATGCCGATATCTGGCTCATAGGTGCGTTTTAGCGTCGTAACTTTTGAGTATATCTCATTATTCACAAGGGCATTCTCTCGGTGGTGCTCTCGCTTCACTTATCGGTGTGACATTTGGAGTACCTGTCGTTGCATTTGAAGCCCCCTCCGAGAAATTAGCTGCGACACGTTTGCACCTGCCTTCTCCAGTGAGTCTAAGTTTCCTTCATCGCAATCATTTTCAAATACTGATTCCCTGGACGACATGCAGCCCTCGACCCAGCATATCACCCACGTCTTCCACACAGCTGATCCTATCCCGATGGGCACCTGTACCGGTGTCACCTCGTCTTGTGGCATCGCAGGCTATGCCATGGAGACACGCTGCCATTTGGGCAAGGTCATACGCTATGATACCGTCACGCACCTCAACTGGTCTGTTGATGTTCGGACGCACTCGATTGTTCAAATCATTGATAGGTTGTTGAATGAGGATTGGACTCAGGAAGGACCGGAGGGTAGGCCGGTGCCTGAGGCGAAGGCGGATGAGGATTGTATTGTGAGTCTGTTTAAATTTTCGTGTTACTGCCAGCGTTAATTGGAGTGCCAGGATTGCTTTAACTGGGAGTTTGGGAGCTTCAAGGGCTAGAATTAATCTCTGAGTGATGTCAGCTATGACACGAGAGAAACTTATACATACATATGACGAATAACTAATTTTCTTACGCTTGAACAGCTGATGAACATCCGTTGAACCGGGCACGGGAAAGGCCAAGCCAAACCTCTTTAGGCAGAATGCTGCACTATCAACATGTTGGAGCAGGCAGTACCTACGAGTCAGGACTTCCATAAAGGACCTGCGCCAGACCACCCTGACACACTGTCATGAGGTTTGTGATATTTCAGAAGTGGTTCAAGAAGCAACCTTGGCGGACGCATATATAGTACTGACAAGAGAAATGGATTTCGAGAGATTGACGTAATTTATCATCAAAAAATAAGAGTAAACATTAACGACCATTTTTTCCTACACAATACGTACAGCGACCAGTCCCATCCAATGATTCATGAAATCCATAGTCAATCTCGAGTCCGTGCCGTATCCAATCCTGAGATAGGCGCTACTAGGCCTGACGTGATGCAGGTGCGCCCTGGCTCAGAGTCTGCGACAGACTTGCTCCAGAGAGCCCCAGCCTAAGAGTGTCCATTTCCCGGACGTTCTCCTTTCTCACCCCCGGGTCTCCTTTCCCCTATCAGAACTCGAAAACTAAAAGTACTCAATACGAAAACCACATTCGGTCACCACACTGCAAAGCATCCTTCGCGTCAGTCCATTTGCTCGAGTTGCATGCACTTCAGGCGCAACAAGGTGTTGACCAAGGGGCTACGCCGCACAATAGCTGTTCCCCTCGACTGCAGGTCGGGTGCGTCATTAACCAGAGTACGACTGACTTTTCGCCGCTGCGTTTGGACATTTCGTCCACTTGCTACTGGAACGCTAGCCGACCTCATACTAATAGGTGGTTGTGCTGGGACTACCTTCACTGCCTACAAATTGATTTACTTCAACAGTGAACTTAGCGGGGAAAGGATAGCATGACAAACCAGTATGCGTGACGCAGCAGCTTTATCATGTTGAGGTGTAAAAAGTCGCCGCATCATGCTAACAGCGCTAGTGGAATTATTTGCGACTGGAGGACGTACTGGGACGTCATCCTGCAATCCAGACGTTCAAATTTGTGGCCAGAGATGACTAATGACTGTGTCGCTTACAAAGAAACCTGACGGTATCGTACTTCTACTAGTCTCGCGGACCGTTTGGGTGAGTTTTCGGACCGGGGATTTCCGTTGTCGAGTAGGGATTGGGGAGTCAGGCTGTAGATTGTGGTATGCTTGTAAGCCAGTGCTCATGAACCATCCACGCGCGCATCACATACATCAAAGGGAGGTCTAGCATTTGCGTCTCCGTCGCGACCCTGATTGACATGGTGTCAGTATATGATAGGTGGATGAGATCTTATGTGAGTGTACCTACATTCACGTCTTCCGTTGACATTGCCTTAGAGAGTGAGTCCGCTATATCCCAAATGTAGATCTCGCCATCGCAAGTGCCGGTGGCTACTAAAGTTCCATTGGCTGCGAACGCTGCACAGGTCAAATCTGCAGAGTGCGGGAGTGGTTGACCAATTGTACGCTTGGTATTGAGATTCCAAAATCGGAGGGTACTGTCACGAGAGGCGGTTGCAATTACATATCTGTAGGCTGGTGACAGAACTACGGCGCAGACAAGGTCGGAGTGCCCTGGGCCCTCAAGCTCTGACACACGACCTTCCGGAAGTTCAATCTTCCTGATTTTGCCGTCTGACGAGCCAGCGACAATTGCATGCCCAAATGTAGTTGAAGCCCATGTTGCACTCGACACGTCGTCGGGATTGTTGCAAGTTATGATGACTTCATCCACCTGGACCTCCTGCGCTTTTTCGTCGATTGTCAATCTTGCGATTTCGCGGTCGTAACCGCTCACGATGAGTTGTGTGCCATCATGTGAGTACTGGATTGCATGTATGTATCGGAGGCGGGTATCGTCAATTCTCATGGGGTTCTTGAGTCCCGATTCTACCAGCCAGACCGCTACGCTGCCGTCATCGAAGCCACTAGCGACGTGTGCGCCACCATCATGTCGACTCCAACACACGCAATTTGCTGCGGCAACGTGCTTTGATTCGGCGATCATCTTCAAGGTTTTTCCGCTGGCATTCCACTTCCACACTTGTGTTTTACCATTTTTACTGCCAGTCACAACCTCCCTGCGATCTGGTGATACGTCGACTGCGCAGATGTGACTTCTCTCTTTATCCTGCCAGGGGCCACCCACGAGTTTACCAGTTTTTGTCTCTATGATTTGGAGACAACCGTCGTGAGAAGTGAAGATGATGTGTTCGTCCTTGAGGAGAAATGCGATAGCTGGCACCCCTTGCTCGTCGCGATTCACCTTGATGATTTTTTGCACAAGCTTGTTGACGGGGGAAGTCATTCAGTTTGAACGTCAGGGGGTTCTAGGATTCGGTTGGGGTGCACGGCCTATGCTGGTGAGCGATTCGTGTTAGCTGACAAGTCCATTTTCAGCGCCATTATCCAGCACATAAATAGCCTAGGTGGGACTCACCGTTAAAGAGACAAAATTAAGGCGACTGTGCTGTTGTCAGGTGAGTCTCGATTGTAGCGTTGGGACGAAAGTGCAGAGGAGCTTATACTATGTGTAGGTGTATTTAATGTGTGAGTCATTGTTGCCGGATCACGCCAGACCCAATGAACAGCAGCAGCACAGCACGCGTGACCTCCTCATGTTCTTGTTTGTTACACACTGCCTTTGTCACAGTGCTGCCCAGCCTCGATCCTGTACGTGACTTAGGGTTTCGAATCCAAGTTTACCTCGTGCCTGATTGCTAGTGGTCAGTTTTTTCAGATGGAAGCTCTGTCACAGCGCTCCCCGCCAGATCGTGCGACTTAGAGGCGTGCGCGTCTATGGATCTGGTATAAGTTCTTCGTGTTCTTTCGCGTTCCTTTGCATTCTTTGCATTGCATCTGTCCATCTTCCAGGATTAGACGCTCACTCACATCCGCACGCCAGTAAATGTGGGTAACCCTGATTAGAGTACGACCAAATCACTGACTTATTTATCTATAGGAATCTCCCTATGTTCGTCCAAATCCTGCGCGCTCCTTGCGTCCATTGTCTGTCTTAACAAAATCGCTGATTACAACTGCTTTTAGCTCTGAGAATTATAATCTCACAAGTCGATTATTGCCCCTAAATGGACCACGTGTTTCTGGATCATATACTGAGGTGAAGCAATGCGAGCTCAGAGATAACAACAAACTAGTAGGTTAGGTTCCTCTCACCCTACAGTTTGTTAATTCGTGTACTCCAGGTCGCAGTCAAGTCGTACAAGTCCATGTCCGACGATCCACGCGAAAGGCACTCAGAAGTTAGTGTATTAAGTACTGGCATATATCTCAGAGACTCAATATGGTTGCTCTCATCATCAAGAAAATTCATCCAGAATTACAGTTGTTTTCATCACGCCTTCTTCACCACGACAACGTGGTTCCATTCCTTGGCTTTAAGAAGGACGGGCTGTTTCATTCTCTGGTCATGCCGTGGATGCCAAACGGCACTCTCACTTCGTTTATTCGCACTCATGGAGCAGTCCTTGAACCAGCTGCGAAGGCAACTCTTGTAAGGTGCTTGCAGTCTGACGGAGTTGTACTCTAAAACCCTCTTCAGTTGCATGACATTTCCTCTGGCCTTGAACACCGTACGTTTTATTTCAAGTTATAAACGACTGAAACGAGCGGCCAGGTGCAAAAGTTCATTCAAACTTAGTGGTTCACGGAAATCTAGAGAGTGTATGATTTTAATCGTTTGGGTTGGGAACATATGCTCAATCCTTCCTCACAGGACAACGTACTCATTACTGAGCGACAAAGCGCTTGTCTTTCTGGCTTCCGCCAGTCAGTGAAACTTTCCTCAAGGAATGCTGCATGCCCTCAGTCTCAGATGCCGCCCAAGCCCGCAATTCAGTTCGCTGGTCCGGAATGGTTCGTTCGGAGAGACGATGTCATATTTCAATCTCTTCCCAAGACTCTTTTCAAAAGCGATATATACTCACTTGGCTGTCTCATATTTAACGTAAGTTTGAACAACGTCTTCCAGCCGCGAGCTAAGACCTTATTCCTCCAGATAATTACAAGACGCATGCCTTGGCACGATGCAACATCTGTGGAAATTTCTAACCAGCTTCGGAAACGCGCGACGCCGTCGCGACCTAAGGGTTCCATAGTCAATGATGACCAGTGGGCATTTATAGAACCATGTTTGTCGCTTCTTCCGCAAGATCGACCTTCCGCATCATATGCCTTGAACAAGATCAAGGATTATCTCGTTCTCATCGGTCCTCCCGATCTTACTGGACAGATTGAAACGGACTCCAAAGCGCCCAAAGGATGTGGAGGGTTTGGGTTTGTTTACTCAGGTATCTGGACCAGAAAAATAAAAATTGGGGGTAAAGTCAAGGTTCCGTTTTCCTCATTTCCGTACATCGGTCACCTGATAAAGGATAGGTTGCCGTTAAGGTCCTGCATATTAAATCTGAGGATTCACCATCAAAACAAGTAGAGGTAGTGGCTAAATTCTACTGCCATATATTCATGCAGTAACAGTCATTTCACAGAAGTTGAAGCGTGAACTTGCTGCTTGGAGAAGACTATGTCACCCGAACATAGCTTCGCTATTGGGTACCATGGTAATCGACGATGGTAGAAAAAGCTTGGTTTCCCTGTGGATGGAACAGGGATCACTCCTTCAGTACTTGGAGTATAATAGGAATGACATACTACTTCCACAACGTCTTCTCTTGGTATGTTTTTCTCAATTCTCATAATCTCATTAATCATGTATAACAGGTGAATGATATTGCTGAAGGGCTGAAGTATCGTATGTGTGGCTTCCCGCTTTTTCTTAGAGATACATTTCTAAGTTGCGGACAGTTCACGAGTATCCTATGGTTCATGGAGACCTAACACCAGTAAGCAGCTTTCATCCGTGCAAGGAAAAGATGACAATTTATTCATCTGCAGTCAAATGTTTTGATCAACGACGAGGGGAGGGCCTTGCTTACTGACTTTGGCCTCTCCGTTATATTAGGCATCTTGCCCGATTTGTCTTGTGCATACACGGATGCAAAGGCTGGAACATTGGCCTGGGCGGCCCCAGAGTTAGTATTATTTGATGAATCATCGACATCCTCCAGTAAAGACGAACAATCTCCACCTGTTCGGGTAGAAAACGACATGTACTCTTTCGCATGCCTTATGTATCTGGTACGAAACATCACTGTGATTTTGCTCAAGTCTGATTTTGCTTAGATCGTTTCCGGAAACCCCCCCTGGGGGCACAATGCCAAAAGTCTAGCAATCATGAAGCGTTTGAAGGCAGGCGACAGACCTCCAGGCCCTGGCAATATTGATGCCCGTTATTGGAAATTGATTGTGGAGTGCTGGGCTCAGGCGCCAGATTCACGTCCTAAGATCAGTTCTGTCTTGCGGCGGCTGTCAAACATCGCTTCTGTGCAAAGATGATCAAGAGGTCAATGAGTTATCTCGGCCAGAGATCAATATTTGGCTTAGTGCAGCTTAGCAATTCGAGTCGCCTTTGGTTTCGCAATCTTCTTTTCGATACCTTCGTCTGTGTACATTGAGTACTTTTGGCAATCGATTTTGATGTAGACAAGTACTCGGCCACAATGTGCAGAGAAGGACGCCAACGGCTGAGACCTGGTTCGGCAGTTGTGAGATATGCAAGTAATTTGGAGGCAAGTAAGACAGTGTGGTTACTGGCACAAGTTATGTATCAGATAAGGAGCACCCCGACATATGAAATGTCAGACATATTACTGTAAGCCATACCAGGATCTGCAGATCAAGGAGCATGAGTGCCAGTGAGACCTAGATAGAAACATAAAGGCCGTGACACAGTTGATTACTTCATGCGTTGTGTTGTTGCGAAAAAACCAATGCGTACTTGTTCATGCGCTGAACCCTAATGTTATCGCAGCAGCTGCGCGACCCTTTTTTTCATGCCTCCCTTCCCCCATTGCCTCTCAAGCATTTGGCGCATCTCCCGGGTCCCGGAAAGGGGGTGTTTGCCCTCATCCGCGTTCCAAGGCGGAGACACTGAGTGTGTGCGGCAAATGCCCGACAGAGCACCATTCAATACCTCTTCCCCATTCTGTGCAGAATCCCCATGCGGCCTGTAAAGTGAGGGTGGTGACGTGCTTTCGTGCTTGATACGTATAGCATGAGGATGCGCTCGTGAGAACTCGTGATGCCAGTCGTCCTTGTCGAGCTGTTCTTCATTGTTGGACACAAGCTCGAGTTCATTTTCAGCGTCGTACTCGGGATGAGATGCCACCACATCCTGCTCCTGAAGATCCTCTGATGGCGGTTCAGAAACTAGCCTCTCAACAACACTCTCCTCTTCTGCTCGTATTACATCGTCGCTGCTTTCTTCATCTTCTTCTCCCGATGCGGCTTCATCATCACCCCCTTCACTATCGTCAACATAAACCTCTGGGACCTCATCCTCCGCCTGGTTAGGTCTGTAATGCCCATTCGCACCTGCCCTCCAGCTGGCACTCAGACTGCCACCACCGCCCATCGACGTTCGCTTCTTCAGCGCCGTCCGTGTCGTAGATTGAGGTACGTATTCCGACCCATGTAACCCAGGTTCATGGCGCACCTGCAGCCCATTCGGCAACCGTTGCTCAGGTAAAGCTTGCCGCAAGGAAGTTCGATGACGAGAGACACGAGGCGCTTCGTCATCACTCTCATCGCTCTCACTGCTCTCTCTCCCATTCTCCTTGCCACTAGAGGCTCTCCTAGCTCTACGCGCTTCCCGCTCCCTCTGCTCGAGTGCTGCTTCGATCCACTTCTCTGAAGCATCTCGCATGCCCCTTACACACTTCTCAGTCTCCTCCAAGCTTTCGACGCGCTTGTAAACCTCGAGCACGACATCTGGCGAGTAACCATGCGCGGCAGCGATGCGTGATATTAAGGATCTGAATCCGACAGAGGCGGACAGGGGTACGTCAGCGGGTGTTATGAAGGCAAGTGGATCTGGTAGAATTGCAGGACCAGGTGTGACAATGTAGCCGGAGAGGTCAACTGGGACGGCCGATGGTGTGGAATGGACAGGGAGGGAATAACGGTGAGGTAAGTGAGATGCTGAACCACTGCCTCTGGAACGAGTGATTTTGGAAGTTGACACCGCTGATAGAGTGCGAAGGTCCACGCGAGGCAGGTCATAACCACCAACTGTCTTTCTCCGGTGTCGCTTTTGTGTATGATTGAGCAGACGTTGGCCATGTGTTACCGAAGGCTCGACATCACGCTGCTTCTCTTTCCCTTTGCCCTTGTCTGTATTGAAAGTTAGGAACGGTGAATTTGGTGTGAAAAGGGGTTGCATGGTTGATCTGCGAGGGGCTGGAGCAGAAATATTTTCTTGTTGTGGAACAATTGAGTTAGCATCTGCAGTGGGGGCGTACTCTTCCTTTGATGGAACCCGCGATTGTTGGGCAGTAATTATTGTACTCGAAGCAGATCCAGTGGAAATTTGAGCTAACGACGGTGCGCTTGATAAACGTACATTTTCCTTGCGCTTTGGTTGGGAAGCAGGTAGAACGACCGGCTGTCCATGCGGTAATTCAACAGAGGACGTGAGACCCGAAGGAACGGCAGCGGTAGTCAGTTTTGAAGGCCCGGCTGCAGGTTGGACCATAGATGGTGCTGGGCCTGTATCGTTGTCTCGTTTTCTGTCCCACAAACTCTTAATGACGTGGCCCACTCCATTCGTCGAGCGATGCTTCAGAGGAGACTCAGCTGCATCTGCACCATTGCGATTCCGTGGAGGATGAGGAGGGGGGAGGAAGTGGGATTTGACTAAAGGGGTGGTGTTCAGGTTCCAGACGATCTGGTGGAAGAGGAGCCGGAGGTCGCTGAGATTCTGGCTCGCGCTTCGGAGGCGCTACAGTCGGTCGCAATGTCTGAGACTCGACACCGTTGACGGCTAATGCAGTAGGTTCTGGAACTATTTCTTTCTCTTTACCCTTTTTGTCCCGAACAGGAGGCCAGGCCTTCGTCTGTTTCCCCTCACTTTCATCACGAGCACCTGGTCGCGCACGACCCAGCCGATCAGTAAGCACGGTTCCAAAGGGCCCTTCCACCACTTTCGGGAGATGTTGTTTCTTCGGAGGGGTGTAGTCATTGGGTGTTGGCGATAACGAGCAGAAGATGGGAGAAATAGACTTATTCTTCAAGACTCGTTTGTGCCCTGACGGCGGCTTTGGGGTGACTACCTGTTGTGAAGATGATGCAAGAGGCTGAGAGCTTGGTGGGAGCTGGGATGAGATTGGTGGCTGGGTCCTGACAGGAGAATTGGGTTGGGATGACGGGACAGGCAGAGTATCTGAGGGAGAAAGGAGCAGGGGAATATTGAACGTGCTCGCTGGTTTCGGGGGAGGTGGAGGTACGTCGGGTACAGGCTCTGATGGCCCCTGATCAGGGGGAGAACTGCGAACTTGGTCACTTGATCCAACGGCTGGAACTTGGCTTGTCTCATTGGTCTTGATCACGGGCGAGCGACTACTCTCAATATCTGGCTGGTCTCTCTCCAGTTTCGCTCGTTTTGTTTTCCGCAGCTCAGAGCTGGTTTGGCCGCCAGCGCGTCGTTTCCTTTTGCTCGTCTCTTTCGATCGCTCCCTCGCAGTTTCCTCTTCTTCATCAGAAGGTGGAAACAGAGGCTCCGCCGCCGCTGGCTTCTCTGGGTCAATTCCTTTCTTCTTCTGATACCTCGATATCTTCCTATCGAATTCTTCCGTATTTTTATTGTATCTGTTCTGCCAGGATACCCACGGGTGTGTCTTAGACCAGTTCCATTTGCCGTCAGCCTGTAGCAATGTTAGAACTTGTTTCACAAGATATGAGAGAAAAACTCACGTTTTCCACAAGGCGCTTGTACAAGACGGGCCCGCTTCTGTTTTTCTTGGTAGGATTATATGTCGCAAGGTATTTCATGAGGAGGATGTCCTCGTCGGCGGTGAAGCCAGTACGAACACTGGGAGAAAACATCGCAAGTCAGCAGCATTCATTGCGCAAATGCAAGGAAATGACCTTTTTACTGGGACTGGTGACATGTTTGCTGTTCAGTGTATGCATATGTAGGTTAAGCCTGAGGTGAACGATGGGACCAGGCGCGTCTCGTAAGTGACGCGTCGAAATCACGCGGATGAAGTCACGTCACGCCTTCATTAAATACTTTATGGGTCACAACCCATATTCGTTATTCACGAGCCTGACGCAACACACACACGAGTTACTTGAACGATGGCGAAAAGTTCAAAGTTGCGCATCGCGTTCATTCACCCTGACTTGGGAATCGGTGTGTATGTCATGGTGAATTCGAATATAGAGCCAAACTCACAATATGGCACGTAGGAGGAGCCGAAAGGCTGGTTGTAGACGCTGCACTAGGTTTACAATCCCTGGGTCACTCCGTGGATATATACACCTCTCATCACGACTCGAACCACTGTTTTGACGAGACAAGAGACGGTACGCCAGCAATTTTTATTCACGGGCTGTGTCACCATTATACAGCTCTCCATCACAGGAAGACTGCGCATCCATCATGTAATTCCACCACTACCTCGGTCTATACAGGGAAAGTTTCACATCTTGTTTGCGCATGCAAGGCAGCTGCATCTCACAATGCACCTTATGCGCACGTCAGCGCAGCAATACGATGTCTTCTTTGTAGATCAACTTTCTACTTGCATTCCGTTCCTCCGAATGTTCTGTAGAAAACGCGTCGTTTTCTACTGCCACTTTCCCGACAAGCTTCTTGCAAACGGTGCCTACGTAGAGGGCCGGCAGGGGAAGAATGTCAGTCTCCTGAAATCCATCTATCGCTTCCCAATGGATTGGCTAGAGGAGGCTACTACGAGTATGTGTGCCGCCACTCATACAGAATTCATATTTACCGGAGATTTAGCTCAAGCTGACCTGATCCTCGCCAATTCAAAGTTTACTGCACGAGTGACCAAGTCGCACTTCTCTTCCCTTCGACACCAGCTGAAAGTCGTCTATCCTGGAATTAATATTGCGGCCTACATCTCACCGATCGACCCATCAGATCCCGATATCCTTCAGGTCGCCTCGTGGGTTTATTTTCTCGCATTTATCAATACCTGAACAACTGATATTCTCGGTGAAGGCAACGGCGAACATTGTTGTCCCTCAACCGGTTTGAGATGAAGAAAAATGCCGCTTTGGCAATAGAAGCATTTGCGATCCTGCGGAACAAGGACCGGAATACATTAGACGTGAGGCTGGTTCTTGCTGGTCGGTCGAGTACAAGTTATTATACGAGCTCGTCACTGACTATCTTTCAGGTGGCTATGATCCTCGTCTAGAGGATAACATACGAACCCTGGAATCTCTTATTGAACTGGCACGGTTCAGTGGTCTAACTTATAACATCATCACCCCGTTGCAGTCCCGCGTGGCAGTACCATCATTCCCAAATATTACCCTGAATGAGCCAGATATATTATTCCTCTTAAACTTTACCACCGCCCAGCGTTCAGGTCTACTCCAGGCTCAATCTACAGTCGCTTTATTATATACTCCAGCAAACGAACACTTTGGAATTGGACCAGTGGAAGGCATGATATGCGGCCTGCCGATACTTGCCTGCGACAGCGGCGGCCCCACGGAGAGTATCGTTGACCAGCCAACGGACCAAAGGACCGGGTGGCTCTACCGTCCCCAGTCGTCGGTGTGGGCTCAAGCATTGGAGGAAATCTGTAATCTCTCAGAGACAGATAGGAAGGCGCTCTCGCAGAGAGCTCGGGACCGTGCCCAGAACATGTTCGGAATGGATGCGATGGCGAAGTCACTCGAGGAAGTGTTGGAAGAAGCGGTATCTATGGGGCCAGTGTCAAGAACGGGAATGTGGCTCGTGATGTTTGCGGCTCTGGGGTTGGTGGTGGCTTTAATCGTGCGGTATGGATCGTTTTCAGGGTAGCTCTTTGATTGCGAATGGACAGGATCATTTTTATGGGGTCTTGATAGGTCAGGATCCTATCAAAAGTTGCGCGTGATGGCAAAGTCCTTGAACCACGTATACTGTTGTTTGGGAGTGGCCCAGCCGTCTCCGTGCCCGCCGAAGAAAGTGCTGAAGAAAAGCCCAACAAAACCGACCGCTTGTTGATCGCTGGAATCACTAGTACTATTGCTCAAGACAGAGGCCCTGTCAGCAACGAGAATCGTCGGTGCTTCTCGTGCTGTATGGATGATGGATGACTGAGAAGCCACAGTTCCTTGCGCTGTAGCCGTCACTGCCAGAATTCCCAGCAGACCACCCTGTGTTTGCTGTGGAGTTGGTGACGTGGAAGGCCTGGAAGTGGCTTTTGGTTTTGACTTATTTTTCTGCTGAGGTGCGCCACGATAAAATACGTCTGTCCGGTTGATTGCCTGCATCCCGTTAACGAACAAAGCAAACGCTCCATCCTGCTTCCCAGGTGTATTGAGCACGACATCCTGGCGCAATGTCGTCCAATTTCCTCTGCTGTAGTGGAACGATCCCCTTCCGATTGAAAGTCCATATTCGAAATCGCAGACTGACTGGGGATCAGAGCATAACGACTTTGTTTGCTGGCTCTTCGGAGCGTACTGTGAACCAGGTCAGCCACTTCCATAACAATGTGAGTGGAGCGACAGACCAGATATAGTTCGCCGGCACCGCCTTGCCTCCACATTAGTCGTGTGCTAAAGCAGTCTTTGGCAGCAGCGCCCCCAGAACAGCCTGTGTGACCCCCGTACAGGCCAGGCAGTTTTCCTCCCTTCACCCAGTCGAAATCCGCGGGAAAGAAGACGCTATATTCCATCGTGACACTCTGAGCATCACTTAGGTTCAATGGCGTTGCGTAAAACTCTGCTCCACCTGGGGACTTGCTGGAAGGGTTAACGGAGTACGCTGGGTAGACAAGCTGTAAGGCGGCGGTAAAGTCCGTCACGTTCTGTGAGTTCGCTGCGTTCTGCGAGATATTTATATCATGGGCATACACAGATCCTCCTGGGACAATGGCGAGTGCAGAGAAACTGTCGATGATGGCGACGTTCTGCTTGCCGCTTGGGAAGTGAGTGACATTAAACGCAGATAAGTCGGTCATGTCCGGAGGAGCTGCCCATGCTGTGCGACCGCCCCATGGCGTACTAGTGGTGGTCACAGTGGTGGTTGCAGTCACAGTCTCGACGACGGTAGTCGTAGACGTCGGAATGATTGCAATCGTAGTTGTCATCACGTCGGTGACTATGATTGTGGTGACCGATGTGACGGCAGCTGAAGGGGACAGTGACTGGATCAACATGTAGGTTGTGTTGGTAGACATGGATGTTGACGCGGGACTTTGGAAAGACTGGATAACAGAGGGGAAAATAACCGCAGAGGCCGGCTGGGCAATTGTGGTAGTACTGACACTCCCAAGGTCCGCAGGCGCAGTCAAAATAGCCGGTATAGCTAGCGCTATGATAAAAAATAGAGCCGTCAACGCCATCCTGCAGAGAGAATGACACTTTTCTCCTAGAGAAGTGTGCGTACGACGTGCGCCACGCAGACATGTGCAAACGAGATTTTATTTGAATCAGTCTGGCAGTCCAGAACAAAATCGGTGAGTTCATGCATCAGCTGTTATTACATAATAGGTGAGGGCGTACCAGGAAGATTGAACAGCGAGGGCGGGGAGAGACGTTGGCGGGAGATACGGTCTATTTTTAACAGTACGAGCTTGGTACGAGCTGGCACACATATATATGCATCTTTTGACAAATGGAATCCTCATCAAAATTGGTGCACAACGTGTAAGTAGTACATATATATATCGCATGATGTTATGTCCAGCCAACATAACATTTTCTCCATACATCACGGGTGTAAGCTAATCGATCATAGAAGCTTTCACCTAGGGACTCCATCATTAAAGTAGCGATGTCCCCGCCCCTTACGACACAGTTCCTGGCACTAACTTCAAAGTCCACCAACACATGTCATTGGTCGTCGGATGAGGAATGCTTCTGGCCCGGATCTGCAACAATGTTGGTCGTAAAGTTTAACAAAGTCACTGATGAAACGAAACACAAACCACTTCCACTCTATCTATGTATTCAGGATACCACACTTTGCCAGCGTCCGAAATCTCTTGGATGCTGCCGAAAAGAAAGACGGAAGAGTTATCAATACCAACTAATACTAGAACAGAAGACCATAACTAGTACTCACGCAAAGTAGTCGCTTGTCTCTGACATTGGGATTAGTTTGAACTCCTGCGCATCTTTCCCGCCGACAATCAAGCTGAGCTATAATTAAACGCTGTAAATTAGCAATCTCCACCTCTCGATACCACTGCATAGACCAACCAGGTCGTTGACCGTAGCATAATTCCCTTCCGCTACCGCATTCTTGAACGTCGCAATGCCAGTTCCTGCGTCATAAGAGACCAGCCACTATCACATTGATGAGTATATATATATATAGTGTGTATTGTAATGACGAAAACCCACAGTTTGTTGAGACTGCTCTTTGTTGAAATCTTCCAGAGTGACGTATTGTCGAATCGTGCTGTTTAGCAAGGTGGCATACTTGTCACTCAGACTCGACGAGATTGTGTATAGCGCAACGCCATTTCTGGGTGGTGACATCGTGTAGAAGCCTGCTAATACGAAATTGTGCTGAGTAGATGAGTGGGAGAGTGGGTTGTTGATAAGATAGCAAGATTTAATACGACCTTTATACCCGCCTGGGTATCAGTAATACCAAGTTGAATGAATCCAGTGACTTAATGATATCGTCACCTTCGTTTGAGCTCAATACTCCGGTATACCATAAACTGGATTTGCCGAGGCCTGTTACGGTAAGTGAGCAGAAGCCAGCCTGATGAGTATTATTATGGAGTAAAGCCTCTGAGGCTGTGGCTCGCCGACTTCAACATTCCTTGAGCCGAGCGGTTCGCGTCCGATCCACCATTATACTCCAAAGATCTAGAAACATTCCAGTGAGTCCATGAGTGTTCACTAATACGAATTAGCTTGAGTCACCTTTGTATGTACATAAAAACGTCATCTTCCCCACAAATTCTCACATGAGAGTACCGAATTACAATCTGTAAGCATGGATCGGAAGCTGTGCGATGCTCAGAACATTCCTAGCAAGCGAACATGGAAGTGCAGGGGTGTGCACGGATGGTAAACTAGTCATTGCCACACGCCACTGATTGACAAACATTCCTGGACCCTGGTGAGCGAAAGCGAGGAATGACGATGGCTCCTTTTGCAGGTCCCTGGATGAAGTAAACGACATCGTCAACGTAGCGTGTGTCGGACCACGCAAATTCCAAACCCCATGGCCTTTTCGCAGGGATACTCCAGTACATTGACGGTTTGCGATTCAAGCCCTACGCTCCGGAGATGACGTTGAAGATGTCACAAACTCTCCCGGGAGATGCCCTTGCATTGAACATACTCGGATACTCGGGGACAGAGAGGAACGTGAGACTGTGGAGTAGGACCCTGGCAAACTCAATCCGGGGTCGGCTCGCTGCTGCCCAAGAACAAAGAGATAAGTACATAATTCGATTCAGGAATGGAGAGGCGAAGACTGAGTAGACCTGTAGATCGCCCATTTACCCCAATCCCTCTTCTCCGCCAAGCTCTACTACATCTCGGGCATGGATACATTCGCTTCTCATTCTCCCGATGCCACCTTCTTGCACTGAACGTCCCGGCTGTATTCGTGCTGCTCGAGTAGAACTTGCAGCAGTAGCTTGAAGGACCTGGACAAAGTCGAGCGTGAACGAGGGACCGCGATGGCAGATCATAATATTATGTAATTTAATAGAAAACATCAACTTTGGATGACAGAACTAAAAATAGAATAAACCAAAATAACGCACCAATAATATAGCTCGACATGTTGAACCGCCAATATTTTGAGCTCCGGGCCCGGGCTGCAACATACATACTCAAGGCATGTTCGCCACGTACGTAGGCGGCTATCGCGACTTTGCAAATGCCGGTCTGGAACTCCCTTTCCATATTCACTGCACCGGGCCCGGGTACTGAGCAATTCCGAGGCGCCTTGTGTCGTTCTTCCAAGCTCTTCCGGCAGATCTAAAGTCGCAATTCGCATCATATGGAACACAGATTCCGTACATTTCTGGTAATCAAGATTCTCGGGCCATACTATTGAATTCACTAAAACGTCTAAGTCGACGCCTGATGTGGAATCTAATCATCGTAGTTTCCGGCCTCTCACTTGAAGACAAGAAGCCGATGACTTCTATGATCTGCCACAACGACGTTGGAGGACTGTGAATGGCGGTTTAAATTTTAGATGTCACGTTCGCTCTGGGCTCAATGGACCTATGGTATCTATTTCATGGTAAGTTTTCTCACTGTGTAACTCTGTGTAATAGAAAGAAATACCAGTTGATAGCTCTGACGGCAAGGCCACCAATCTGTCTAGTATTCGGTAGAGAAATGATGTGCGTCATGCAGTTGAAATGTTCCGAAGGCTATGTACGTTGACTCCAGATGTGACACATTCTGAACGCTAATCTTATCGTGTCTGTAGATCTTCGACCAAGTATCATGATACCTAATTCGTGTCGATATCACTCCTCCAGACGTATTTAATCGACGCAGTAATTATGACAACAAACCAAGTCATTCCCCGTTTACATCCTCAGGAAGCATACCATCTCGAGTCGTTCTACCTTTGCCAGCAAAATGGCTCCAAAAATGTTGCTGATCTTTTGTGAGGGGACCAGTATGGACGGTAATGTGACGGAGCCGGGTAAGGTGAATATTCTTGTCCTTGACCTCATCTAACGGATGGAGTTCTAGACACCGCCGCTCAGTCCGTCAGAGGCGACGCGAATGCAGATGTCGAGAATTGCGGTCAGCAGAATGCCTACATCCTCCTCGTCGGAAGCTGATTTCCTCCATCGAACGCATTGCTGTGGTTGTTTTAGAGATAATCTCGTCACCAACCCGTAAGAAAAAATTTCAGGTTCCCGCAATTTTTATTAACGTAGCGTGTACTAGCTCGTGGAGGCAGCAGTACCAAGCAACATCCAACGAATGTTCTTCGTCTATGTAAGTTGGTCACTGTCGTTTCATGGTACGACCTGACAATGACACATACAAGCACGATCCGTCAAATCGCAGACTGCGTGAGCGACTAGCCGATACCTGTCTAACAATTTCTCTGACATCTGTGCAGAAATGGGAAGCAGCAGATTGTCTTCTACCAAAGCGGAGTCGCTTCGGAGGCCAATTTCGCGGGAGATCAAGTGATAGGGACTACGATCATGCGTGAGTAGTCTGGAGCTGGAAGTGCTGCCAAAACTGACGGGATCATCATATGGCTCAGGGCTGCTGGGTACCTCAGCTGGTAGGTCCACTGTTTCTTACTGCATAGCAGGATGGCGAGACTCTGATGGGTATCTGTGCTCTCCAGCGAGCAAAATTCGTGACGCATATGCATTCATCGCTCAGAATTACGAGGATGGTGATGAAATCTGTCTTTTCGGGTGAGTATTACAGTCTCTTCTTGGATTTGGTCTCACGTGCACCAATATATCATTTAACAGGTTTTCCAGGTGAAGTTTGCTACATGTCTTGCGACCTGGCTTTAACCTTTAACGTGGCCGTTCAGAGGCGCCTACACTGCGAGAAAGCTGTCTGGGTTAATTGTGAGTAACCCCAACCATCACGAATTCTTCCCGCATTTTACGAATATTGAAATTATAGGATCGCATTGGGTTACTGACACGACAAAATCTTGGACAATTCTTCCTGATTTGGCGTCAACTTGTGGACGGCAAGACTCCTGACATCCCAAGCGACACCCGACACCCAAGAATCAAGTAAGAATATATCATGTCTTTTCGTTCCTTGCTCAACTACTAGAAAAGGTGCGTGGGTGTGTGGGATACGGTTGGGTCGGTGTTCGCAACCGTCGATGCGCTCGCGATAACGGATACAAGTCTTCCGGCAACAATTGACATCGCACTCCATGCACTTTCGCTCCAAGAGAACAGACAGAAATTCCTGCCTACCTTATGGACCATGCCCCAAGGTGGATTGGCCCCTAACCAGACACTGAAACAGGTGACAGCTTTGATGCGCAGTCACTCCTAGCCCCAGCGCTGAGTTTGTTGCAGGTGTGGTTTCCAGGATCCCACGAGGATGTAGGTGGTGGTCACGAGCGTCGCGAACTCCAAGACATCGCTCTTTTCTGGATGGCGGTGTGTGGAAATTCTTTCGTCAGAGATTTTCTAGTTGTTTATTTGATCGTAGGGAGAGATCAAATCCTTCGTTGAGCTAGACCTCGACTTCTTGCGATCGACCAGGCAGCAGAACCCCGACCCCTGGGGAACCTCTCAGCCCCATAATGCGTACATGGAAACCTCCTGGGTAGGGGGGATAATTTATGGTCACGAGACCCGGCTCCAGAGCGGGCAGATCACCACAACTTCCCCTTTCCACCAGAGTCTCCAGTTCTCTCCTCAGACCCTCACGGCCCCGAAATATATGGTCACCACCAGCATAATTCAGAAGCAATTTGGCACAGGATACTATCCAGACTATCCTCCTTTGAACGAATTCGAGGAGTATTGCAGGACAAACTGGGATAAACAGCCGGTATGTGATGCGGAGCTGTTTACTTCTGTTCACTTATTTGTTCTCGCTCTGTAGAAACACGCGAAGCCTCCTATCTTTGACGACCCTGGCGATGTCATCCTGTTTCCGGTCAACTGGGTGCGAAGCATTCTTCTTCTTCTCGTTTTTGTGCTGATAACAGACATGTTAGACTCCCGGTACCCAGGGCATATTACCGCCTTCAGCCATTGAAGGAGGTCATGAGTCAAATGGCGACCTCCTTTATGTTGCACGTGCTCCATATGCGGTAAGCTAAATAAATCCTGCTGGTTCGAGCAGTCTTTCTTATATAGGTAACTGTACAGGGTGGTCTTCGTAAGTTCTAATACTAGCAGTGTGACACATTGACCAAAATATTCACCTTCCCATCAAACAAGATCCAGGCAAAGCGTCTTCGGAGTGCATGTACATCAGCTACGGTGGCAAGGAGATCATCGTATGTTCACTCCATCATCTCAACCTGCGTTTTGTGACAACTACCGTATCAGATCGATGGCGAATTTGAATATCTCGAGGGAGATAAGAGCTCCGTTCGCTGGCTTCTCGTTGACGGCCGATTGTCTCACCTGAAACTGGGCGACGCTATCCCCGTGCAGTGAGTCCCTCTCGCAAAAAAAGTTGTCTTCTCTTTCCTAACATCATTTATGAACATCTAGCGGAGGAAACGAGGCGAATGGAGAACCCCTTTTAATCGCCCAAGCGGCTGCAGACAACGGTATTCATTGTGGCAAAGTCAAATTCAACGGTCATGGTCAGTAGGTCTAAAGAGCTCCTCGAACCTTGTTTTAATTGTGCTTTCTTGCAGCTACTATTCCACTGGATGGCTCCGAATTCATCGCAGAAAGCTACAATGTGCTTGTATACTCTTGAAAAGCGCTTCAAGAATTCAGCTCGTTTGGCGGTGTCAGAGAACCCTCTTGAAATGCTGTATACTTGTAACACCAAATAGTCGCTTTCTTGGACATGTATAAATAGTGTCTGATTCCTCGCATGTTACCTTGCTTGAAAAGGTTTCTACAACCCCCATAGCCAACTTTCGACCAACCGGTAATTTCCGGACGTTCACGTGACCCGTTCCAGAACGGATCTCCTTATATGGCGTCGCCGCGCGCCCGGCAACATGTTATGTTTTGATTCGTATGTTTTTAATTTCTATACCACTAGCGTCTACTTTGTAACTCCTTGAGTTTGACTCATGTTTGGGTCAAGCAAGGTTTCCGTCGATGCAGGCGGCAATTCTCGAGTATGATATACATGAATTAATCAAATTGATTGTCACTAGTGACGAGTGCATCAATGATCATGTGACGCGCCACCCTAGATAGTCCGTTTTCTTGAAACCAAGCGCAATGTTCGACTGTCACAGCAAAGACGTTAAATTATCCCCTCAGGATTATTCTTGTGAGCACAAACCTGTGCCTAGTTCACTTCCCCGCGTAAACTAGAACTCGATCGAGCCTGAGTTATCGAGATTCGGAGGTGGAAGAAATTGATATGTGTTGAGCGCCTTTAAATTTCAAACGAGCGTGGAATTTGTCACTTACATATATGTCATCCTTAGCAATAGTAGCTATGACCGGTTGCGGAGCCAGCGCTAACCTTCTTCCTCAACGAGGGTCATAATGTCAGAATACCACCCACCCACCGACCTTGAAGATGTTGTAAACTCTGAAGTCAAGTAAGTGACCCGAGTTCAAATGACTTGACTGCTGAGTATTGATAAATAAAATAACTCTTTCTCATGCCTTGTTCGCGCGGTGTATGACAGAGAGTGGCACTTCCGTGAGTTGAGAAGATGAATACTTGTCAATCTTTTGGTCGCTCAAGAGTGTGTGCAGATATCTATTTCTTCCAGTGTAACGCTGATCAGCACCAAGCTGCGCTAGACTTGCGCGATGCTGTCTTGCGCCTAAGGCGTGATGGAGCGTTTGTCGCTGTGCCATTATTTCGTGTGAACACCGACCCAATCGGTCCCCACCCAGTTGGTATGTGCCTATCATACCCCTCCCTGGAGTGAATTCAAGTTTATTGTTAGGTTCGTACGAGATTTGGGTACCTTCGACCTCGTTTTCTTCTGTATTTTCGTACCTTTGCTTGAACAGGGGCAATTTAAGGTATTTCTTTATTTCTCCCGAATCAAATCATCACCTCATTGCAATCAAAGCATCCTCGTGCACCCTCTCACGCGTGAAGAGGTAATTCATTTGCTTATCAAGCGTTTGATTTACTGATTGATGCATGGGCGCCTTTATAGAGAAAGTGAGTACAGAGTATCACTAGTGCATGACACGCCTGACAGTGATCTCCTAGAGACCATGAACTCCGGAGTGCGTGGATTGGCCCTCCGTTCTCTCTCGATCTGTCTGTTCTCCCGGTGCAGACTGAAGAGCTACCCGTACAATACCCGAGTCTGAGTTAGTATCTTGCCACAGGGACATCATTGTGACCATACTGATCGAGCCCACAGAGCTCGGTTACTCTGCAACAGAACCCGAGTATACCCCTGACCAACGCCGCCGCATTGGTGCCAACGTCGAGCGCATCCTGAAGGGCGAGAAGGAAGCTGCCAGGGCTCCCATGAATTAACAATTTGGGCAGGGCCTTCCGAATAATAGTAAACGACTTGCGGTGATTGTTTTATGCATGTTTAGCTACAATATTCATATGTTCTGGTGTAACAGCGCGCAGACGAATGAAAGTAAGTTGGGTGACTATCTAAAGATAGAGGTGCGTCGTGATAAAATGTCTGTCTGGTTGATTGCCTGCATCCCGTTAATGAACAAAGCGAGCGCTCCATCCTGCTTCCCAGGTGTATTGAGCATGACGTGCGCAATGTCATCCTATTTCCTCTGCTGTAGTGGAACGATCCCCTTCCGATTGAAAGTCCATATTCTAAATCGCAGACTGACCTGGGGATCAGAGCATAATACCTTTGTTTGCTTGCTCTTTGGAGCGTACTGTGAACCAGGTCAGTCACTTTCATAACAATGTGAGTGGAGCGACAGACCAGATATAGTTCGCCGGCGCCGCCTTGCCTCCACATTAGTCGTGTGCTAAAGCAGTCTTCGGCAGCAGCGCCCCCAGAACAGCCTGTGTGACCCCCGTACAGGCCAGGCAGTTTTCCGCCCTTCACCCAGTCGAAATCCGCGGGAAAGAAGACGCTATATTCCATCGTGACATTCTGGGCATCGCTCAGGTTCAACTGTGTTGGGTTAAACTCCGCTCCACCTGGGAACTTACTGGAAGGGTTCACAGAGTATGCTGGGTAGACAAGCTGTAAGGCGGCGGTAAAGTCTGTAATGTCCTGCGAGTTCATTACGTCCTGCGAGTCATTTATATCCTGGGCATACACAGATCCTCCTGGGACAATGGCGAGTGCAGAGAAACTGTCGATGATGGCGACGTTCTGCTTGCCACTTGGGAAGTGAGTGACGTTAAACGCAGATAAGTCGGTCATGTCTGGAGGAGCTGCCCATGCTATGCGACTGCCCCATGGCGTACTAATGGTGGTGGCAGTGGTGGTTGCGGTCACAGTCTCGATGACGGTAGTCGTAGACGTCGGAGTGATTGCAATCGTAGTTGTCACGACGTCAGTGACTACGATTGTGGTGACCGACGTGATGGCAGCCTGTGAAGGGAACAGCGACTGGGCCAACATATGTAGGTTGCTTCGACAGACATGGATGTTGACGCGGGACTGTGGAAAGATTGGCTAACAGAGGGAGAAATAACCGCAGAGTCAGTCAAGACCATCCTGCACAAAATACCGCTGTTTCTAGATATCTTTGCGTTAACTTGCACAGAACAGACTTGCGCAGACGAGATTTGGATTGAATCTTGCAGTCAAGAACAAAATCGGTGAGTTCATGAGCAGATGAAATTCAATTAGAAATGATACAGTATAGGACCACGGGCGTTTCTTGCAATCCCGCTGATCATGGAAGTCGGGGACTATGTGGACATAGGTTGATCACCGCGGCCGGTTACCAGTCTACAAGCCTAAGGCGCTGTAATAGCTGTTCGGGTGCGAACCAGCTGAACCAAATAAAATCCTCGTAACGGGGAAGTATATTACCTTAATGGAATTGGAGCGGTAGAAGGAGGAAAAAGAACACACGGAGATGATAAGCGTCTGGATCGGCTGTGCGTGGAGTAAAACCACACCATTACCTAAACTGGTAGTTGCAGCAGCGGAAGGTACTTTGGCTATGTCCCAAACATAAATTAAATGTATCTACACCATACAAACATTCGATACCATGTATGCAAAGGGACGGAGTGTGTGTTCTCGCGATATAAAAACATGGCCACCCAAATCGGTAGGGTTTCTACCGGGAGAGTTGACGACATCAGATGTAACACAAGCTGGTGAGGGTAGCGGTAGTTGTCTAAAATCTCCTCCGATGTCCCAAATGCACCTCATGTACGTGCCGCCACATGCAGCTGCGCAGCATGACACGGATTGAGTGATCACCCCGCCTGTGATAGTCGCAATCTTGCCAGCGGCATTGGATCCATGCATCTCGGCACTCAGGACGATGGCTGAGCCTCCAATGCTGCTTGTACTCCTCCAATGTTGTTTCATGCCCACAGCGTCTGCCGTTGCATAGCCACCGGCAGACGACTAGGGGAGATGGGGGACGGTTGGAAATAGAAATAAAAGATGGCTCTTGTGGATGACTCGGAGGGGGCTGCGAGATGACAAGATCCTGCCACTGAGATGAGCTACTATACGACGAGGGATTATGTGTGAACATTTCAGGTTCTGGGTTATCTGGGTCAGGCACGGCGTATTGCGACTCGGAGGAAAGGGGAAAATAAGACATGTGGTAATTGTCGGGCACGGTGCATTGCGACTCTGAGATAAGGGGAAAATACGATGTGTGATTGTTGGGCACGGTGTATCGTGACTCGGATGAAACGGGCAAATAAGATGTGTGATCATTGTCGGGCACGGCATCTTGCGACTCGGAGGAAATGGGAAAATAAAATGTGTGGTCATCCAAATTGTGTCTGCGGACGAGATTCATTACGAGCAAATAGAAGACGATGAATGGCATACATTTGGAATTCATTGCCTCCCGTCGCCAGAGAACCAGATCTCAAGCTGGCGTCTCCTAGATCGTCGAGGGCTGGCAGATTATACGGGGAGTCATGGTACAAGATAGGAGTCCTGCTCCATGGATTGTCTGAGATAGCACTACTCGCAGTATCAGATGCAGTATAAAGCAGAGGACCATACTAACTTGGGGCTTGATATGACGGGGACGGCAGAAGGCATAGCCGAGGCAGTCCCGACGTGTTGTGGGGACATAGGCGGCGCATGGCCAATCGAATTCAACCTGCACGAGAGTGATTACGAGAAAAATATATGATGACGAAGGGTATACGATTGTAGTGTGCATGCGATCCCAGTCTGTTGGTTTGAAGCGGACATATCGGAAAAGGTTAGTTAGACAGGCCCAGGATGGTAGGTCTGATGAACAGATATGTAGAGGAGAAAATACATATAGTTGGAGAAAAACATGGAGGTCCTTATATGTCTGTGCGTCACCCCGACGTGGGGAAGATGGCAGCCTAGGAGGGATGAGGCATGGCACACCATGGCTATGTTATCGTTATTATCTGAAAAGAAATCGGTGGTTTGAATGGCCCTAGTCAATATATTGATCAAACCATACCATTAAACGTTTCTGCCTCGTGATGCATTAAGATTTCGTGAGGACTCACAAGGGTCGTGAACACAAGGGACCGTCGTGACGGCATTGAAGCTTTCGCGGGGACTTACAAGCGTCGTGACCACAAGTGTCGTGACGGCATTAAAGCTTTCATGGGGACTCACAACTTGGCGCCGTGACGGCATTAAACCTTTCGTGGGGACTTACAAGCGTTCGTGACGCATTAAAGATTTCGTGGGGACAACCAGCCGACCAGGTCACCAGAAGGGCCCAAGACTAAAACAGTAGATACTACTCACACAGCTACCGTCCTTCGGGGTCGGTGATAGGGACTACTTCTTTCTACTTCTTTCTGAGAACTTGACGAAGCCGTGTCTAATTTGTTCCATATAATGGCGGACGTACGTATGATAGGTGAGGTTGTGTGGGCCGATGATGACGTTACAAGTTAGACCAGTGTACTAGTAGTTCGATGAGAGATTTCAGGGTTCGTACCATTGCAGCATGGATGGTGCACCGGTGAGGAGCAGGTTCTGGTGTTTTTTTCTCTCGCTCATCTATATCTTCGAGTTGAATCTGTGGTGCACAGTTTCCCTCACCGACAATATATGAGTTGAATTGGCTTGCTGATTGCGGGGGAGGTGGACTCCGGTACCGGTCGGATAGACCCCTAATTGGGCTTGGTTATGTGATCCAACGGCTGGAACTTGGCCACCAGCGCCCCGTTTCATGGTTTGCGCGGCGTCTCTTTCGAGTCTTCGAACTTCGCTTGCCAGTGAAGTTTCCTTTTCTGCATCAGAAGGTGGGAAAAGAGGCTCTGCCGCGTCCCCGGCTTCATTCCTTTCTTCTTCTGATACCCCAGTACCTTCCTATCGAATTCTCCTGTATCTGTTCTGCCCTGAGGACTGTCAGATCCCGATATCCTTCAGGTCGCCTCGTAGGTTTATTTTCTTGCATTTTTTAATACCTGAATAATATTCCCCTGCTCCTTTCTCCCTTAGATATTCTGCCTGTCCTGTTTCCAACCCATTTCTCCCGTCAGGACCCAGCCACCAATCTCATCCCAGCTCCCACCAAGCTCTCAGCCTCTTGCATCATCTTCATGACAGGTAGTCACCCCAAAGTCGCCGTCAGGGCACAAACGAGTTTTGAAGAATAAGTCTGTTTCTCCCATCTTCTGCTCGTTATCGCCAACACCAAATGATTACACCCCTCCGAAGAAACAACATCTCCCGAAAGTGGTGGAAGGGTTTTTTGGAACCGTGCTTACTGATCGGCTGGGTCGTGCGCGACCAGGTGCTCGTTGTGAAAGTGAGGGGAAACAGACGAAGGCCTGGCCTCCTGTTCGGGACAAAAAGGGTAAAGAGAAATTGATAGTTCCAGAACCGACTGCATTAGCTTCTTCAGCAGCCGAGGAACGTCATCCCGTCAACGGCTTCGAGTCTCAGACACTGCGACCGGCTGTAGTGCCTCCGAAGCGCGAGCCAGAATCTCAGCGACCTCCGGCTCCTCTTCCACCAGATCGTCTGGAACCTGAACACCACCCCTTCAGTCAAATCCCACTTCTTCCCCCTCCTCCTCATCCTCCACGTAATCGCATCGCAATGATGCAGATGCAGCTGAGTCTCCTCTGAAGCATCGCTCGACAAATGGAGTGGGCCACATCATTAAGAGTTTGTGGGACAGAAAACGAGACAACGATACAGGCCCAGCACCATCTATGGTCCAACCTGCGTCCAAGCCTTCAAAACTAACTACCGCTGCCGTACCTTCAGGTCTCGCATCCTCATATTGAATTACCGCATGGACAGCCGGTTGTTGTACCTTCTTCCCAACCAACGAGCAAGGAAAATGTACTATTATCAAGCGCACCGTCGTTAGCTCAAATTTCCACTGGATCTGCTTCGAGTACAATAACTACCGCCCGGCAATTGCGGGTTCCATCAAAGGAAGAGTACGCCCCCACTGCAGATGCTAACTCAATTGTTCCACAACAAGAAAATATTTCTGCTCCAGCCCCTCGCAGATCAACCATGCAACCCCTTTTCACACCAAATTCACCGTTCCTAACTTTTAATACAGACAAGGGCAAAGGGAAAGAGAAGCAGCGTGATGTCGAGCCTTCGGTTACACATGGCCAACGCCTGCTCAATCGTACTCAAAAGCGACACCGGAGAAAGACAGTTGGTGGTTATGACCTGCCACGCGTGGTCCTTCGCACTCTATCTGCGCAGACGAGATTTGGATTGAATCTTGCAGTCCAGAACAAAACCGGTGAGTTCATGAGCAGACAAAGTTCAGATTGAAATGATACAGTATAGGATCACGGGCGTTTCTCGCCGATCATGGGAGTCGGGGACATAGATGGATCACTGCGGCCGGTTACCAGTCTACAAGCCTAACTTAAGGCGCTGTTCGGGTGCGAACCAGCTGAACCTTTGTTTTGAAAAAAAAAAACCTCGTAACGGAGAAGTATTACATTAATGGAATTGGAGCGGTAGAAGGAGGAAAAAGAACGCACGGAGATGCGTACGATAAGCGTCTGGATTGGCTGTGCGTGGAGTAAAGCCAACACGATTCCACGAAGCACACCATTACTGCGTGATGGGCGCCAGTGGGAGCAGCACCAGCGGCTACCTTGCACCAATAAAATAATGTGTGAGGGAATTCCTAAGTAGTTCCTCAGGATCATCTGAGTCATGCGTCCTTTACAGCAACGATTTATTTTGTATCCAATTGCCTATGTCTCAAACATAAATTAATTGCATCTACACCATGTCAGTATTCGATGCCATGTATGCAAAGGGACGGAGTGTGTGTTCTCGCAATATATAAAAATATGGTCACCCTAAGTTTCCACCGGGAGAGATGACGACATCAGATGTAACACAGACTGGTGAGGGTAGCGGTAGTTGTGTAAGTGCTCCTCCGGTGCCCCAAATGCACCTCGTGTATGTGCCGCCACATGCAACCGCGCAGCATGACACGGATTGAGGGATCACCTCGCTTGTGATAGTCACAATCTTGCCAGCGGCATTGGATCAACGCATCTCGGCACTCAGGAAAATGGTTGAGTTTCCAATGCTGCTTGTACTCCCCCAAGGTTGTTTCGTGCCCGCAGCGTCTGCCGTTATATAGCCACCGGCAGATGACTGGGGGAGCTGAGGGTCGGTTGGGAATAGGGATCAAATATGGCTCTTGCGGATGGCTCAGAGGGGGCTGCGAGATGACAAGATCCTGCCACTGAGATAAACTGCTATACGATGAGGGACTATATGTTAATTCTGGGTCAGGTGCGGTGTATCGCGGCTCAGAGGAAAGGGGAAAACACGATGTGTGGTCATCCAAATTATGTCTGCACACGAGGGTCATTACGAGCAAAGAAATGGCGATGAAGGGCATACGTTTGGAACGCGTTGCCTTCCGTCGCCAGAGAATTGGATCTCAAGCTGACGTCTCCTAGATCGTCGAGGGCCGGTGGATTACACGGGGAGTCGTAGTACAAGACAGGAGTCCTGCTCCATGGATTGTCTGAGATAGCACTACTCGCAGTGTTAGATGCAGTATAAAGCAGGGACCATACTAACTTGGGGCTTGATATGACAGGGGCGGCGGAAGGCGAAACCGAGGCAGTCCCAACGTGTTGGGGGTACATAGGTGGCACGTGGACAATCGAATTCACCCTACACGAGGGTCATTACGAGAAAAATATATGGCGACGAAGGGCATACGGTTGTAGTGCGCATGCGATCCCAGTGCGTCCTGGGTTGTACTGGGTATTGCAACAATGCACGGGGCCGTGAACGGGACATGTAGTTGAGGTCTGTTGGTTTGAAGGAGACATTTTCAGAAAGGTTGGTTGGACAGGCCCAGGGGGATGGTAGGTCAGGTGAACGGTCGGGGAGATGGTGGAGGAGAAAATATTTATAGTCGGAGAAAGAATATGTTAGTCTTTATATGTATGTGCGTCGCATGGAGGGGTGGAACACCTAGGAGGATGAGGCATGTAACGCCATGGCTATGCTCTTGTGATTATCTGGAAAGAAATCGATGGTTTGAATGGTAGCTGGTCAACGTATTGATTAAACCATACCATTAAATGTCACTGCCCTCTAAGTCGAGGTTTGGTGGATTTAAAATTAGCCCCGTAGCCGGAGAGGTCACCAGGCCTAGGTAGCATATACCCGCCCTGACAAGTTGGGAGGGCAATTCATGTACTTGGCACCACTTGAACGTTTGAACGGTCGTACGGGGTCATTAAGGTTTTGCGTCGCTCGTAGCTACACAAGTGCAAACATCTACTTACTATAAGCAGTAACCCAGCGAACTTCACCCCGGGACTCAGTTGCCTTTCTTAGAACTTGGCGAGTTCGGCCGTGGTCACGACGTATGATGATAGGTCGGATTGAGTGGAAATAAGCAAGGTCGATTACGGTGAAATGAAGCCACAGAAGCCACAGAAGGCTACAGACACGTGCAGCCTGAGGAACAATTGATGAAGGCTTTACTAATTTCATTCAGACGCCGGATGATCTCAGGCTAGAGATTCGTCTCGCCGTTCGAGAATGCCGATGATGCTGAACTTAAAATCAAATATGATGCCTCCCCGTTGAAAAGGGTCAATGAAATTTGAATGAAGGCTCAGAAGCTGAGGTATTACAGCCCCCAAAGACAGCACGTCTTGCCTTGCGGCTAACACGTAACAATCCGTGCGCCGCGCACCCAGAGTCTGAACTTGAAAATGCACGGACTCGATGTTATACCAGAGCACGTACGCACAGGTAAGTAGCCACATGTCGAAAAGTTCCTCTCTCTCATCAACGTGTAGCGTAAATGACCAAGGGTCGCCTACTCCGGATTGTCATGTTGATCCTCGGAGCCGACCCGTCAGAGACTCAGAGCTCCGGCTCATGAGTATGAAGCGGAATGATAATCGAGGATTCAGCGGACCTTGAGCTTACATCTTACTGGAGGAGGGTATGGTACTTCGGTAATCGCCAAGGACCTTCCCTGCCCTGCCCTGCTGGGAATGCCGGGCAAAAGAACGGAGGTCCACCAAATCTTAGTTCCGGGAAGCGTTAGTTTCCCCTAGCCAGACCAATATAATAATAGAAGGAAGAACTGGGGGGAAAAGATTATGGACCTGGTGAGAATGAGAATATCGCACGAACCTTAGATTCCAAACAGGTTTGGAGATGGCGCCTCGCCTTGCGGCTACGTAACAATCCGTGCAGCACGCAAGTAAGTACCTCTGGAAATGCACCGGCGTTTTAGATAAGATAACAGTCGTCACAGGGAACGGTGTCGCATTTTCTCGTGTAACCACATGAAGGAACTTTGGGAATTCATATCTTGGTGTTGAAGACAACAAGGTTGGAGAGATCCTTGCATGCGGTGATGGGGCATGGAGCACGTTGGTAGGAGCCTTCTTCTGTACTTCCCACGGCTACAATATCAATCTCAGCGACCTCCAGCTCCTCCTTTCATCAGATCGTCTAGAACCTTAACGCCACCCCTTTAGTCAAATCTGCTATTGGCATATCAAGCAAGGCATCCCTGCAAAGAACGAATGAGTTATCTCATCTTCATTGAAGCACGCGTCTAAAACGGAAGACGGAAGACGGTATTGAGCAAGGAAAAATGACGTGTATCATTTGGGGGCCACTACTGGACAAAATTAAATTGTGACCTGATTGTGTGTAAGAATGATGAATCACAGTGAATAACGGTGTATGACTCTAACCTAGGCGCAGTCAACAACTTACAAAGAAAACCAAATGCAGGAACCTTAACGCAAGACCACGGTCATGTCCAAGGACAAGTTAAACACGTTTTTACGTATTGTGATCTTAGTTTTGGAAGGTACCACTCTGTTTTTGGTTTGATCAGACTTCTTTTGCTTTTGTCTTCCGCTTTGATTACGCACTCGACTTTGCACGTTAATGGACGCTAACGCTGGCGCTGATCACTGGCACCCGCCGCAAATACATGCGATACCAATCCAAACTATTCGCGCCGCTTACACCGAAATTGGCCAACGGGTCAATATTGCTCTTCGCTCACAAGTCGGTGATGCCGCTTGCCTGGGGGCGCAGCGAAATGAGTGTTTGAGGTTACTGACACTCGTCGGACACTGGACAGGCGAGTCATTATATGTAATACTTATGCATCTTCTGACATATATGTACATATACATGACGATCCATGAATTTGACATGTCGACGTTGGAGACTGTCGGAGATTCTTTCGAAGGGCAGACCAGGAAATCACCAACCTAGCACTCTCATTTGATTGTGCCCTTCTCGCCAGCTGTGCTTCCTACGACACCTTCAAGCTCTGGTCCTTCGAGTCTCGCCAGCTACTCGCTTCGTTCGACGTCCACAATCCCTTCACCCTCATCCTCTCACCTGATTCACGCCAACTGGCTTATGCCAGCCTTCATGAGCCCAATATATGTATATGTAACATTCCACCCAACATCCTTGCTAGCGTCGGGCTTGCCAAAGAAGCGCAGCCTAGTGTTCGTATTCACCCGCATAGATTCATTTAGTTATGTGCTAAAATCTCTTACAGACCAGCAAACCTGAATGTCAACGCCTCGCTGATGAGGTACTCAATGTACGTGGTCCTGCTCTTTTGCTCCTCTACACCACACCGTCCCTTATTACAGTCCGATGCAACACTTCACCGTAAACCAGTGATATTGCCTAGGCCTGTTATATTTCCCATCCCCTGCCCGCCAAGCCCTCCACCTACAAGGAATATACGTTTCCCCCACTTTCTATGCAAACTGCTTCCTGTCTCTTCTCGCCCGGATGCAGTTCTACTCACCATCAGACTTTAGCACAAGCGCTTGCTGTGACGCAAAGTTCTTGTTTTGATTCTTTTTCTGTCGGTGTAGGTCATCGTGAATTATAGGTTCCTTCGTATTAACTCGAGCATGGTGTATTGCATGTACCGCAGTATATTTAACTTTGCGAATGGCACCTAAGATGAGGTAGTGTAAACGAAGAATACAGGATGGGGTGTTTGCCACAGCAGTTGTGAGGTTTACGACAAAAGAGAATGATCAGATTTCCGCCGCGCTCAATAGTATCATCTTCTAGCTGTATTATTAGACTTGCTGTGAAGGTAGGTTTTAGTCCGGGCCGATAAGGAGCAATTAAAAGAAGGACACACTGTATAACACAGCCATGAAGACGGGGAGATATAAGAACTACACACACCATCAGGCGATCACTCTTCGTCCTTGCTTGTATCCTGGTAATGTGAATACCCCATCTGAGCACCCTGCGCTGATGAACTGACGATTGGCTCGACCAGGGAAAGTGCATCGGCTCTCGGGACCTGAAAAGCACTTGGCAATGTAAGGCAAGGGGACGAGACACGCAATGGTTATCACATACGACAGGTATCAGAGTGGTACTTATAAGATCAACAAGAATCATTCCAGAAATCCGCTTACATGCTCTCCGGTTTTGATCTGGATTGGTGCGCATGGTTCGTGTGAGTGGAGGTCAGGAGAAGGAGGGTCGTAACCTTCATAACATATCCAGTCATCGTTGTGGCTGTGAGAACCAGCTGCAATGTTGCGCTACAGATCCACTAATATGAGACATCACAAACGGTGAGAAAAATCAAGCTAGCGTACTAGTACCTTGTCACCTCGACAGTCTACTGAGCAATCTTTCCGATAACATCTTGCATCGATTCAACATCAGAAAGACTGTCGGATTATGAAGTCGTGTATTTCATCTAATTTCTTGGGCGGGCGAACCGATTTTGTTGCGCTCCGCTTGAGCAAGAATTATCTACATGGAACCATAACGTCTGAGCGGGAGGTAGAACTCCGGAAAAAACAGAACGCACCTTGGATGCAGTAGAAAGTATGTTCAGCGCCATCTTTGCGTATGGACATATCTATGCCTTGATTAGTTTGCTACCACATACTAAGAAGAATGGCCCAAACATTCGCAATTTTCTCAATAACAGTGTCGAAAATTATGAGGGGTTGAAGGTATCTGTCCTGGAAGTCATCTGGGGCATTGTTGGCAGCGGATGTCGCAGATATCGCAGGTCCCCTAAGTAGATTCATGTATTCTGCAACTCATGGTCATCCTGAAGTTCAGCATCGACAGATTCGACACAGAGGGTTCCTCCACGCCAGGATGGGTGACGAGAACCTGAGCGACCACCATAATTGAGAGACGACACGTAGATAATTTGATGCAAGTACCTTCGAAGCATGTTCTCTGGCTGGACCTTGTTATATCTGGAGGACGCAAGGTTGATAGTCAACTTGGATCAGCGCCATACTGTTCTATTCTCACTTTGCATTTTCTGCAGTGGCTGGACCAGCACGAAAAAATTTCATCACTGGGAGATTTTGCACCCGTCGCACTCAATTAGCAAGGGGGGAGGATCATCGTCCACGACTGACTCATCACTTATCATGGTACCGCCAAGCTAAATAACCAGCAAATGAAGATACGCCCTACGTTCTGTAAAAATACACTTTGCAATATGAACAAGGCGTAGTTAGCAAAGGAAGATCGTTCATCCGGGACGGGCTCATCATAGTACCGTTTGAAAAGTCAGTCTAAAAGCAAAAAAAAAACCGACCGCTTCCGTGCTCTGCAGTATTGATCTGCCCTGCTGCAGGTGGTCGTTGTGAATCGGGATTCGGTGAAGGAGGAGAAACATAGTCTTCGTCATGAATCCATTCATTGTATTTGGCGGGAGCATCGGCTGAAACATTCCGCTGTAAACGGATGCGTGAGATCCAGCAAACAGGAGGGACCTCGACAATAGCCGGTGATGCCCGACCTGTCCGAATAGGCCACCAGGATTGGGTAGTGGGCGGTACTTGTGGGGGCCGGGACTAGAAAATGAAATATAAGTCGAATATGTGAATATGGCAATCCCTACTTACGTCCTCATGGAGATTTATATGTGAATGAGGTAGGGGCGCTGTAGCGGGGAACTGCAAGCGGACCGTCGGGTCAATTGTACATGAAGCAAACAGATAAAGGAAACGTACGTCCAGGGAATTACGACGCCCATCCGTTTTTTGTAAAGAGGAAGACCGTCTCGAGATGACGAGCAATGCTATCAGTGCGGACTAGTAGATCTTGAGAGAACACGGTGAGTATCTTCTGAATGCCCAAGTTGAACGAATCTGCACGACTGGCAACATAGTGTCCCTTAGAGATGTCGACAATTTGACGACCGACGCTCACTCTTTGAAACTATCCAGCTGACATAAATGACCTGCCTGCAGTTTCAATGCCATGAAATTGTATACTAGCATGATACGTATTACAAATATGAGCATTTGACTAGCGGCATGAGTATTTAACGCTTCACCTGAACAATAAGATCGCACGACGTACCTCGAACCCATGGACTTGGACTGGGCGAGTACCGCCCACGTAGCATTTCTTCATAATTAACACGGCGTACAGAGTATACCATGCCCTTTTCACAGCACTCTACAAGACCTCTAAACTTAAGTGTCAGCCAGTTTTTTTGTGCATTTACGTTTAAAAGCCGCGATCGTCGACTGTTCGTGCGCAATTTTGCATCCAAATCTCGCATATCCTTGCATGAAATGGTCCATGAACGCCTTAGTCTGATTCATCCGGGTGAGCTTTTTCTTGATGCTCTCTACGAACGCTGCAGTACGCCACCGGCACCGTTGAAGGTCATGAAGGGATTCTTCACGCGTACGTAAGGCCTTCATATTGTCTCGAACGACGTTTTGAATAGAGCTGTGGCGGTTGAGCGCCCCTGAAAAGCGAGACAAGGTCAAGACTTGCGGAGAGGAGATGACACAATGGTAACTGAAAAGAGGACCCACAAGGACTTGGCAAGCGCTCAATTCATGGCTGGAGCCCTGGAAGATCTGAATAGATGACATTCAGTGCGGGCTCGTAAAACAATCAACATGTCCTTGCGAGAATTGTCAATGACCTATAGCCAGGTGCAGACACGGGTACATGAGTGGGTTCAGGAAGTGGAATTCGAGGCTGTCTTCACAGAAAACATGGATTCTGCTGAGTGGTCAACATTGCTCCGGTTCATCTCATAGTATACTAGCTAGCCTGAATGTCAGCTGCATAGATAAAAACACATAAGAGAACTCACTCACGTTGATCAATGGTGTAATGCCAGTCGCTGCCAAGCAAAGTCAAGAAGGTGAGCTTGTGAATAAGCTAAAACGGGACTTCGTAGTCAAAAGTAAAGATGAATTTGTTTGTTGCGCTTTGGTCTTGACTTAGTCTACCACATTGCCACTTCAGGATAAGACCTCGTTCACGGGGATTCATAGTGATTGATGTAAAGTTGAATCCTTAGCCAAAACCATAATACATTTTCAAAGTTGTATGTTTTTGTCCAATACGGTCCCCCATAGTATCACACTTCGTGCTCATCTGAAAAGAAACCGATGGTTCAAATGGAATCTGACTAACAGATCAATATTAATGCATGCGTTCGAAATCAACTATACCATTAAATGACACCGTCCTCAAGGCATCAGTTGTTTCTATTTTATAAGACTGCCTTACATAATGGTAGACCGCCTCACTTGTGCTGCGGAGTTGATCAACTCCAATCGAAACAGACCTGTTGGAAAATCCTTGGCGTTGGGGGCAACCTCGCCACTTCGCTCAGCATTCAATATTAATCTCCGTCCGTATCACACATAAGTCCCAGTGAAAATAGGACCTACTGGGATGTACCACAAACAACCAAAATACTATTTCTATTTTTGTCGTAGACCCAAATATACCGAGATCTTAGTTTCAGTACACGTTACATTAGCTTACACGCAACCTTGCACTTTCCAACACATTGAATGTCCAAACCACTGCAATACAATATGAGATCTTCGCACTTTTCATGTCCTTGCGAGCTTGCGAGTTTGATGTCCTTGCAATTCTCTCCCTCGCGTGTGCAATCAGCCAATGCCAGATCAAACTACCTGGTGGTGCATATGTAGCAAGTACTGCGCCAGCACAAAAACCGCTCTCCCTTCGCGGCCTACATGGTACCGACACCTTCGCGAAGCTGCCAGTGACACTGAGAGGATAGCCATTCGAGCTGCCAATGCAGGACTCTCTGATAATTTTCAGGTTACTGTATCTACTAGTGGGCAGTATGATATGCCTGGCACTTCCAAACGGCCTAGTAATGAGCTAGACAGTGCTGAACATGCTTCGCCATCAAAACGCCAGCATACTCAGGTATGTAAATACTAATTTTTTCCTTCATTGACTTAGTAAAATCTATTGTCACTATCTGGTGGTAGACATATGAGCATCCCAGCTCTCCCCTGCACGATCCCCCACCTCACGACAATCCCCTACCTCAAGACAATCCCCTGCACGATCCCCCACCTCACAACAATCCCCTACCTCAAGACAATCCCCTACCCTTACCTCAAGACAATCCCCTACCTCACGACGATCCCCGACCTCACAACAATCCCCTACCTCAAGACAATCCCCTACCTCAAGACAATCCCCTACCCCTACCTCAAGACAATCCCCTACCTCAAGACAATCCCCTACCTCACAACAATCCCCCGCCGCAGGAGGCTCCACCTCAGGAGGCCCCGCCGCCGCGACAAGAGCCTCCACCTCATGGGGACCAACCACAGGAACACCCCGAACGATCCCCTCTTGCGGACCTTGACTTAGATGCACTTGCATGTCAATGGCCTTCAATCAGCCGTTATCGCAGACTTTCTAGGTCGACCCTCCCCCAAGTTTCGCCGCTGGGCTCGCCTTCGCTTGCCTAATGGACAGATTGCCAGGTCTGCATGGACAGAGACCCAGAAGTCACCCGAAGATGTTCGCATGGCTCGAAACATCAAAGTTTGATTTTTTTCTTCTCATTTGTATGATTTTGACCGCAATAAATGTCAGGTACTCCTACACGGCCAAGAGCGTTTTGCAGAAGTACTATACTTTGCGCAACTCGCCATGGAAAACGACGATCACAACTCCGACAACGAGGAAGATGAAAATAACTGGCACTTTGTGAATGTCGCCCTGATCACGCTATACTCACTTCCCCAACCAGAATTGTTGGCTCTATCCTATGGCGCTCTCATTTCCTGCATTCACGAAGGTGAAGAAAGTCTTCGTGTTATAGATGTCAACACCATTCAGTCAGTTGTTGGTATGATACCTCACAAGCCCACCCTTCCAAACGGACAAGTAGAAGAGCGGTTCTTCCTTGTGGAGAAGACAGGTTTAGACATTGCACGCTGCGGATTACAAGACGACAACGGTGACATTGATTGATGTAAGTCCCGTACTAGTATGTTCATCCTCCCGCTCATCCTCCCGTCATCTCACCATCTTCATTCTCATCTTAGTATGCTCCCATTCATATGTTTTCAAAGGACTTAGAACGAAATCTTCCCATTCGGAAGTTTCCAGCGGAGACTGAAATACTCGAGCATCTGGTGGAAGGTCTACTCACTACTGCTCACGATGACCACCACAATGACTGAGTATAATTTCCCCCCCCCTACGCTCATTCCTCCCTTCTAATGCTTATGATAATACTTATACTGCGTCCACATCACCTCTTCTTAATGATCATTGTTCTCTGCCACTGGTACCCGATCCAAATAATTTCCATCGTCATTCTCAGGAGAGTCGTGATTCTCACTCCAACTGGTCTCAAGGTGTCTTATTGTCAAAGGTATGTGTATATGATGGAATTAGTGCTCAATTGACATGAAATATGACGCATATATGCAGCAAATGCAAGCCTTGCAGGAAACTATTGTATCACTTCGTGCAGAGAATGCAGTTCTGCTGGCCTCTCGAGATTCATACCAGTGAGTTTGGTTATCATCGCCGTGAATTACTCAAATATGTACAATTTTCAGAGATGCATATGACAAACTTGTAGCCTCACTTCGGCTGATTCAAGTCGGAACTCCATCAGAGCCTGGCACCACTACCGAGCATCCTGTCATTCTGCAGCCTATGACATTAACGCTCCCTCCTCAGCTCAATAAATCGGACTACCCCAATGTCAGGTTTTGGACGCACAAGAGCTTCAAGGTCTACGACAAGAGTGCGAATGCGCAGTCTACAGACCGCGGTGCATTTCCATTCCTCGAAGATAAGGACGGTCATCCACTATCAGAAGATCATGTTGCTGCCATTGGGCAGGCAATGCGGGCAATCTGGCATGGCTTCAAGTCGCGTCACATTGCACCTGTCACTTGGGGGGGTGCGAGCTCTGCTGTTAAGAATGAGTTCATTGCAGAGATGGTGAAGGCACATCCCGAGGTGGGATTCTGCGAACACTATTGGAAGATTAACGCATTGGCTACAGCACGTTATTCGTCTTGGAAGCAGTCATACTTGACTGACTCTGAGGGGATTCAATCGGAGGCTAAATTGGACAATTTGTCGCGCAAGAAACGCAAGTCGTTGAAAGTGAAAATCTCCGATGACGACTGTGAACGTGCCATGAAGAGGCTCAGGGTTGGCGACTCCGACGACTCCGACGGCAGCATTATATTGTCGCCCACTATCAGTGGCAACTTGATAGACTACGAGACATCAACTTCATCCCCCCATGATACCACTGCATCCACGCCCTCTGAATATCCTGCAAGCACAAGCACATCGGACACAGACCCATCCACTACCACGAACACTTCCAGCTCCAACACTTCCATTAGCATGAACGTATCCACTACCACAAACACTTCCAGCTCCAACACTTCTATTAGCATGAACGTATCCAAGGACATTTCTATACTTACAAACGCATCCAACGATGGCATTCCCACAGTCGCAAACTCATCCAATAAAGCTACTCTCATATTCACGAACACATCCGACAATGACTCTCCTGCAGCATGCATGTCTACCGCACCGGGTACCGTTCCCGACTCTACCGTTCCCGACTCTACCATTCCCAATGCCATTCCCGATGCAAAGCGCACAGCGAGGATTATTATTAAGAATCCTCTGTATGCTTTTTTACTACTGGGTTTACGTGTCTGATGATTGTTTTGTATAGTGCAGCATTCATGAATAGTAACGCGACTCCGATGACGACTCTGGCAGTTTCTACTACGGCTGTCTCAGATCCTCCTACTACCATCCCCCCTGCCATACCTGCATCAAACTCGGGCTCCAGTGAGCCGAAGCCTGTGGCACCATCAGGACCCATGATTGCAAAGAAGATGCGGCCAGGTAACACGAAGAACGGCAGGTATGTCCTAGCTCTAGCGTTTATTCCGACTCGACTCGAACATTTCTAACCAGCTCGACAGGAACCTTTGTGCGCATCGGTGGTTGAAGCAAACAAATCCACCTGTACTTGACCGTGTTATGCATAATCATGGCTTATTAGACACGGGCCGTTATGCATGGTTACCTGTAGTCTTAGACATTATGCATAATCCCCTCGACTGTATGTATAGTAGTTCACATTATGCATAATCCCCTCGACTCTATGTATAGTAGTGTTCTCCGTAATGCATAATGCCCTCGGATCTTCTCTTTCCATGTTCCTGGCTGCATCCTTCTACGATCGCGATCTCGGAGACTTGCCAATCAAAGATTATATATAGTGCTACTAATACATCCTTCTAAAATTGGAGACTGATGCAATCACTGATTATATATAGCGCTACCCCACACATCGGAAAAAGAAGCCTTGCGAATAGATATGTTATCCTACTTGTATTCAGGGCACCGCTACTGCCGGGGGTAAGCTCGCCGCAGGAACTGCACGCCATTTTCTTAGGCAGTTGTCCCGCATCGTGATCCGAAGGGCCGCCTGGCGCTTCGCATATGCTTCAAGGCCTTCTAACTCTGCACCTTCCAACCCGATCCTCCGGCTTGCCTGATCCCTCCACCACGCTGCATGCCAGTCGAAGAACGTGCACACGCGCCGCATCTCCTCCTGGAGAAGTTCTACCTCTTCTATCCAACGATGTGTGCGCGCCCGAGATTTACACCACTCGACACGTAGCGCTGTGTGATAGCATTTTAGCTCGTATCAATCTAATAGACGATTTCTTACCATCAGCAAGAACGGTCTCTCCTTCCCTGTCTCCAGTAGTGACGCCGCGTGCCTTCCAAATCCATGATAGAGTTCGATTACCTTCGGATTGGCCTACATAGCCATCAGACATTCCCCGAACATGCTCAGGTTCTAGCTTGAGTAGTTCATCTCTCCAGCTTTGTTCGTGCAAAATGTCGCCAAGGATAACTAGCGCAGTCCAGGCCCGACGGTACCGCTCTGCATCTGTCTTGATGCTAAGCTCCACCTTAGCGAGAACTCCCGCTGCACGTGTATTGGCCCGTTGGCCACGCAATTGATTGGCTTTGAACTTGTATAGGTGGCTGCGCAGTCGGAGGTGTCGACGGAGGTCATCGAGAGCATCATATGCTTGTGCCTGTCGCAGCTCCCATTCATATCTGCACAGACGTTCCTCACAAAACTCGTTTGAAGCCCTTTTGAGCTGGGACGGCAACCACAGTTTGACCTCGTAGGGTTTTTCTTCCCGTGAGCTTATGGTACTAGCTGTATCGGATGCGCGAACACGGACGACCGTAGGAATGTATAATACCTGGACCTTGCACCATTGCTCGATTTTGCGTTGTAGCGCATTGCTCCGTTCTTGCAATTTTGTAAGCTGAAGGTCCGTTGAGTGAGGTCCCAAGGCAGCATACTCTCTTTCCAGCCGGCGTCTAAAAACAATTGGATAAAGATGCAAGGAACGAAAATATAAACTTACTGCTGGTCCTCTATTTCAATACCCGATGACACGAGAACGCTTGGCGATACCTCCATATGCAGTGAGTAGTTGAGGCCGTGTTCCAGGTCTTCTGCTTCCTTCTGCGAGAGACGCAGTCGTACCGCTGCGAGAGACATAGCTGCGAAAGAATGAGAAACATAAGATCAACATAAAAAAACTAACGCACTTGTAGTTGTAACCTCGAAGGGATTCGTCTGTGATCTATCGGCTTCCCAGCCTTCAATAGCCAGCTTCCACCGAGCGACTTCCTCTGGTCGTTCTGCAATTAATGTATCATTGAAATCATTGAAGTCGATGAGGTGCTGATCACGTTGAGGTATGGCTGCCACGAGCTTTCGGAATAGACTGATGTCTTGACGCCAAAATGTTAGTAAGAGATTCCGATCACATGATGTAGGTTCCACTCACGAAAATTGGTCACTTTCTTCCAGTTAAAATCTCCGAAGTGATCATCGAGGGTGTCGCGGCGTGAGCCAGGGCCCATCTCGCGAGTGCTTGTTGCTACAGGGTTGATGTTCGCCCACCCGCGTTCCGGTGCCTCCCCATCAGTGCGTCCCATCCCTTTGATAAGGTTGTGTGAGTACGTGACTTGGCAGAATGCGATGTGCGCGGGAAGATGGAACTTAGGAACGAGGAACACGAATTCCTTGGTACTGCGTTCAACATGCATTTGATGTGGGTATGTAGCCATACGATCCCATATATTCTTGCTCCATTGACACGCGATATCGTAGGACACGTTGAGCGTGACTACATCCTTCGAGTATTGCAGGGTAGAGAAAAATAAATAGTCCATATTAATATACCTATAGTACACGTTGAGTGGTGCAATGATTAGTAAAGCTCTCGCCTACCTCTCGCCCTTCTGGAGATCGCCAACGCCGCAAGGACGCTTCATGTTGTGGCGTGAACAATCGACAGTGCCAGCCCCCGTTGCTGCCAAACCGCGAGAGTTTTTAGTCTCGGCCAAGTTTACAGCGTTATGGCTCGCGCAACTACTTTTCTGTATGACAAGTGGGTGAGCGAGTATGATATGGCTAAGATAGATGGCCGCACCTCTTGCGGCTGCTTGCCAGTGTCATGAAGAAACTTCTTGAATGCCTTCTCTTCGACGAAGTATGCCCAGCCTTTGTTAAGACCAGGGTCAGTCTTGTCGGATGATACATTTTTGCGCGCCAGTCGAAAATTAGCATCAATCGCCAGAAATAACGAATATTTCCATCTAGATCATTCCGTGAGCGAACACGCCATGTGGACTAGACCAATACACGACATACCTTTCCTCAAACGGTGTATCTTCCCAGCCATTGGGAAGATTTTTGCCCGGTTGGGGGCAAGCAGGACATAGCACTGCGCATGCACCATGTTGTGTAGCCTCAACCCCACCAGGGTCATGGCCCCGTCCTGAACGTTTGAGTAGGGTGAGGTTTCGCCATTCCTTTACCATCCGTAAGAGCGCATTATAGCGATCCTGTGAGCGAGCCGTTGCAAGCTGTTATTAGGAATGAACGAGTCAATTCAAATTGAGAACTTACCTTTGGTGGGTTAACGCCTGTGTTGTTGGTCAAGCGTGCGAGCGTTTGCCAATACTCGAAAGTGGAGGCCTTTGATTCGAACGAAAGAATGTGGAAGTGGTGGAGTAGTCGAAATGTTGCGGTAGTCTTCGGATCCAGTGTAGTTGCTGGGAACCAACGCATGCGAAGGAGTTGCGTCGTACGAGATTGAGCTGTTTGACACTCGCAGAAGTGGAGTGGAATATTGTGCACTCCGTTGATGTCGAGAACCACGAAGTCGTTATGAACCAATGACGGGTTAGAACAATGTTCACCAGGAGGGTGTCCAAGTTGAACTTGCAGCCCAAGATCCCGCAGGTTAGTGTCTTCGAAATGTTGGCTGTTCCAGTACTGTGCAAGTCAATCAGCGCGAAGTAGTGAGCACTGCTGATTCCCACCTACCTCAATTCTGTGGGTTGGATTTTCTATATGCCTTTCTACCGTGCACGCCTTGCAATAGAGCTCAGTACCAAGACAATCCTCACATCGAAATTCAGGGGCATTCATGCAACCTGCAGAACCTCGACATGCTTCCTGAAGTAAGAAATCACCGCGACCCTCCAGACGGAGGAGTTCTAAAAGAAAATGATCCCGATCATCCATCCAAGTCAACAATGGGTTATCCTTCAAAACAACACGTCAGTAATTGTATCCAAGATAAATCATCTTCACTCACTCCTAAATGTCGATTCCGCTGTGAAACTTTCACTTCAAGTGATGTTTCAGCCAAGTGTTGATTGTAGACGTTGTCTTCGTTAGAGTCCAGAAGAGCCTCAAAATCAAAGGCAAAAGTATCTGAAGTATGTAAAGCAGATGGTGGTGGTGCCGTGTGAGAGCCTCTTGGAGCACCAAAGTACTCTGTCTGAGTCGAGACCTGTGCCGGTCCCTTCAAAGTGTAAGATTGATGTTTGTGAGTTGAGACTTGACTGTTTTCTGGATCCTCAGCCTGAGTAGTGTTTTGCATTCGCTGCTGAGATGCCTGATTTTTTGCATTGAGAACATACCAGTCACGCGTAAGCTTGTCGTGCTCGCGGCGTCTTTTTCCCATGAGGACTACAGCATTGAACGTTTGAACAATGAGGATACACAACATACCGCACAGTGATCACGTGATGTTCAACACTAGATGCAAAATACATAGACTACAGTAATCACTTGCCAATGCTAAGCGCTAATTGCCAATCAAGTGTCCCTTTGCGAAGAGCTTCAAAATATGAGTCTACACATAAGTCCATCTTCTGGATCATTTGCTCACATGCCTGGATGCGAAACTGTAAGATGCGAGTCACCGAACATACCCCCACTCGTAGTTGCTCGGTATAAGGACCCTCTAAGCTCCCAGCTGACGTGGATAAGCCATGTGCTTTCTCCAAGAGTTTGCATACCTCGCGAACGTCATCCTCATATTCTGGCTTCAGTGAATTCCATCCCTGACGGTCAGCAGCACAGACAGCATTCAATCCTTCAGACTCCAATCGTTGATACAGATCGGAACCTGGTTCATAACCAGAATTGAACCAGATATCGTCAAGCTGATTGAGTAGTTCGAGTGTCTCCTACAAACAGTGTGTATTAAAATTTGACAAATCAACCAAAAACGATTGACTCACATCTGAAGCTCCACCCCGGCGACGCCAGCGAGTGCGGGATTTGACACGTTCTTGCTGCCGATTCCTGTTGATTGTGAGTTCAGTAGTGGACGCGCAAAGAATGAACCACATTACTAGACTTGCCTGGCATAGTGTTTTTTCTTGGATTTTAAACGAGCTTGATGGGACTGCTCAGTTGTTTGTACTTGCGTTTCCGAGTCATGCAAGGCGTCAGTCAACTGGAATGTGTGAAAAGGCGTAGGTAAGCTTCCGCACTCGAGTTAGATTTCATGTAATGCCTCAGCCACCACTTCGGGACACATTAAATTGTAGCACATAAGTCTCATTGCAGCTGCAAATACAATAGTTTCAACAGTCTGGTTTATATCTTGTGGACAGGTAAAATGAGCTACTGTATCAGAAATCTCCCGATATCACTATGTTATAGACTTGCGACCCAATAGAACTGAACTTCAATGAAATCATATTGTACAAGTAAAAACCTCAGGAGCAAACAAAAGATCACGACTTTGGGACGGCTGTTAATCGATAATCTCCCCAAGCTTGACATTCACAATTCTCTCAATATATATATGTAAAACATGCGCTGGAAATCTATGTCTCAGTCCGAACATCGCACAACTACAACTACGTCACAAAAGTTGCTCCCTCTCTCCTGCCGCAGTTTCACTTTCTGTTGCAGATGCAATAGCGGTGGAATGTGTGGTGCCAGTGACTGTATAGTGAATATATTAATCAGTAAACTCCGGGGTAGCACTATGAAAACGTACCGGTATGTGTCCGCCTTGGAGAGGCCTGTTGCAATGCGGCTCGAAGTGATTGGTATACCACAAGCATAGCAATGGCGGCGGTGTGCCCGGAAAATGCATGCCTCGCATGCTCCATATTCAGTCAGTGGACTTGGCAGCTCCGCTGAATCATGTCCATCGTGTGCAGCAAATATGGCTATTGATCAGGAGTGTGATGAGCCGAGATTCAGATCAATTGAAATATTGAACATACCATTTTGGTCACTAATTAACGTCAATGCTCCTCCCAGCTCACGCAATGTGAACGCTGGGGGGTCGCCATCATCATATCCCTGGTCTGCAGCAGAAGGTCTAATGAGCCGTCAGATGAATGGTTGAAAATAAAATTTACGGCTTTGATCCCTAATCAACTTCAATGCTGCAGCCAGCTCATTTATGGTGAATGTTAATGGGGGTGGAAAACGGTAAGCCGTATTGTTGTTCCTTGGGCTCTGCATTCCAAATGAGGTGGGTAGAGTGTGAGTAAAAAAATAGCAGACGGCAGTAGTTACGAGGCGATTTCAACTCCGATCCAGCGAATACACTTGCTGATTGGTTGAAGATGTGTGGTCAGCATTAAATTTTCAGGCTTGGCTTGCGAGGACCGCACAAAACCTAAAATCACGCTGCTATTCAAAAAATGTACCTCACCAAGGCAAGCGGTGACAATTGTGTCTCATCGAGTGATCATTATTAATTCAGCTCAGATAGGATGGCAGGAACAGTCTGGACCACACCTGAACAAAAGGTGTTCCTTGAGACGTACTATAGTGGGTTTCTGTTAGCGCAGCTACAGGCCAAGGTTTCCCAATACTGGGATCCAATATACCTTGAATGGTTCAAAAGATGGCCTGAAGAGGATGTAGTGTTTAAAATACTCCTGCCAGTGATCCCCGTACAGACGAGGAAAAAAGTTCTGGGGCAGCACTTCAGAAGCGGAGACAGGTAAGCACTGCCCTCATGATGCCCTCATCGATGATGTACATACTGATATTCTCAAAACAGCAAATACGAACCTGGTTTAATTATAGGTCCCAACGAAGTGGCCGTTCCGCTGTGAACTCATGACTAGAGTAATCCAGAAAACGTTAACCAACAAAGCAAAGGAACTCGGGTTCATACCCCTGCTGGATCTTTTCGACCATTGCCTATAAGGAGGAAGTAAAAGAGCGGGTTCAAGACACCATTAAGTCCGGCGAGCTCGTTACTAAACAGGAAAAATTGACAGCTATTCGAAAACTTACACGCGAAGCATACGAAGCCGCACCGCCAGAAGTCCAAGCTTTGTGTGAGGAGAAGGTCCGAGAAGAGCACAAAGCAAAGTCACACTTAATGTGCAAAATGAAAATCTGCACCTACCAATAAACAGTATGCAATAAGTTTCGGCTTTTGCCCGTACACCAATTTCCCATTGCTTATACATTATTACCAGCCTCTCCAGGAGTGTACTGCTCCCATTGCGCAGTTCTTGCAAGTCATCAAGGACATGACAGGGTGGGAATGGACTGTTATTGGTGCTGGGCCTGACCCTCATCTTGGTGGCAAACTAAATGCGATGAGGTGCGTCTCATATTCGCTCGTTCATTTTCAGAATGCTCAAGACTTCTTAGTTACCATACAGGAGTGAATGGAGATGGACACAATTGGAAGCAAGCCACCCCAAAATTCATTGAGAAGCATCTCAATCCATACTTGGAATTTGTTGGAACACTGTTTCGTGAGTAACGTTTCCGTTTGATGGTCGGTCACACATACTCATTGGATTCAATAGCCGAGCATGTCAGAAAGTCTCGTGCCATGGACGTCGTCGCCCCACTCACAAACAGTCTATCACCCACAACTTCACTTGCAAACAGTCTACCACCCGCGATTTCATCTCCCTCAGTGAAGGATCTGGGTCACTGGAGGGTGCGTCATCGACCGTGACTCCAGCATCACATGGAACTGCCCTGCATGCCCCCCTCACACTCTCGGACACCCTGCGAGGTGTCGACTCGTCTCAGATGCAGGGACCTCTGCCTTTCAGCAACCCCCTTGGCCTTACCTTTGACAATGAAATGTCCACCAACTTTGGCACTGACACCTCCATGTCCCTCAATCCATATGACGCCAGCTTTACCAGCACATCAGCATCTAACTACGATTTCGCTTTACCTGCCCTCCTTGTCATCCAGCGAAAATACACCGGCATCCACTATGGGAGACACAAGCGCCGGCCTTACCTTTGACAATCAAATACCCGCTGGCTTTACCACCGACACCATGGCTTTTGATCCCTATGACACCAGTGTACCCAGCACCCCCATCCAACTTCAATTTCATTTTACCTGCCCACTCCTTATCATCCGTGCAACCACCCCAGCGTCCACTATGGGAGACTCATTGCCAGATCTTACCTTATCATCCAGTCCAATGCCGGAAACTCCCATTACCTCATGGAGGAAACAGATGTACAGTACATCCACGTCTGGCCTCATGACACCCCCTCGCCTTCGCTTCCGCAGTACATCTGCTATTGCCACCCCATTACCGTCTTTGCCCCCTTCCCGGTATCAACGGAAAAGTATAACTTCAGTTCCTCTACATACCCGCCTGATCCTCCAGTGGTTACAGCTGCTGGAACAGCTCAGGTTTTGGCACCACCAGTATCCTCTCCACTGTTGAGGTTGCCCAGGTTTCAGAACAGCTGGCGCTCCTCCCTTCTGATGTTGGTAGTGCATCGGGCTCCGCTGTGCAAGCCGATGACGTAGTTGTTCCTGCTGTTAGGAAGACAAAGTGCATACGCCAGCAGATGACACGTTTGGCACAGGCTGATAGCATAGGTGGCTGTTCTCAAAAGAGGTTTGTGATTTTGAGTGTTTATTATTTGCAAGCGCGAACACTAACTCAATTCTAGGAGGAGAAAGGCTATGTGATACTACCTACATTTTGTGTTCTGTCGATGTTTTACGTGTCTTGTGTTGTTGACATATTGAGAATATGAGCATATTTCTTGTTGAGACTTCGCGTTTTTGTGAGATGAAAGCAGATTTTCAAGGCAGACAAGACTAAGCGT